CCTCGGGTGTGAAGGAATGTTGTGAGGATACCAAGTATAGTCAAGATGTACGGAAGAAAGATAGTCGATGATACACTATTACATCAATCATTCATCAACGCAAACAACATAGTATACGGGACTTACCTCTTCGCTGAACTCAAGCATTTCTCAGCCCCGACCATGATAGACTTTGCTACCTTATCCCCAAGCTTCAGAGCACTTCCAGTCGTTTCATCTCTCTTGATCAACTCCATGAGGAAAGGAACTACATCGTCTAACTGATCCCATGTTGTGAGGGCTGAAAGTGTCTGTAGTATTCTCCCCACGATCAGGGGTGTTTGCTCGATAGGTGGTGCTCTCTTTCAGCACATTCAAATCCATCATGAAGCACAAAGCACACTCACAAGTAGCTGTGATGTACAGATATCTCGACAAGAATGTCTTCCTCCGTTTCTGACTTTTATCCAACAAAGCTCCTCGAATCTGAGGAAGCACCGACTCCCAATCTACTTCCTCCTCCCTTCCTACGTCGTCTGCCTCCGGTACATCCTCATCTTCCTCTTCATCCTCTATGGGATTCTGAGCCGCTATCTCATTCCGAGTCAGAACGGAGGTAGAGGATTCAGCATCGGATGACTCGTAAGGTTCTGCAAGATCAGAAGATGCGGTGTTCAACCAAGAACCAACTTTAGCCTTTGCGGACATGGAACGCCGACGGCTCAATGTACTGAGAGTCGCTTTGGGAGGTATTTTCGAAAAGTTCACTGGGGTATGGGTTGAAGAAGGAGTTTGGGAATGTCGAATTTGACGACACAAGTCGAAGGGACACATTCGGAACCGAAAGACTGTATGCATGCGTCACAATCGGCGTTAATCGGATAGAACAATCTAATCCTAACTCCGAAATCTCCTTTCGCCACACTTGAGGACCCTGCGGGTAGATAGTTTATATTTCCGCCCCGTCTCCTTCTGCTCAGGTTTGGGTTGAGGCTTTGTGTAACCTTCAAAACTTCATCACCGTTAGTCAAATCTCGTCTACCATCTTGGAGATTGAGGAGAGGCAAGTCAGTCAGGATAAGCAAGTTAACTTCCAGATGCCTACCCGGTTCTCCAGAACCCGCAAACACAGAGGTCACGTCTCGGCCGGTCACGGTCGTGTAGGCAAGCACAGGAAACATCCTGGAGGTCGTGGTCTCGCCGGTGGTCAACATCACCACAGAACCAATTTCGACAAAGTGAGTCTTCACTTTCGTTTCTTCTTCATGACCGCGTGTATCCGAATGATGTATTCTCCATCGGAGAACGGCATGTCGCGAAACATCAGTAAAAATCTCTCTCTAGCTACGATCGGATGGAATGTGATAAGAACAATTAGCACAACAGTCTCAGAGATGTCCCTCTACAAAGGTATGATTCTGATGACAGTTCCATCCTGGTTACTTCGGTAAAGTTGGTATGAGGCACTACCATCTGTTGAAGAACCATTACTACCGTCCCGTCATCAACATTGACAAAGTGAGTTTTCGGTCACTTGGGTGGCAGATCAATGAGGGACGCTAACACATAGCTCATCTCTCTCCCCGAGGCTCAGGTCGAAGCTCCCGAAGATGCCGTTCCCGTTATCGATCTCGTTCACCTCGGTCACTTCAAGCTGGTAAGTCTTTCAGCGTTTCTCACTTGGCCTTCGTCCTTCGTGCGCCGCCAAGTGAACAAGGATGGACGTGTAGAAGTCAGAGAGCATGGATTGACTTGCAGCTTGGCAAAGGCCGGATCAACAAACCATTCATCGTCAAAACACGATCTGTGTCCAAGTTGGCGGAGGAGAAGATCAAAGAGGCAGGTGGTGTGGTCAAGCTGGTAGCGTAGACTCTGTGTGGGCTAGTCGCATGATGCAGCATGTACATGGTACGCTCTCGGCAAATACTGGCCCATTTTGGAGCCATCTCGATCTGGCCGATTCCTTCGACCAAGCCCCATCTGGGACTCATTCGCCTGCGTGTGCTCTGAAAGGTCATGGTGCCCAGTGCGGCTGGGGCGCTAGAGCATCTAACTGTAGCTGAATAATCACTTCCCAAATCAAAGGCTACTTGCTGTATTGAAAAAAATTCCGGCCAGAGATGCATGCACGCGCTACAATCTCGAAACCTATTGAACACGAGCAGCAGTACGAAGGTTGTCGAGAAGTTTACCCTTTGGCTTGAGGAACTATTGTTGTCAGCAGAAAGCTCACATAGTGCAGCCTGGTGGTTGGGAGATACAGAGAGCAAGGTACGTACCTGAACATAGGCGCCGTCGGTCAGAACTTGTTTCTGGGCATTGAGTTTCTCGTAGTCGGGACGGTCGAGAGGAGTGAAACCCCACTTCTTGGAGACAATAATCTTCTGTCTTCCGGGGAACTTGTAACGGGCACGTCGGAGAGCCTCGATGATGACCGCTTTGTGTTGATCACGGCATCGGATAGACATGATGATCTGGCCGCTGCGGATAAGCCATCTGCGTCTCCTGAATACATGCCAAACCGACTGAAAACCACCCAACGCAGTCACGGAGCTGTCTTGAAAGTTGTGCGATGAGTCGATGGAAAGGGGAGTGGGAGGCAAATAGTTGATGACTCACATGTTCACACGAGCGACGGAACCATAAGGTTTTCCCCAAGCTCCACGCATACCCTGTTGAAGCCTATCGGCACCGGCACAGGACAACATTTTGTTGATACGAATGACGTGGAAAGGGTGGACACGAACACGCATGTGGAAAGCTTCCTTTCCTGCTGTCTTGACAATGTATTTGTTGGCACAGATACGAGCCGCCTCTAAGGCTTCAGACGAAAGTTGTTCATATTCGTCCGAGACGAGATGACAGCAGAAGGGGAAATCATCGACAGGGGCCTTTTTACGACCGAGATCGAAGATTCTGATCTTGGGGTCGGGTACACCACGGTTGTATCTCGACTTGGGATAACTGATGAATCAGCATGACTCATGTGACTGGCTTGGTTGGAAGATCGTTATGAGACGAAAACTCACGGCTTGTTCTTGCAGTAACGGTAACAACGAGCGGGACGACGACCCATCTTGGAATCCTGAGGAGTCAGTGATACTCCGAAAATCTTTACAGCGATGCGAAAAAGTGGATAACACGAATTTGGAGTGATTGATAATCCTCCACACAGCACTGCACACTCTCCACGATCCACTTAAATCTATCTCTCAAGGTGACCGCAGATGCTGAATATACTTCTCTAGATAGTAGGAAGGAGGACGGGAAGAGGGTGATTGGTGGCAAAACTCACTATCTAGATGTTTGGTGGGAGAAAGAGAAGATGTAAAGGTAAGATGTAAGCCGTGGGGCTTGGCAAGACAGAGGTGAAAGGGAGGGCGGAGTTTGTTACTTTTGGATAACGCCGGTGTGGCGCTATACGACCTCCACTTGGTTCGATCGCTCTCTGCTACTTACCCTCCGTCCCTTCCACCCCTCCTCTATCAGGCTTTGAGTCATGTCTCTCTCGTCGGGGCATGAAGCACAGCCGCTCTCTTTGGTCCTGCCGTTCACGAAAAACCTATTTTATGACCCCTCTCCGCTCTACTCGACCCTATATGATACTCTCGTCCGAGCTGTCGATATTGCCTCCTTCACCGTCATCTTTACCTCTCCTGGGATCGAAGAATTGTATGATGTCTTGCAACTTGACGCTAGGCGACATTGGTCCGACTTCCAGTCTTTCCTGGGGAATGTATATGCAACACTAGGTGCTGCACAATGGTGTTCAGGAAAGGTGTTACTCCCTGTCGACGTCCTCTTCGCTCGGTCCGATCTTCTGGTGGAACAGTTAGTGAATGCTGAGGGTAGTATCCTGGTTGCAGATGGTCAGTGAGACTTGTTCCTCACTAAGCATGCTAATCTCCTAGGTGTGCTTCCCGACTCGTCCCCACTGCTGACATCCCCTCGGACCACACGCCTCCAACTTTCGATACCTCCATCGACCGGTGACAGCTCATTCCGGGTGAAGTCGAACGTCGAGACCAGACAACCACCGCCAGTAGTAGCCCTTGGTGGTACGTTCGACCATCTTCACCCTGCTCATAAACTTCTCCTTCAATCTTCTCTCTTTCTCGCCACTCGGAAACTCATCATCGGAATCACCGCTCCTTCCTTACTCGTCAACAAGTCCAATGCGGCACTTGTGGAGTCTCTCGAGGTTCGAACACGAAATGTGGAGGACTTCCTTCGACGATGTGGAGCTAAGATACCTATACGAGCGAAAGAGATAAATGACCCACTTGGTCCTACCGCATGGGACGAGGACATTCAGGCTTTGGTGGTAAGCCGAGAGACTGTGGCAGGTGGGGAGATGGTGAATACCAAACGGCGAGAGAACGGCTTGGGCGAGTTGGAACTGTTCATCGTGGATGTCATTGCTGGACCGAGTCATCTCTCCGGTCCTGCACCCACGGAGGATGCAGAGGAAGGAGTAGGTATTGAGAAGACGCCTCGCGAGGGAGTAGAAGGAGAGAAGGAATTGGAGGAATGGGTGAAGGATCTGAGTAGAGTGGTTGATGAGAATCAACTTAAGCAACTTAAAATGAGCAGTACGACCATTCGACAGTGGATTGCGGATCTACAGGTCGAGGGGGACTGGAAGAGGTAAGGCACCGCCAAATACCATGTGAGTTAATCATCTCTTAGTCTTTCATCTCCATCTGTCCACACATCTTACCTCGGAAAGCTACCTGCCTGAGACTTCAGTGTAGAGTATACGTGTTGACACAGTAGTGCGCATCGAATATGGTAATATTCATCCCTCGAGAATCTTGATCCGGACGAATGTCCTGTATGAGCAAATACATACGTCGTCGTGCGCCCAGCAGTGACCCAGGCTTAACTCTCTCCCTCGCCTATCCGGGTCTAGGTCGTCCTCTCCCACACACCCCATGACACAGTACACGGAATTGTGTGGAATGCAGTTTCCTTGCCGCGGTAATATCCCCTGCTCCGTCTCCCGTGAACCCGTGCCCAGCCCTTGCACTACTCTTTTTGAAAAAGTCATCAATATGATCTGTGCATGATTATAGTCTCTGGGATGTTATGCGGTACGCCAGGGTGACTGCTCCATGCATAGTTCAGAACTTACGGTAATTCCGACGACCGACGCCGAGGATGGTTGTATAGTTTCACCTCGTGCCTGCCCGCACATTCATTGCCATCAGCTGCTAAATGCTCTTCTCGCACTAGACTCATCTTCTCTTCTCTTCCGTGACTTCTTCTTTTCCGACTCACTCTTGACCAGTCGTCACTATACTTCAGACAATCAACGAAACATTCATCGGCTTTACGTTCATCACAACTCATGCGTATCGACAGCATCATGCCTTCCAATTCCGACCCTCCTCCTCTGTCTTCCCCTTCTCCTTTCCCATCAACTCGCGACTCACCTCCTTCGGGACCCATCTCACGTGCTCTAGCGCTCCGACATTTTAAAGAAGTGAGAACAATGGCTTCTCTCGGATTTCAACGCGTCGAAATCATCCAAACTGACAAAGGTCCGATCCAACTCTTCCGGTCAGTCTTTCAATCCACCATCACCTACCTCACACGTAGCTCATATGACAGACATAAAGATAGAGAATTTGATTGTTCTCTTTGTATCGAGAAAAAGAAAAGATGTTCATTTCAATGTTTACAAAAACATCGAACTGGGGCTTTCATACCACGTCGATGTGAATTATGTAGATCTATTGATCATTCTCGCAGAGGTTGCGATAGATGTTTGTTCAATCATGGACTTCTCATTTATGTCGATAATGGGAATCTCATTTTCAAACAGAAAGGGAAGATTATACCTTGGAATGAACTATCGACTTTGGCTGAGAGTGGTAGACATTATGGGAAAGAAAAGAAACGTCAAAATGTTGTTGGTGAAGATGAAGAGGTGCAGAGGAGGAAGAAGAAAGTGAGAATTAGTTTGACGGTATCCCCAGATGTGAGTTAAAAATTATTCTTTGAAATACTATTCATACTCTGGATCTCTTTTGGAGAACCAGTAATGGTGTTTACAAAGTGTGGTGTATGAATTTGTGGAGAGTTGACATCGTAGACCAATAAAAGTCCAACAGACCCCTCAACATCCGATACTGCTGCTTCTACTTTATCACCTATCCCTCTGAATTTTTCCGGAAACGATATGTCTAGTCCTATCGGAGAAGGCGAAATGCCATATATGCGAACCCCGATGAGTTTGACGAATAATCCTCAAGATAATTCACCTATCGCTCCATCGGATGAGATAGGGAATGATATTGAAGAACACGATAGTGACGATAATGAAGATAGTGATGATGACGATGATAATGAAGATGAAGATGATCAAAGTCTGTCCACGATGGATATGGTGAAGAAACTTGCAGAGCTGAGTAGGGATTTAGAGAGAAAAAATCTCCTGGACAAGACCCGATATCAGAAAATAAAACATAAACTAAATCAAGTCGAACAAGAGAACAATTCAGTCCATCAACAACATGCAGAATTACGACGAATCAATCAATCCTTGATTGAAGATAACGAGCAAGTGAACGATGAGAAAGCGAAACTCCGAAATTTGCTGGAGTCATCTCAAACTGCTGAAATTCATACGAAGGAGAAATTAGATCAACTTCAAGTGGAATATACAAAACTGGAGACTTCATTACAAGCAAGTCAGTTAGCCGAAGCGAACGCACGAAGACAAGTGGTCGAAGAAGAAAATGTGAGATTGAGAGAATCGTTGGAAATCGCCCAGAAAGGTTTGACAGAATCATCAATAACGACGGAAGAAATGAAAATGAAGTTGGAAAATTTGCAAAAGGATGTTAGAGGTGCAGAAGCTTTGAAAGCGGAGAATCAAATGTATATAGATCTTAACAAGGTACTTCAAGAATCCATCGCTCGAGTGAAGAAAGCGGCAGATTTAGAAAGGGAACAGAGGGATAAACAAGAACAGACGATGGAAGATAAACACAAACGTGAGATACAAGCGAGGGATGATCATTGGCAAGGAGTGATCATGAGTAAAGATGTGGAATATCGTCAGGTCGTTACCAAGTTATCAGAGACGGAGGAGGAATTGAGGATATTGCATGAAGAAGTGGATGAGAATTTGTTCATACTCGAGTAAGTACGGCTTAACATGAACTTGTGAAGGTGTATTGATGAATAGGGTAATGTTCTCGCGAAAATGCTAAGCATAATATGAGAGGAGAGGTTTAATATGAGAGGAGAGGTTCATGCAGGGATTATATGTTCAGATTCCGGGTGTATGCAATTTGTATATTACATTTGTACTCCTTCGTGTAGAGTCTATCGGTCATCACTCATAGATCTCTTCCCCTTGTTGCTAACTTCTCTTTACCCTATAGATGATCTGTTCATCAAGCAAATCACCCTTCTGTTCCTCATCTACTCGTCTCCCTCGTTTTAAGACGGCTCCATCGTTCTTTGTTGAACTCTTCTCATTGTACACCTGGGCTCACCCAATGAAGACTATTCATCTTCACAGCGAAAACCCAAGTATTCTCCAGCTCATATCTGGCCCAATTCTCGACTAGAATCATCACTACTTCCAGCATCAAGTACCAAATGCTATTGATCAGTATATTACCCTCTTCCATCCATTTCTCTCAATTTTGACATTGTCTGAGAAAGTAGGGGTGGATAAACTCACCTCAAGCTTGAAAGGCCATTTATGAAAAACGTCCACCACTCTGGCCCATTCATCAACTTTCAAATTGGAAATCAAAATCTCCCCACTGGTCGGTAAACCCTTATAACCATTATTTACACCTTCGACCTTTCCTATCAAACTCTCAGCTCCGAACCCAAACGTTTTGAGAACGCTCTTCAATGGTCTGTTAGGTAAGACGAACCCTTTTCTCAAAACGAAATCCCAAGTATCTTTTTGGTTCGGTAAGACAGGAGATGATATTCGAGGTTCGAATTGAATACCTAGTAATAATGGACGAGGTAAGGGGTCATCAATGTTGATACCTTTACGAAAGGGTCTAGGGTAAAAATCGGAGATTAAAGTAGGCGTTATGGGTGGTATTGGTGGTCGTAAGTTGGGCAAGTCGGAAGAGTCGAAAGCGGTGGAAGAGGTGGAAGAGTCGAAAGAGGTGGAAGAGTCGGAAGAGATGGAAGAGCCGGAAGAGATGACTGTATCAGATGATTGGGGGAGTGGAGAAGATTTGGTGGAATGTTCAGCAGGGTCATTGAGTTGAGATTTGGATCCAGATTTGGGGTTCGAACGTATCGAAGATCTAGCTCGTTTATCGGGGTTGGAATTGTGATGATAAGGAGGTAAAGGTGTAAGATGAAAAAGGGCTTGTGACATGACACTTAATTTGCAATATGATTTCTCGCCTGGTTGTGCCATTATACGCTTTGAGGTTAGTAACCTTTTCTTGTCTGATCGACCTGTTTTCGTAGACATTTCACAAGCTATGATCTGAGACATACATGTAATCAATCGGTGTGAGAATCTGAACAAAGAAGATGAGAAGTGACATGAGAGTGTGGTCGAATATTCGAATTGAAAACAAAGTTTTGATTATGTAGAGATTTGAGAATGACAAGAATTGAAATTTAACTACGACTCACATCATATAAACTTGGACTTAACAAAATAGCCATTCTAACTCTACCCCATTCCCATATCCAAGGTTTCTTATTACCCCCCACGACAGTTCCAATCCATTGTGACATCAATTGTTCTCCAACAAGACTACAAGGCATCTGACCAACTAAAGTTATAGTAGGCATTTCTTCTTCCCATTTTGGAATCTTTGGTAAAAACGGTTTCAAAAGTTCATTTCTCATGATATCCGATATGACATTCCAACGATAAGGAGAAGAAGGACTGAGTAATAATCTTGATTCTTCTTCAATTTCATATACTTCTGTAGGTGGTATTTCGAATTGTGTCATTGTAGCCCATTCTGAAGTAGGTGTAGCTTTAGTTTTCAATCCGAATCCAGCAGCTAAAACAGGTCGAGAAGGTTCTATGACCACTACTTTTTTAGGTAGATGACCTTGTTTCGGATAAAGTAAAGAACGAGATAATTGACCTGGTCCTGCAAAAGTATCAAGGATGATTTCATCAGGTCGAAGTTGAAGTGATGAGACGAATGAATCGCAGAGGGTTGGAGAAGCTAAGAGTATTCGATTAGGGAGATTACGAACTAGAGAGTCGGGTGATTGAGAGAGTATTGTACGTGAAATTAGAGAACGCCATGTTGATATTGGTGGTAGTGAAGCTATTGGGGGCATGTTGAGGATTTTAGACAGTGATAAAGAAAGAAAGACGAAAATGAAGTTCTGGTGTAATAAATCGCACGAAATTTCATTCCAACTTTTTTAAACTTGTTTTTGATTTCATTTTACCATCTCTTTTTCTTTTTCTCTTCTCTTTTCTTTCGATCGAGGTCCGGATCAGCTTTGCGAATATGTTTTACGACTTGAACGTACCATTCCCTTTACCTGACGATGGAATACCAACGGGTAAGAAGAAAGATAAAGGGAAAATGAAAGTAGGACCGGATTATACCATACAAGGGACATATTGGTCACTTCTTACTGGTGGTGAGAAAGAAAAAGTTTCAAAGAACGTTTCCATGTTAGGTCATCGTATGTCCGCTTTTCCCCATCTGTCTCTCTTATCATAATTCCTACTTTCTCGGTTATACTGATCTTTACTACAGCGATGAAGATGACGCCTCGATATCCTGTAGGGAAGGATGACGAGATGACGGCTAACACTCAGTCGGTTATAGCGTGATAGGATGCACAGTTACATCTGAACCTAGTAATATAGTACCTCCTTGTCCATTCTCAACACATCTTCCTTTCCCCGAACTGGACCCACGTACAGGAACATCTTCATGCTCCTCTGGAATATCTAGTGGAGAGAAAACTCTAGTTCAAGTCACTCGGTTTCATATGAGGTTAGACGATGCGAAGACTCATTGTTTTGTGAGAACACCTTTCTTTGCTTCTGCCTCAGTTCCAAGCTACCAATTGCACCCCGAAAATCTTCTTTCTTCATCCCCTTCATATAATTATGAACAATACTCATAATCCTATAAGAACAGCCGCCCCTAAGTGTACACATTTATCACCTTTTCATATTGGAGAGTAATGACGAAAGTCGATGGAGTAAGGCTTCATAGACAAGTATATAATCTGAGCGAGAATAACACTAACGATCAGTCCAACTCCAATACCAGCCTTTTAAAACAATACGATATTCTCTCTGTCCAACCTACAACCGAAAAAGCCTTTCAATTAGCTTGTACGGATTTATCAAACCCCGGACCGAACCAGATATCCATTATAACTCTTCCATTACATGAGAGAGGATTTCATTATCGATTAAATAGAAAGCAACTTCGTCAAGCTCAGAGGAATGGTGTTATAGTGAGTTACTTCTTCTTCTCTCTCACATTTCCTTCCCATTCTTTTCCTTCTACATCTTCGTTCTTGTTCATACCGTCGGCCATCGCGGCTGTGTCAGATGTCAGATGTCAGATGTCATCACCATTTCCTCTTTCACCTTTACCAACGCTAGCTATCATCACGATCACTCGAGAGTCGTACGATGGAGTGAGGTAGGTACTGGTATCTAGAGTAGCCAGTGTCCAAACCTTGCTTTCATAAGTGGGAAATGTCAAATATACAACCTCCAAAAGATAACGGGTTCAACGACGGATTGAGAACCTTTAGCGAGAGATAATAGATCTTAATTTGTCCAGTTCGAACTTTTATACTCCCCCGCCTTATTCCCCTCCCCATCTCTACCTTCCGACTTGACCAAAAGATACCGTCAAAATTTCTTATCAAACGCTCGTGAAGCCGTCCGAGCAACATCAGGCCACGGACTCATTTTTTCCTCTGGGACATCATACTCTTCCGAAGCTCTCAGAGCTCCATTGGATTTAGTCAGTATCGGTGTGGTTTTAGGTATGCCATTGAATCTGGCGAGGGAGATGGTGGGTGAGAACGCTAGAAAAGTTTTATTACGTGCACGTGAGTTTTCATCGCTTTGATATGTTCCGGAACCTTTACCCACTGTACTCTCACACCAATGCTACTCACCTCACCTGCACTCTGATATCCCGAGCTCCAGTTTTTTACCAGATCTCATCGTATATCTATATGTCTCAGCCACTTTCCTCGTGGAGTTTTCATTAAGAGGGCTGTCTTATTCCACCCTGCGATACAATCGACATAAACGTGTAATGGTTTATTTTGGGTATTTTCCCGAGATTGCAACATGAGAAAGAAAGATGTTATGTGTTTTGTCAAAGTCTGACACAACTGACGAACAGAAGCTAGGAAAACATACAAAGCTGTCTTATCTGTACCTCGACTCATTCTCCCTATTACAGACGAACCAGCATCACAACCTGACCAACTACCTGATATGGAGAGTAACAACACGTCTGTCAAACGTCCATCGAATACGGAAGCTGGGGAGATCGGAACAGACCTTCAAAGTAAGAAAAATGTGGATGGAGTGAATGAAGTAAGATCGAAGAAAAAAGCAAAGAGAGAAAAGACGAAAGGATAAATGAAGAATATGCATTGTTTGTGCAGATATGCTACAAAGCCGTCAAAGGGCTACAGATGCCCAAAAAGAAATGGTGATATTCTATGATTAACCTCTAATTGCATTACGGTCCATTCTCATCCCGCCGCTTGTCTTCCCTTCAAAGACTTCAGCATCCGCACGTACTCACTTCACTTCACCCACTCACACTAACCGCAGCCCTATATCATCCCAATGGCTTCTCTCCCTTCATCCCACATCGAAAGTTTTCCATCCTCTCTTTCTTTTTGTTCTCTTCTCATCCTAGCCCCGCAATTGAGGACGAATCTGGATGACAAATGATCGTGAGGGAAAAAAGCAAAGTAAATGTATAAAGCAATCCAAGTATCACTTTATCATCCAACCACCTACCACCTTCATAGCACCTTCATCACCCTTCAAAACTTCATCTCCCTCTTCACCTCCAATGACATTCGCTACCATTTCCCAAGGATCTTTCCCACCTCCCCAACGTAAAACTTCATCTTTAAATTTCTCTCCTCCTTCTCTACTTAACCCACCGTTCGAGGCAAATAGACTGTGCCATATCTTCCCAGCTATGGCTCTATCGAATAGATAAGAATAATAAGTAGCTCCATAACCATGTAAATGACCGAATTGAGTTTGCCAAGCTGTGTCTTTTACAGGTGGTACGACTCCTAGAGATTCTTGAAGATCATAGTGTATCTTGGTGGAATCAAATGGATCACCATGATGTATAGTATGATATCGTTGATCTAAAATGGCCATTAGTATTTGACCATGTGTTTCGAGTGATGAGAGTGAATCTCTGATATCTAAATGAGCTTCGAGGAGAGGAAGCGGTAGAGGTTGGTTTGTCGTGTGATGAGTTGCGAATAGTGATAAAACGGATGGAGAAGAAACGAAATGTTCCATTAGGATTGAAGGAAGTTCAACAAAATCAGTCGCGCAACGTGTACCGGATACGTTATGATATTCCGTTCTACCGATCATAGCTAGTTTATCAGTGTGTTTTCTTTTATGACATTCCGACTTGAAAAACTTTTCCTCGGGTATAATTGGATGCTCTCGCTCGAGTGAGATAAGGATACGTTCGTACCGAGCGCAAGGATGATACCTCTGTACCGAGTAAGAGGTGGGGACCCCTACACCGAGTGAGAGGTTGACACTTCTGATTGGAATTGGGTGATGCCGACCAGGAAAGGTCAAATAATGTTACGATGACTCACAATGTATCGCATGCCCCATCTCATGGAACAAAGTTTCCACATCATTCCATCCCAAAACAGCAGGTCTTCCTTCCTCTACCACCCCACAATCCGTAGTCAAAACCACAATTGGTAATTGATATTTCCCTTCTCTTCCTCTAACCTTCTCCCCTTCCACTTCCAACCCCTTTCCGTACTTTGAATCCCAATACGATTCCAGTCCATCTCCAAGCAAATCATCATCGTCAACTCTCCTTGAACACCTAACGGTATAATGAGCAGCTGAAGGAGGTTTTCCTTCTCTTGAAAATAAATCACAATATATAACACCTATTATCCCTTCTTCTTCGTCAACCACCTCCAAACGTCTAACAGAAGGATGCCATACTTCTCCCGGTGCCACACTGACAGGTTTGAAAGATATTCCATAGAGTTTTGAGAACAAACGAGAGAGACCTAACATGATGTTTCCAGTTGAGAAATAAGGTGTGATGGGTGGTAAACTCGATACTGGTGAAAGAGACATCATGTGTCTTTCCGAAAAGAAATCTTTATCCCATGCGTATATCGGAGGTAATTTGATTGTCTCTGAGGCGAAAGGATTTCCAGTGAGAGCAGAAGCTTTCATTTTCTGTAACATTACAATATCTGTAGCCGCTGCAGGTCGATTATGTTCAGCTAAGGAAGTTAGAAAGTTCATGACGTTTCCAGGTGTTTTTGCCATTTTGTCAACCAAAGCAACGTCTGCCCATGTTTCTTTACCGAGCAAATTGGCTAATTCAGCACGTTCAAGTAACATTTGTTCCAATACTTGAATACGATCCGGATCAGGACGTAAAGATCCCACATAGACAAGTCGACGAGCTTCGCCTTCTCTAGCATATCGGGCGATCATTTGAGATTCCCAAGAACCAGGTGTGACGAATACGCTTGAACGGGATTTTCCTTTACCGCGAGGGAGTGAAGATATAAACGCACTTCCCATTCCTACCAAAAGACGATCAGCTTCTGGAATTTCGATGGGAGGATCCTGTGAAGGTCCAGAAGATGCGTCATTGAGAAATGTACGACCGAGGGAGAGGAGAGAATCGGATTGTGATACAAAACGAGATCGAAGATCTGGTGGGAGATGGATGCCTGATTTTTCGAAATCACGTAGGAAGGTAAGAGCAACTTGACGTTCGGCTTCGCTCAACGGGGTCGAATGGGGGTGTTGTAGTGCAAGCTTGAGTGACTGATGTTAGTCCCACGATTTCTCATATAACCTTGGTTTCCTCTACATCTAGCGACACACGTCACACACCACTATCTCCAGACCGGTCTCGGATCCATAGGATAAGAAGTCAAAGCTGGGACTGGGTGATGAGGAGTTGGCGATTCTTTGCCAGATTCCAGGGAAAAGACAAACTCACTTGATATAACCTCGTGTCCGTGTTGAGCTCATTCATAAAGCTACACAATCTTTCATAAGCTTTATCACTCTCCTCCACCCAAGTTGGATCAGGATGTACATTCCTAATCAATTCTGCCATATCTATAACTCCACATAATAAATCACTGAGTCTGTCAAGGTTCTTAACCACCAATCTCAATTCTCTTCCTGTCACATCATCAGGAGCTTTCCGGATCATTTCCACTATATGTTGAGCATGATATATAGTACGTTCGGTCAGCGGTCGAAGGGATGTAGGATGGTTTACAGAGGTATATCCGAACAGACCAGTTGGTTCACTGGAAGAGAGGGAGGAACGAGAAGAAGGTGTATCGAAAGCAGCTTTGAGATCGGTGTCGTTGGATGAAGTGGTAGGAGGGAAGGGTGTAGATGGATTCGAAAGGGTAGGAGAGAAAGGTAATAAGGACGAAAGTGGAGGTGAAGGTGTAGGTCGTGGAACATCGATCGCTGGTGCGTTTTCTTTCAGGATCGAGCGAGTTTTGAGGTAAGTCCGATGAAAGGCGATACGATGAGAGGAGGGAGTTAGAGAAAGTCGAGGATGTAGATTGGATAGAGGTTTACGAGGTAATGATATGCAACGAGACATGATTGAATTGGAGAAATTCCAGGAAGATCCAAGATACTCGGATGGTCGGACGATCAAAGAACGGATGGCAAATGGCAGACAAGTCGGGCGCGGACGAGCGGCAACGGAGGTACTCGCTTCTGGGAATCGAGAGCCAGCAAAGGGATCAAGGATGGTGGTGAGCTGAGAACGATGCAGGGATCAGACGATAGACCCTCACAATGTGACCTGATCAAAGGTCAGAGTCAAAGATGAAAGCTGATCAAGATGCTTATCGAGCTGTTCTTTTTTGGGGTAGAGTAGGTTGATTTTGAAAAGATGACATTGCCGGAGAAAGTCCTCGGTACCTTGTTTCTCAAACCGGCGATTTTACCGACGTCACGATGATGCATACCTTTGATACTTTCGGTGGCTGCGTCCACAATACGACTACACCACTACCTGCAAGCTCAAGGATTAGTACCAAGTGTCATATGAAATTGTTTCGTATCAAGTCCATGCAGCTGACAGATATCCTCCGCCGAAAGCTGTCATTTGGTCCTACTTCTTATGGAGATAACCCCCTGGGAGGATGACAAAACTCAACACCAATGCTTCGACAAGAATCCGAATCTCTACTCATCTTGCTCCGCCTCTCTCATCTCTCATCCACTCTATGTTCTAATCTCCCCACTCAACATCTGTCCCACATGGTCCGGCCGATTGCCCAACTCCCCCTTCCAAGTTCCCATCTCCTGCCCATATTTCGACTTCCATTTCCTGTTTCCACTCCCCATCTCCTCGAGCTCTGCATTGCAGATATCCTATCTATCCTGTTGTCCCTCTAATTTAATCACTCCTGTTCCCAGCTTCACGATCTCTAGACACCCATAACCGAATGATGTTAAATCGACATTAAAAGTATATTATAGTGTTCGTATCGAATCGTATCGTTCATCTACCAAATCTTTCTATTTCTATAAATCGACAATCCCTTCCATGCTTGTTTGACGTAATCTGTAATTTTCTTCATTAAGTCGTTCATATTCCCCCTCAAGTCGTTGACGTTCTTTCTCTAAATCATCACATCGGATTTTGAGCTGGTGATTTTGTCGTTCTGCATAAGCTTGACCGAGTCGAGCTTGGGTGAGTTCGAAAAGAACTTGATTGACTGATCCGGTGAAAGCTTGTGAATAATGTTGTAAGGCACGACGATGATTTTCGACAGATTCATCGATACTTGTGTCCATACGCATGTTACATGGTCCGGCGGGAGGGAAGCTCGCATTCGATAAAGGTTGTAAAACGTCGTTCCTTGCAGGGTTGAATGATGAAATATCAGTGGTCTCTATCGGTTGAGGGGATGTTGATCTTGAAGAGAGAGGTGATAGGGAAAGCGAAATTGATCTATTCAAGTGGGTAGGGTAAGGATGTTGGTGGTTCCAATTTGAAGAAAATCCATCGTTAAACGATCCTCTCTTATCCGTTACCATACTTTCAACTGCAATATCGCTCGAGCCATGTCCGGCCTTCTTCCGAGTAAGAGATTTCTCTCCAGAGCGTAGAGATAGAGATGATAAATCATTCGTACGAACCCTCTTCTTTCCTGATGTTTTGACAACTACTCTCGGTAAAGGGGGCTTGACCTTCAAGAGTAGTGTCTTTTTACGTTGAGCGGTAATTCGAGCTTGACGAGCTTGGATCATTTGATCTGTCACTATCTCCCATGATATCTCTTTTCCCTCTTTGTCTTTGAAAACTAAACTACCATCATAGGCGTAAATGAGAAGTCCTATTGCTGAGGCGCGTCTTGTACAATTGATATTGGATCCACCACAATGATCACAACCTTTGGGTAGATAAGGACCACAAAGTCTTTCCTGATCTAAAGCAATTTGTGGTGGAAAAGTTTCTTCTGCTGGTTGAAAAACTCGGAATTGACATCTACGACCAGCACGAGTACATGTATTACAATCGAATCGGATATCCGAATGTCTGACGTGAGCATCTTGTATTGTAAGTTGAATTTCATCAAATAGGAACACTTACTGGAATAATTGCATTTTCTTGGTTTTGTTGGTGGACGTCTTGACATGAATGAATCCAAGAGTTTCCATCCTCTCTCTCTCGATGAGTTGTTGAGCACCAAGCGAGCTAGGTATGCTTTGGACACTGTTTTTCTGCTTGGGAAGTTTCGGGATGGTGGGGGATAAGTTGATTGAGGAGGGAGCTTTGTTGACCAAGCTGGAATCGGGCAGCGTTGGGGATTGCATGGTAAGAAGGGAGTTGAGATGACAAGTGAGGGATGAGAACGAGGGGGAGATATTTCTGAATATGATATGACCAGGACTACTAATTATTTTTGGTCATCTGGAATAAGTTAAGTTAAGTAGTTGACTTACACATCTACCAAATTATAAGACCGAAATTAGGTGAAGCATGTTAAGTAAGGTGGCTCACCCGGAAGTTGGTCACACCCGGATATTGATCATCCCATACAAATTTGATTCCGTCTTCTTTTTGAGAGGTGACCATACATGCATGTATAACTCTCCTGGTCCCAGATTCTGCAGATGATATCTCCTGGATTATGGCTATCTAGTGGTATAAATATCTACTGGAAAATCAACCTCTTTGAGGTCGGTGATCAATATCCGGGTGTGACCAACTTCCGGGTGAGCCACCTTACGTGACACTGTGGCATGTGGCAGGATTCTTGTTCCCGTAAAGTATTGGGCGCCGGACACTTCGTTCCTCCTTGCATATTGTATCTCACAAGTTTCAAGAACAATATCCACAGAAATAAACCATATCAGCTTGACATAACAGTCTAGTCCAAAGGGCGAAGGGGTTAATCTGAGGCTTGGTCGAGGCCGGGTTGGTGGGGATGGCGCCAAGGAGCTAAGCGACTACCTACTTGCGGACGCACGCGGTCGCTCACGACCTTGCGTGGGTCTCATCACCTTGACAGCTTCGACTCAACCTGACATGCCGACTTGGTTGGGGTTTTGCATATGACAAAGTCCGAGGAGAAAACAGTTTCTGCCATCCTGCTCCCTTCTGCCATCAGAGTTACCTCCGATCATCAACAATGCAGTGACGCCGTTCGCTTTCGGTGTGCCGCCTGCGACGTGAGTGTACGATCTGTTCGTCGGAAATGTTGCATATGCACACCAATCAGTTCCCAACCATATCAGTCCCCTTCTATACAATTTGTCGAGAAACGTTATGCCAAACGTCAAAGTTCGTCAATCTCTATACACCGGAAGAAGAATCGTGCTTGGAACCCTCCTCACTGTGATAAGACGGGCGGAGGGGTCGGGTCGTGCTCGATAGGGCGTATCGTGTTAACCGCCTCCATCTGTATCTTGGCTTTGGCGTCAAGTATAGCCGGATAAGCCAGACTGTTCATGAGCTCATGTGATGGCCGACAGGATATTCTCAACTCACAGTCTGCACAAAGCCCCATCATCCGTCTCACCATTGACAATTCCCATTGCTACTTTCATCTTCTGACTCCTCTTCACTAGTCCTCCATCTAGTCTCTTTGCCAGCATAGCCGCCATCTCGGTCTTTCGCTCAATCATTGGCTTCTTCATCACCTTATCCGACCACGCAGCCAGTCCCGAGACTTCTTGCGCCGCAGGCCGGCCGAGGTTGAGCTTGAAGAGTAAAATGTCCGAACCTTCGTATGTGAGATTCGCGACAATGTCCCTGGCAGAAAGAGCGGCGAGAGCGGGAAGTGTAGCGGATGGGATGTCCAGGATGGTGGGAGGATCTTGATTCGGTTCAAGCGACGAGCGAGGGGGCGATGGTGATTGGTTGACGGGCGTGGGGGCGGGTACAGTTGGAGCAGTCACCTCTTGGCGACGGATCAGTTCCTTCTTGGCGACGTTGTATGTTGCTGCAAGATAAGACTTTGACGATAGACAGTGACGCAGCTCTTCGATGGTGACAGTGGAGAGAAGAATCGTCATGACTTGGTCGACCTCCATGGGGTCGATGCGAGCTACCTCAGCGTGTAGTGTGTCAGACTCACGCGAAGAAAGTGGGAGTGACGAAACCGACTGGAGAGATATCGGTGACAATGACACTGGGTTCGAGGGATGAAGGTGCGGTGGGACGCCCATCGACGGTGGGCTTGATTCGGATGTGGCGACGTGCACGTCGAGATCTGGGTCGCCTTGAAGGGTGCCGATTGTCTCCGCAATGCGGATTTGCAACTGATGTGGATCATGGAGGAGGGAGATGAGTTCGAGGTCGGATTGTACGAGGGCAGACACGGCCGGCTGGATGAACCCCTCTGGAACGGCGTTCAGTTGGGCGAAAGTCCTGACCCTTGGATCGACTCGCTTCTCAAGCTCTACCTTGCGGCTCTGTGGACTGAGGAGTCGAATGTCGTCGGTGGTAGCAAAAGGCTGGCTTGTCAGACCAACAAACCACCAATGCAAGGAGACTCACCGAGATCGATGAGTAGTTTCTCGAACGCCACTTGGCGTCAGTCCGTTGTGGACTAGTAGACGACCGTGCTCTCTGGCCACTAGCACGACCAAAACTCGCCGGCAGACCAAGAGCCTTGCGCTCCGCAATTTTCTCTGGTCGCAGCTTGCGAGGTTCATGAAGCGTGACCTGAATTTGTTGACGTCCGACAGTGGTACCGTTGAACTGCGCGATAGCTGCAGCCGCTACATGATAAGCTCCAGCCCGTCACATCAAACATGACTGACCCATTTCCGGAGATTGAAAGCTGACAAACCCGTAGCCACGACTCCTGCCCAAGTCATCACGCATCACCTTTGCACTGACGATCCGGCCCATCTGTTGATCAATCTTCGGTTCCCCAGAAAATTCTGATATTTTAGAGGACATCAAGGCTCACGGGCTCAAACAAATGCTTAAGGAAGTCGGAGTTGATATCTGGGTCCAAACTCTGTTCCATCAGCTCCGTCAACCTCATCGTTTGAGAGGCGCACCTTGACGAACACATTCGCATAATCGACAAGCCCAGACGCGCTGGTCGAGCCTGGTCCGCTCACCGGAGCAGGGCGTATATGCTGTCCAGGACCTTGAAGCGTTGTCAGCGGCAATGCCTCCACAAGGATAGCCTCTCACCATGTTGTATGTACATCCCATCGTTCGCGATCAGTCCGACCGCCTTATACTCCCCACTGACAGTCTCGCTCACGTCTAAACTCCACTTCCTTGGAGTTCCAGAGACAGATCGGGACAGACTATTGAGACTACCTATACTGCCCTTTGTGCTAAGTTGGCTACCTCGATGCGAGTCGGCAGTCGGAGAGAAGGGAAGGCTGACATCATAGTCGTTCTTCCCAGCGAACACATTATGAGCTGACCAAGGCACAACTTCGGTGTAAGGTGGAGTCGGTGGGACACCCATTCCAGGGATGACAGGAACGACGCCATGCTCTGGAGAGTCGCGGATGGACATGATACCGACGGACTGCTTGAAAGCCTCGGAGCTGAGCTGAGCTGGGGTTTGTGGAAGATATTGGACATTGTGAGATGGAAGCGTGATAGCTGAAGGGTGAGGCGGCTGGGGTGTAGGAATTGAAGGGACGAAAGAGGGTTGGGAAATCGGTTCGCTTTGTGCACCAGCAATGACAAAGCTGATCGTGAGTGCGGTTACATAGCAGGGGAAACACTCACATCTGCCATCCTTTTAGATAACTGGCCGTTGCCCCGAAGCCCGTGGAAAATCGCTCCGCTTCGTCCTCGTGCCAGAACTCAGCTAAGGCGCGCCAATTATGCTCTTCGCCTTCGAGCTCGGCCCCGTCTTCATCCCGCCAGACATTGACTTGTCGCAAGGAGCCCCATGGTCTGAGTGCCTCAAAGATATCTCCTGAAGTGGGCCAGGCTGTGGGGAGGATCCCATCACGACTAGGCGAGGGTTCGGGCGGAAAAACCAGTCGTTGAGGTCGAATGTAGCGGATTCTGGTGGTAGGGTCAGGGAACGGAAGATAGCTCGGAGGAGGTGCAGGGGAGACGGTCATATTTTTCATGACAAAGGCGAAGTGAAACGGGAGGATAGCGAGAGCCTTTTCAGCTTGTGCGATAAGCAAGACTCTTGTGACAGACATGTAGACCTACCATTGAACAATGTAGTGAATTCGATCGTGCCTGCCTGTTAGGATTGTCTGAAGGTCTGAGGGAAAGCGCACCTTGTCTAGTCATCCAATCATAGTATGCATCTGGCTTGTGTCTGTCCCTGTTCGGGACAGGATGATTGAGCTGGATTTTGAAAGGAAGACATTCCCTGAGACATTTGACGATCTCCACTTCTTGAAGATCTGGGGGTACACCAGAGATGTAAATGACGGCAGCATTCTTCGCGTCAGTAAGAATAAAATATGCTGAAGAGAGCAAGACTGACGAGATACGGGTGAGGCCGTGGAGTGCCCTGCTGGGCTCCGACCGCCATGGCGATGGGTTGTGCTGGGGGAATGATTTGATTGTGGGGCAGCTGTGGCAATGGGGGCACGGGCCACTGCGACTGCGACTGAAGAGGAGTGTAAGTGTTACCCAGACCTTGGACACTCTGATTCAAGGCAAGCTGGAATGAAGCGTTGTAGGTGGGGAATACTCGAGGGAAAGTAGTAGGATCGGGGTGAGGGAAAGCAGAGATGGAATGAGTGTATCCACGAGAGCCAAGAGAAGTCTTGGACGATGTCGATCTGTGAGGGGTCATCAAGGTCAATCCGGACATGGTGAATAGAAGAGAATAGAGAGGAGATGAGAGGTTGTCTGGGGATTGTTCTGTTCGATGGTGACTAGCTTTAAGGGGTGGAGTGTGGAGTGGAAATGAGACGAAAGAGGAAGGGATGCCGTATAGATTACAAGGCAACGAGAAGAATGGGGCGGGAATGTTGTGGTGTCCACGAAGGGAAAATGTCTGAAGAAGAGAAGAAACGTCATCGCGCTCACCTAGACTGAAACTACCAGATTTTCCACTCTCACATCTGCTGATCACACATCCCTCATCTACCCCTGTTTCCAATATAAATCGTACTCGTGATCGCGCTGGGCGTTCAACTCTGACAAGCACAGTGCCTGAGTGCCTGCATGCCATATGAGCATCGATTGGATGGTGGCGGAGGAGCAGGGAAGAGAGGTGAAAGATGATCTATAGATATATGGGATACGTGAGTATCGCTGCACACCTGCACACCGCACAGTCCCCGATGTACAAACGACGACGACTACGGGAGAGGAAAGACCCACCTTGTACACCCTGAAGTCTCTCCACCCACCGACGCCGGCCGCAGATCGCAGATCTCGCAGAGATGCAATTGGTGCCAGTCAAGGCGTTGAGAAACAGGGGAGATGGAAGCGAAGCCGACTGAGACGTCACTCTTCTACCGGATCCTCGCAGTCTGAGAACCAGGCGTGTTTGATGATGTAGACTCAAGCTTCTTTATGAGGAGTGGTAGTATGGTGAGTTGAGCGACTGGCTATCTTCGAGACCCCTTCGCACACGATACTCGCCTAGCTACTGAAGAGTATGATGCTCGAGTGACCGGAAGGAAATTGTGCAAGTGATCAGCTGAACATAATGCCGACTGGAGGGGGCCTGTGCGTCAGGGTTTTTTCCGTTCTAGACGAGGTACAAATGGCTGATATTGATACTCTTGATGATCTTGACGGAACTCATGCCGTCAGAGCCCGAGAAAAAGCGGCTAACAGGAATGTCGGATGGTGGCAGATCGGCGTCGTGCCAGCAGGGATTCCGGGAGTTCCTCCAGGTTGTGAATTGTCGAGGGAGGTGAGAGAATGTCAAAAGTCAGAAGCAGCATCCTTTGGGAATGTTAGCTCCCTTCCTGCGCGGCGCACCAGCCGAGTGTCTCGATCTGGCTCTTCTTGTCCATTTGATTTTCTTTAACACACACGTATGAGGGATGGAAAATTGTAACTTAATCGAACTTTGAAAATCAATCCGCATCCCAGAAAAGCACCATCTAAAGTTTGGCTTTGGAGCGGCAACTTGTAGCGGCGTACGCCGCCAGCGGACAGGCACGTCCGTCCAGTAGTCCATCTCGATTGGGGTCTGCAATCTTTGACTTTTGAACGAATGGACATTGGGAAAAGCGGCTAGCAGCTAGCAAGCTGGTGATCTGCGATTCGCGACGTACTACAGCTACTCAAAATTCGAGCTAGAGATCCTGCTCTACCACTTTCGCTACCCCCGGGCCCGCGGTCGTCATGTCGCGTAGACTCCCATTTCCTCGGCTTTCTCGCCCTGCCTATCTCGTCACCGGCGCTATCTTGGTCTTCCTACTCCACACCCTCTTCATCCGCTCCTCAGAGTCCCCTTCCTCCCCCATATCCCCCGGACGAACTCTCTCTCGACTCTCTTCTCCTCTCCTCCCACTCCGAGGTTCTTTCTCCCCTGACACTTCCGCACTCCTCCCCGGTCATGAGCGATCGTACGATGTGGACATCGCCCCGTCAGGACTTACTTCGTTCCATCCAGGAGATACCAAGCACCCTATCGAGCTTCTCATCGAACGTGCCAAGAGACAAGCGGATAGTATCGATGCTCAGATCGAAGAGGTCACTTCTCTGGAGGACTCTGTGGATGAGTATGAGAGGGGGTATGGAATGAAACCTCCCAAAGGGTTTGACAGGTGGTACGCTTTCACTCGAAGGGGTCCAGTACCGAAGCCTCCTGCAGTTGCACCACTGCTCTCTGCCGCACACAACCCCGTGGTTCAATTTCTCAGTCATCCTGCTGCTGTGCTGAGAGAGAGAGTCAAGGAGGAGGGAAAACAAGCCCAAATGTTCAGTCTCGAATTAGTACCGGACGGTCAAGGGGACCCCGGTACAGCCTGTACGGCGGATCAAGAGTGGACAACTAGGGATTGGCGGACGAGAGGAAAGGGAATGGTCAAAGTACATGGAGACGGAGGATGGAAATTTCGATGCAAGTAGGTCGGTCATGCTTTCCTCAGAGCATCGCTGATCACTTAGCAACACACTTTCTCTGCTTCTACCCATCTTCCCTCTCATGCCCAAGGAAATGTTCCATCTTGACCCACCTCTGGAAATCTTGTTTGCAGTCGACGACGCTCCTAGAGGGATGGTGCATCACTCTTTCCGAGAGAGAGGAGAGGCGCTGGGGAGAGCTATGAAGTGTGAGTGTGATTTGATTATCTTGCTTTCGCTTCTAAATCTCAAGCTAATCTTGCAGTGTGGCCAGCGACTGCCCTTCACAAAGCGGAACAAGCTATGCGTTGGACATATGGCTGGTACGTCTGTGCAATCAACATCAACTTGTAGCTCATTGGTAGGGTATGGGCCTGCCCCGATGACGCGCCGCTTCGCACTCAAAGCACTGACACAGTGTTGAACGATATGAGACCTGCACAGATGCCAGCAGGTGTTGAACAGCGTAAGTCTCTTCCCTTCAGTAATGTTTGTCACTGACTCATCCCAGTTGTCCAGCCAAAGACCTTCATCGCCGACTTTGTCAAGTCTGCCGACGTCTGTTACAACCCTGAGCTCATGTCAATGGTAGATATCTGCTGCTACAAGGTTTGTTTTCTGGCTAACATGTACAGCACAACATGATGATCCTTTCTGAAAAGAATCGAGCTGCAAGGGAATTGGGTCTGTCTCTTGCTACATGTCGCGTTAGCTATACCATATTCTGTTAATGTCCACTAATGTAGCAGTATGTCCATAGCTCTGATCTTGTGTCGGCACCTTTGGATGGTGTATGGGGTGAGCTCTTCTTCGTGTTGGACTTCCGCTAAATCAGTCAGAAAAGGTTGCATATATACCCTGGGAAGAAAAACCGATACGCAAAGCATTCTGGCGAGGAACAGCCACTGGAAGTTTTCACAATAAGAAGATCCCTTGGAGAGGGTCGCAACGTGAACGTTTACACTTCCTCGCGCACAATAATTCCGAAGCCACAGCTCCAATATTGGTGAAGCGCGACGGTCGATGGGTGACGGAATCATACCCAGTCCAAGAGATGAATGAGGCGTGGCTAGACGTTGGATTGAGTGACGGACCAACACAGGTGAGTCTATGCTTCGTGTACTTTTGTGGCGAAACTCATTCGATAGTGTAGCGAAGAAGACGGTAGCTGCGACGAGTTGGAGATGGAGATAGATTTCATGCCTAGAGTCAGAAAAGAGGATGCCGTCAAGTGAGTTTTTCCATCTCGCCTGGACGTCATAAAGCTCATGGAAAGGTACAAATACGTGATCGATGTGGACGGGTCAGTTTACCATAGGATGTTTCGACGAAGCTTATGAGTTAGGAACGGATGGAGTTCTCGTTTCCGTCGTTTGTTAGCTGGCAACAATGTGGTCCTCAAATCCACTGTCTTTGTACGTGCTCATCCGAGGTACTGGGGCTATGCTGACTTTGCAGCCGGAATGGTTCAATGTTGGTCAACGTCAATGTGCTGAAACGTGGCTGATCAGTAGGACCTAATGATACCGTGGTATCACTACGTACCTGTCAAGATCGATTATTCAGATCTGTAGTAAGTGCTTTGCTTTGCAATCTCCTTTTGATCTTGTAACATTTCATCTGCTGTACCGAGCTTTGCCATCTTCCTCTTCTCTCACTCTGTCTCCAACCCAGAATGGCTGTCGTTCCCATTGCACGTCTGCCCTTGACATGACCCAGACCGACAGCTTCAGGACTCATCAATAGTGCATCAAGTGGTGTGAGGCTGGCTGCACAAACCCAAGGATGAGAAAAAGGTGTCGGGATATTGACATACAGCGACATTCTAGCTTTCTTTAACGGTCCGCCAGATGGATCAGCCCCGGGTAGAGACGACCTAGCTAAGCAAATCGCCGAACAAGGATATCGGTTCACACAGGAGAAATGGCGGTATGTGTAAACATTCCCCTCTCCCTCCTCTCTATCCAATTGGCTGATAATCTCGTGCTTCCTCCTATATTCCCCAAGCCTTTCAAGTGTATACACTCACCGCGTCGGAGTGACGCTTCCGTACTAGAGAAAGCATGTAGCTGACGAGTAGGATGCAAGATATGCAATCGTACATGTTTTTGCTACTTTTAGAGGTAAGTCTCTCCCTAGAACCTGAAAGCCAGACCATCTCAACGCTGCTCTGATCTCCGTATATACTCTTTTTCGGGTGTTCATGGTCAACCCAATTCAGCCTTCCCTTCGCTCGTCATTCTGATACGAGATGCTAGCTTGAGGTGTCAGATCCGCAGTGTTTAAAAGACGAAACTGACGTGATAGTATTGGCGCGTATTATCCGATGATAGAGAGGCCAATTCATATCATTCATAGTTCATATAACATTCCGGTGTATACGGTATCATCATATCATGAGAGTCACACGATTAATGCAAGCTCTTAATAACAAACTTATCGATAATCCACTTCTGCGTCATTCACTGACCACTGACGATCAACCTCATGGATAACCCATCCCCATCTCGTACACTCATGCTGTGTAATTTCTGGGGCGGTGTACATAAACATAAAGTACCGAAGCCAAGAGAATCATACCTATTTCCACTTTTCAAACTTCATCTCCACCCGTTCCCCACCAAGAGGATATACCCAAGCCATCCATTGTCCTCTGACGGACACATGACCATCACTGACTTTTACCCGAATATCGACCCTAGCTTCATGTCCATCTTTCCATTCTATTTCATCCGCTTCACCTAATATTCTCCCTTTTCCTCTCTCTTCCACACTCGTCGATTTAGCAGAGGGAGAAGCGAGGTAATGAACATATGGTACAAAGATTGAAGCTTTGCCTTGTTTCTCTTTGTCTTCCTCTTCCTCTTTCTCTCCCTCTCCATTCATTCTTGTCCCATCACGCGGAGCATCTCCCTGTGAGTGTTCTTGCGACTGAGACGTCGGAGCTGATGTGGTAGAGTGAGACGATGAAGATTCACAGGTCTTATCAAGAGGTGAAATATCAATAATCAACCCAAATTCCCCAGAAGACATTTCAAATTCTATTTCTTCAACCCTTCCTCTGACTTCAACAGGATAAGGTCTACACCAAGCTTCTTGTCCTCTAGCTCCTAACATTAACGATTCCAGATTTTTAGGTGAATGAGCCACCAAATCGTCGTCGGTGGATAAATCATCATATGTGAAGATCGAAAGATCTTCGCCGTTCCATCCGTCCCCGTTTGAATGGGTGTTGAGTGGTTCGTACGTCCATAACGTATATGATAGAGCGTTTTTGCCATCTGAAAGTCAGGAAACCCTCTCTCACCACCGCCACATGTTTTGCAATATGATACTTGTGTAAGTACACCAGTTGTCTTGATGATATCCTATGAGAGTGGACATAATAGGGGAAGTAGAAAGGACGGATCCACACTGAGTGGGGAAGGAAATGAGAATCGTCGGAATACATGTACAGATAGTTGGAAGCTGGGTGATGGAAGAGACAAAGAAACCAAAACCCACCACATCCACTCAACACTTCATCCATCGCCTTGGTAGGTTCTCGATAATCATGTCGATCTACTTTACCTTTTGCTAAACCTAATAATCTAGTTTTATGCATATCGAACGGTGTTCCTATTTCCCCTATCACAGCTGATTGTCAGTGCCCCGTTCGACACTGGCTCTGAATACTATTTTGTGTCACGCAACTTTTATCCTATCTGCGCGGGGAGTTGTGCAGGATTGAAGGTTGAAGTGACAGGGAGAAGCTATCACCCGGATCTGTGAGATTGGAAAAGGGACGTTTACTCACTCGGATATTGTTCGATGGGGTCACTACCGCCTATACTCTCGCCTTTTTTGGCATCCGACTTGAGTTCTGCCAGTTGTTCTCGCATATTCCTCTTGATTGACCCTCGACCGAGGTTCAAACCTTGCATGACGGTTTTCAACCCACGTTGGATACCCACTGCGTCCTTGGAGTCAGCTGAGGCATACGCCAAGCATTATATGGCTCACGGCGTTGTATAGATGTCGTCCTGATTGTCAGCTTCGGGTAACGTACAAACGAGCTCCGTCGATGACCTCGTGGCAGGCAAGTATGAAAGGTGAGAATTGAGGATAAGAGGGTACGAAGAGGACACCTACTTTTACCAAGCATAGTTAATCCATCGTAGAAATGCGAACTCAGAGCTATTCTACCCTTCTCTTCCTCTCCTGAGATATCAGGTGGTTGACCGAAAACGGGAGGGTGAATAAAAGATATCGCATTCGGATGAGCTCGTCGTATTCTCGACATAAACGAAGTGTACGATGCTACCCGTCAGTTCCACCTCGTTATGAGAAGCACCTGGAAAAAGCTAGACTTACGTCGCCAGAATACAGACTGGAAATCCAGATCTTGCCCTGTGGGGCGGAAATAATCTTTCCTCAGAATCTCTCTGGTGTTGGGGTCCCATCTACGAGATTAGCATCTGGGCTAGTGAAATGAGAATGGAAGCGTACACTCCATGAGCCGCCCAAGGACATCCACCAGTCCCATTCTCATCCCAAAAGTCCCACGCTGAACCCCACTTATACCCCCACCTCTCCTCTGCCTCGCGAGCTTCTTCCCTAGTCAACCACGCCCCCTGTCCGTTCGGAGGAGTAATACTTATCTTCCCCTTAGATTTCGGACCTAAAGATGTGAAATCGTCGATTTGTACCCCTTCCACTGGCTGGCCCATACCGAGTATCAGTGTCTGAAGAGGTGTTGGAGAAGGTCCCTTTCTGAAGTCCTGGGAAGAAGGGATGACATTGAGGTCTGGAATTCCGATGAATCCTTCGTGTGGTTCGTTCATCGAATCCCAGCCAAGTATACAATCGTCCAATAGACCTCCCGCATCTCGAAGACGGTCCGCTAGACTGTGTGTCAGATCTAACTCCCTCTGCCAGACTTCTCCCATTTCATCGACATGCGATGTCGACGGGGGAAGAAAGAAACATAGTTAGTCACAACAGGAGACTTACTGGCCATACGCCTCTGTCCTACGTGTTCGGACCCATCTGCCTGCTGATTGCCCGTCAATAGTGCACTTAGGAGCGAATCTCTCTCCAGCCCAAAACACGGTAAAACAATGCCGGGCAGCTAGTCGATTAAGGTTCGTTTGCCATATCACTTCTTTTCAATTTTGATGACTCAAGAGCTTGAGAGGACCTACTGTCTGGCCAATCACCCACTTTGCCAGCGGCGGCCTCCCGACGTCCTTCTTCCCCTCCATACCCTTCTGTCTCCCAGGAGGCGTGAAGAAGAGCCGCTCCGGTCTGATGTAGTCGACGAGGGCTGAGACCTAGAGCATTCAATACCCAATAAGGTGCCCCGCTACCAGAGATGAACCTGGAGAAAACATCTTGATGTGGGGACAGAACTCTGTGATGAGTATGTGTATGTCCATCTGGTCAATGAACCACTTACAGACTTTGAAACCATACGCTTTGGCTTTGCGGAGGATACGGATGGTATAGTCGATAAAGGCTTCATCGTATTTACCTCTGGGCCGTCAGACGATTGACAGAGGTCAGAGTTGTGACGGACTCACGGACCAGCATGTTCCAGAGCCTCCCAAGGGATGATATACCTTATTAGGCGGAATCCCCAGAAGCTCAACCGGCTAAGATGTAGCTATCAATCAACACTGGTGCTGATGTTGTGAAGCAAGCTTACGTCCGCCTCCCTCTCCTGTAAGGGATGACCGACAAACCACCCTTCTCTCCCACCTCGTTCGGCCTCATCCCACAACGCTCCTTGATCGCCCACATGCGTAGAGAAGCCGGCCAGATGACGACGATACTCGTCCCGTTGCTCCCTGGTGTCTTGAGGAAGATTGGAATAGGTGTCTGGGCGAAAGGCGGGGACTTTGGCGGAAGAGCCCAAGTTGACACCCCGCAAGATGAGGGAGGTGGGCACCTCGGTGGCATGCACGGGGGAGCGAAAGAAGTTGCCATACGAAGTTTCGATGATGTCTCCGTCTTGGACCATAGAGCTGCTCGACATACTGGAAGTGAAAGCGGATGAAAGGTTGAGAGGGAAACGGGTGGAAGAGGAGGAGGGGGAGCGAAATTGTGATCGATCGGGATTATGACGTAGTATTTGTTATATTCCACTTTTGAACCTGGTTCATCAGGAAGGACATCCATCATCGGTAATGTGGAAATGACGGTCACGATCATCGCACCTACCTCCAGCCAATATGTTGTCGAGACTTCTATCCATACCTCTCAGTATCGGAGCTCTAATTGCTACCCCGTCACGCCTTTTGCTATCCACCACCACAAGAGCAGCTAGTGTCATGGCTCTTGACCCTACCCAATTGAATGGTGAGTCACCTCGTCCGTCTCTCACACGCCATCCTTTGAGACAGATACTCATTACCAGTCTTCCACGCACCTCTTCGACCCTTGACCACTGAGGTGGACTCCACCCATCCCGCTGGCTTCGCAAGAGACGGGTATTGCCGTGGTACTCCAGAAGATGACGGAAAGCATTTCATAGGTGCTGTCGTCACTCAGAACTTTCTCGATTACAGCAAGAGACGAGGTGAGCTGAGACGTCTTCCTCTAACGCCGACGGCTGATTGACAGGAAACGATTTGACCACTCCTCAGCCGGGGTTTCCAGGGTTGAAAGAAGGTTGTAAATGGTGTCTCTGCGTCGAACGGTGAGCTTGACATGTCGGATAATCTCTGACGTCAGTTGGAAACAGGCTTTGAGCGCAGCTGGGACACATGGTCGAAGCGTTGTACCCCTGTGAGTCTAAATGCCTCTTTCGATGATGAACAATAGTGTCCGACATATAACTGAGAAGGTCTGATTATAAGGGTCGATCTGAAAGCCACTGCGCTTGACGCTCTCCAGCATGTCTCCATGGAAGAACTGCAGAGGTTCGAATACCAACCGAAACCGACTCACCCATTTTCGTCCGGTTCCAACTCTAAACCCCCGTCCGACGAAATATAAACAATACTTGTTTAGCAGTACTGATAGCGGTTCGGGTGTAGCAAGAGTATAGGGGAGAGGGAAAGCATTTTGATTCATCCATGCATGTTCGTTTCTTGTCCACCCAACATGAAACTCCCCGCCCCACTGAGAGGAAACGGGGAGCGATTAACAGGTTGTTCTTTCTGCTTCCCACCGTCACACAGATCTGACCCTGTACGCTACAAGATGTAGCTCCCATGAGATCCTTGGCTGATGGGGAACAGACAAGGGGGGAGAAGGTGAGATGCATGGAAGAGACACACGCCCTTCGCTCGTATTCAAGGTAGGGGCGGAGTTTGGACGGCGTTAGAAGAGGATCCAGTGTGGCACATTTGCAGACGCCGACAAGGTTCCGAACAGTCATGTTGCGCAAGCGAGACAGAGCTTCACAAGTTGAGAACACTGACAACAGCAGAGGTGCAGAGCCTATAAAGGGTTTGCGGGAGCATGGGAGCAGAGAGATGGGGCCCGATACTGACAGTGTACAATGTACGTTGACTGGGCAGTGATAACTACATTGTAGAGCATACAAGTGCCGTTTTGACATCTGACGAACAATTGATGCTGATCAGCCGTAGTGTCAGTACCATCCTTTGGTTCTTCCTCGCCATCAAATTCTTCCCCTTCTTTCAACCGCATCCGGTCATTTCCTAACCCAAAGGTGTCCCCAAGGTCCTTTAACTATCTCCCACCGCATTCAGTAACTCCCAATCCTCATCTTCGAGATCTTTTTGTCTTCACCACGATCCCACATTCCACCTTTGTCCTCTTCTCCTCGACGACTGAACCCGCGACTGTGTAAACGAACAATGGCGGATAGACAAATGGATCAACTACAATACCTCTCCCAAGGTCTCGGTTCCGCATTCGAATACAATCCGATGATGTATCCCAATCCCCCGCGGGGAGGTGGTTTTGTTCAAGGTGGCAAGAATGGCGCAGGGTCTGTAGGGGAAATAGAGTGAGTTGAAGGTTCTTTTGTACCACGTTGCGACCTACCTTGCACGACTATACGACTGGATGGATTCGATTGACACACGTTTTGTACATGAGGCAAGAAGGGGTGAGGAGGACTGAGGGCTTGTGAGGGCGTGAACTACAATACGAAGATGGGGTTCTCCTGCCCCCAGAGATATCTTTTGATCTTCTCATTTTCCGTCTGTTTTTGATCCTTGTGCCTTTTTGCTTCTTGATGTACTGTCTTGATTCTCAAATCTGATTCTGTGATCTCCCCATCTTGTTCATTTCCCCTCATCTACTCATATCCCATCATCCATCTTTTCTTGGCTGAGTCTCTCTTTAATCTATTGCGACGCCCATATTGGTCATCATTCCTAGTCGTGGCTTCTACTTCATCTATGATTCTGATCTGACCCTCAGTCCTGCTCAGCTCAACGCACGGCTTCAAGCTCTCCGACTTCAAGCACAAGCTTCTGCAGAATCGCTTCAACAATCTCAACCTTCCGATCCCTCACCCACCTTACCTGACAAACATCATCCCACAGGTTACCAACCGATCCACGAGTTACTGCAACCTCTTGAATACCCATACAACAAATACCCTTCTGTGACCTCTCTAGGACCGGACGATAGCGTCTCCAGATTTCAGAAGATGTATAGACCTTCTCGGAAACCTGTCCCAGAATCATCTGGACAGTCTCTATCAGGTCGAAGGGGAGGTACGAATATCGATAGAGGAGATGAAGGGGTGGATTACGAGCCTGCGGAGCATGATCATCTGGATAGAGGAGAGACGGGAAGTTATGGAAGTCATGGTGGTGTGACTAGGGATTCACCTGGACCTGACGCTTTGGAGTTTGATCAAATTACTTTGAATCCCACCAGCGTATGGACAAGTGGGACATTGTGAGTCTTTCTTCCTTGCCACGACACGCGTAAAACCCATGTCTTGCCGAACCTCTCTCATTGAGGGTCAGTCGGAAGCCATGACATGGCCGCATGGCATAGGAATGAACCCTTTCATACACGACTCCACACTCCTTTCATATGCGCCGCCCACTCATATCGCTCAATCGCTCAGTCTTCTCCTTCGTCATACTCCAGGCTTCAAACTGACTGTCAGAGCGGGAAACATGTACACAATGCGAGATCGCCTTATCCAAACTGCTGAAGAGCGAGAACAAGCCAAGCACTCCGAACTGCATCGTCAACTAGATGAAACGGCCAAACTTGCCGGTGCTCTGGCCAAACTCGAAACGGCCGAACAGCAATTGCGTGGGTTACAGGCTACCCTCATCGCTGAACGAGTTGCTAGATCTCAAATCGAGCAAGAGGCAGAGACTAGTATGAATCACATGCACGATTGTAGTCGGGAATTAGGGGCTGCCGTTCGAGCACTCAGGAGGGCGAAAGAGGAGGGAAAGAGGACAGATGAGGAGAGAAGAAGAATGCAAAGAGCGTTCGATGAAACGGTGAATAGGTGAGACATCATCCTTCGCCCCAGTCATGTCAAGACTGATGATTTAGACTTCACATATATCATGAAGCTCTCGAAGTGCGTAAAGCTTCTGAGAAAGGTAGAGAAGAAGGAAGAAGCGCCGTAAGCTTCCGTGCTCACCTCGTCATAATTAGCTGATGGATAGGCTTTGGCCGAAATCGCACAGTGGTTATCCTCAGAACCACCAATTCCTGGCATGGCTCCACTACAGTCCATTCCTCCTGCTGTGTTGCACCAAACGCCGATGATGCAGCCTGCACAACAACTCTACCCCCAAGTCCAAGTTCATCATATGTACCAGCCACAACAGGTACAACCGCAATCTTACCAATCTCCACCAATGCAAGACACTCAACCTCAACAAGCACCGATGCAGATACCAATGACCAGTCCGCCTCAACAAAATCAGAGCTATGCGCCTCATCCAATCTCACCGACGTCACAGCTGCCTCAACAGAGCTTCGAACAGATGTTCCATGCCCAACAAGTCCAACAGGCATTACACTCTCAGCAAGCTCAGCAGGCTGAACAACTTCAACAGTCGCAATCACCGCAACAAGTACGACAGGGCTCACAAACCCCACAACCGATGACGTCTCAACAAAAAGGTCCCACACCACCGCCTATGATTTCCCAGCAGACCGGTCAGACACAAATGCCAATGATGCCACAACATACCGCTCAAACTCAACAGGATCGTGTACCAATGACAAATCAACACACGGGACAAGCCCAGATGCCGACGACGCAGCAACAATTCGGTCAGATTCCTCCTCCCCAGATGGCTTCACCGACCGGTCAGCCTCAAATGACGCAGAATGGTCATCCCCAGATGGCACAGTTGAATGGTCAAGCTCAAATGCCGCAATTCGTCAACGGAATGATGCCCCTCAACCAACAGGCTCAGACTCAGCAACACCCCCAGATGTTAGCAGTCCCAATGGCTATCGAGCTCGTTCCAGCCGTACAAACCTTCCAACCGGTTATGATGTCCACTAACCCGGCTATGATTCCTCTTCCCATGACGACCCAAACTACCTACACAGCACTTCCTCAACCCTCTCGACCTCCCACTGTCGGTCATCGAACACCACATCAACCTCCTCTCCAGATGCCTCAGGCTCAGTCGACATATACCACTCCTGTACGTACACAACCACCCGCTTCAGTACGAAGTAAATCCCAACGTGCACCACCGGCAGTAGCTTCAAACACTCTCTCCGTTCCCCGCGTGGAGTCGGTTTCTCGACCAGGAGCGGCTGAATCTTACTTAGAGAAAATGGAACAGGATTCAATGGTACAGTCCCTCTTACGAAATGCACCCTCAAGGACAATTCATACGGATAGATTCCCTTCTGACGATTCGGACCATTTCAGAAGTAGCAGTGAAAAACCTTTACCTGATCCTATGGCTAGAGTTCCTCCTCCTCCGTCAAATCGACACGCACCTTCCGTCACTCCCGGTAGAGGTCCAGGTAAATCGAAGGCTCCCTCAGTCAATAGTCGAGTGCCAGGGAGGAGATACAGTTTGATAGAAGGTTTACATGCCCATGCGCACAGTCAACCTCAGACGGTAGATGGTGATAGATATCCAATGTTCGCAAAAGGTGCAGGGACAAGTGTGGGACCTTCTAGACATCCTTCGGCTGAATCATTAGATCCTGTCAATGTACCTCTTCCTGCGTGAGTGATTGCCTTTTTTCCCCTTTAGCCACTTGTCACTCATGCGACCTCACGGACAGTATCCCTCGAAAAGTGCCCTGCTGATGAAAGTAGGTCCGCGATGCAAACTCCTGCAACACAATATAGGAACGACTATCATACCGGTCCCAATCATCGAAATCACGGACCACCATCTCATGTCCCCTCACAATCGGGTCACTCAAGAACCCGTTCTAGAGTTGCAGGTGCATTGAGGAGTGATGAAGAATTAGGACCGGAAATGATGAGTCCGCCAGAGAGTCAAGTGCCTCAATCGCAATACACCCATCATACGCAACAAACTCAGCAGAATCAACAGTTCCAGCAGAACCAGCATGGGCAGCCGTTCCCTCACCATCCGCAAGGTCAGATGCAAAGGAATACTATGGTCAGTATTTGAGCTTTCAAGATCGGATCGAGCTGAGTCGTAGCATCCTCAAGGAAGAAGAAATTATGCTCCTTCCATGCCACCGTCCCGACCTAGACCTCAGGTGAGTTATCGATGTTCCAATTCCCATCTCCATCGTGGTACACTCATCCCGCATGCCCCCTGATCTGCCACATTTGTACAAGCGTCGTCCTCTTTTCTCGGCAATTGTGATGTGTATCGGACTGATCTAATCATCAGGTTGTTCTGCCCCAACGACTCGGTGCTCCTGGTGGGAAAGCAGCCTCCGACCACCCACACGCCGGATATCGTCGACCAGACTTAGGAGCGATGTACGGTCGTGATCTCGCTGCGAGACTCACTGACCAGCTTCCTGAGCCTAAAAATGCGTATGAAGTGCCAAACTCTCATCCGATGTATGTACCTCCTGGTATGGCTCCGGCGGCGGTGGGAGGAGGTGTGGAGGATGTTCAAGGACCTAGACATAGTGCGTTAGGATTGGAAGGAATAGAGAGTCGGGCTCAAAGTGTCAAAGCTCCTACTGTGAGTCATGTTTCCCCTTTGACGGCTTGTTTTCCATCTCGCAATCCCCTTAGCCCCTCTGCACCAACTCGTATTGAGCAGAATAAGAATGATTCTAGCAACTTTCTTCCATTTCCAGTCATTTAAACCTGCTCAACGTATCATCGTTCATCTTGCCCTTCCTAATGAGAACGGTCTTTAGTAATGTCGGTTCATCATAGACTAGTAAAAAGAGTTCCATTTGATTCGATGAGTGAAAACCATCTCTGACTTCACTAGATCAACATTCAACCTCCCGTGCGTCGTAGATTTTCATTCTTCAAATGATCCAATGAATGAAATATCAACTTTCAAATTCCTGACAAAAATATCCAGAATAAAAAAAACTCTTTTCAAGCCTTTGCAAGAGTATCAAGCTCACTCTCAGTCAAACTCCGTTTCACAATTAGCCACAGCACGTACGGCTCCTATGTCTTTACCTTCCAAACCACATGATCAATCCCGAGCTCCGACCGAAAGGTCTCAAAATCAAGGAGGGGCTGCTCAATCTTACTTTTCACAAAACGTTCAACCGCACGAAATACCACTTCCAATTTCTAGAGCACCCACACAACCTTCCAGACCAGGTACCTCTCAAGAACAATTCAGATCAATTTCAAAACCACCTACTTCTCAAGGGAATTTTCAAAATGGGATGAGACAATTACAACCACATGAATATCCCTTACCACCATCAAAAGCACCAACACAAGCGGCTTCTCGTCCTCCTACCTCTCAAGGGAATCATGGTAGAAGATTCGAACCACATGAAGTACCTTTACCTCGAAGTAGAGCTGCAACGAATTATACAGGGGTTTCACCACCTGAATCTGGGGTATCTCCTGAGGAAGCCAGAGGGATGAGTATGGGTGGGAATACTTTAGATCATGCTGTTGGAAAACCTTTACCGGATAGTAGACCGACTACTTATTTTGGGACGGGAGTTATGGTTAGTTTTCCCCTCATCTTTGAAATATATACGTACCACTTGGAACATTTCTGTCACCCTCTCTCGAGTTCACATACCATATCTACCCTCCCAAGTTTCACTTCTGTCTGCTGATTTGGATGCTATGTTATCTGTTCACTACGTTCCCCCTCCGGACGATGATCCTTTTGTCCAGAGTGTTTCGAAGAGGTATATGCATTAGAGAAGAAGTTTGATTTGAAAGTCAGTACAAAGCTGACCCAAAGGATTTAGTTAGTCCAACCGGTACTGCGAAATCAAAAGGCAATATCAGAAGGAAACCTGTTCCTGAACCTTTCTCCAGAGCGTCTTCGAGAGCTGCTACACGTGCTCGGCAATCGAGTGAGTGATCTCATCATCAATTTCATCTCTACCACCAACCCATGTTCCTCATATTTCCCTTCTCAGTTAGGGTAAGTCCAAAAGGTCCAAGATGACCAGGTTTGAGATACCCGGGGACCGAGCGATGGAAAGTAACATGGAGACATAAGAGTAGAAAACAGGATATGAAGTTAACACAATAGCCCACGCGCCGACATTAGCGACGATAGAAGATATGACAGAAGAATCCGGTGCTGAGGGACGGTCTCGTGTTTCACGTGTTCAATAAACAATGATCATTGAAAGAATTTGTCAGTCTTGAGTTAGGTAGATGCATCTTGATTTTTGTTTCTTGTGTTTATATTTCTACATACAAGCTATTTTCTATTTACTCCTCCCTTACGAAACCTAGGTACATGAACGATTGTGACTGGATAGTAGATCGTTGTCGATTTAGAGATGGTGAATTTAGTACCATATGAGTACATGTTGTATTATACTTTTTTTATTCGACGTCATCCCTTCATTTTGAAGTATCTAGTGAAATTTAAATCTTCCAATATCAGATGATATAGTCATATTTGGAGCTGATGTGTGTTCTCCAAAGAAGGCTTGAAAGGGTTTGAGGAAAGGGGAAGATACGTGGCGTAAAGAGGATCTTGATGAATGATAGATGTCAATCAGGTCTGACCATGTGTAGACCACATGTCTAAACCAATCATCATATGTGCTTCTTCTGGCGTTAAGGGAGCTCCGGGTGAACCGGGAAATTTCGAAATTTGAGTAGGATGAGGAGAATTGAGACCTGCTTCTAGGCTGATACATTAGTCATTGATCCCATCCCCCTCACGCTCTTTTGTCTCCTCTCGCCTTTCTCATTGAGTAGGTGATTGGTAGATGTGAAATTGGCGATCATTCACCAAGGCAGATTGGAGATGATGATGATAGAAATGGTGAGATGAAGTCATGTAAGGTAGGTCAATTGTCTGGTGAAATGATTTGAGAAAGGGAAGAATGTATGAGATATAAGGGGTGGCTACGGAGAGGGAGAGAGGGAGGGAAGGAATTTAAGATAAAAATCAAACTTACCGCCATTCAGCTCTTATCCTAGCGTACACAGCTCTAAAAGCACTCAAAGCTCCTTTTTCTTGTACCATAGTCATGCTCGTTCTTGGAAATGTACTCCCGGGACTAGGAGGTGGTTTTCGGATCGTGGATGGACGTGGGGAGTCTGATTTGGGAAAATCATCTTTCCAATTGGCATGAGGTAAGAATTCTATTCTGAAACGAACTGCTTTGGGAATATTTATTCCTGAGATGTCTGTGAGTTAGATTGACTCTCTTCATATTTCTCACACGGCTTTATCCTTGGGAGGAGACAGTGAAGACAGATACTTTGAAGGAAAGCTCCCGGAAGCTACCTTGGAGTATCTGTTCATGGAGCGGGAAACGCGGTAGAAGATATCGGAAGACAGTGTTGGAAAGAGAAAGATGAGAGTCTGATTGATTGAGAAGACGAATCAACTCACCTCTAATCTCATCCACACGACATTTCAAAACGCCCCATCCATCCGCATCTTCAACTACCACAGCCGCTCCGAAACTGTCCAACAACTTCTTACATTCCGCTCTTGTAGTTTTACAGTCTGCAGCACAAAGAAGAGTGTAGGTCTGAGAGTCAGCTCCCGACTGGAAACTCAGCTTCTGTCCTTTTGATTCTTGTTGCACGATCTAGACAAATCGTGCCAAGTGAAGAACGATATGAGAGGTATGAAGATCACGACAGGGAAAGAAGCGAGGCAGCATATACTACTGTTGTGGGAAACGGACTCACGGCTGGTTTCCAGCTGAACAAATTCGAAAACCAAGATCCCTTCATAGCGTCCGATGGCATACCCACCATGAGAGGTGATCCAGGGAGAGTATTAGGAGTTGCGAGATAAGGTGAATTGCCAGGAGATAAGAGCGAGTTGGTCATTTTTGGCATTGCGTCCGTCAAGTCCAAAGGTGCAGCTGTTCGTTAGCGCCTAACCGCTCTCTCAGTCTTAAAGACGTCAATGTAGGTTTAAGACACATGAAGAAGTAGGTGCAGCGTGTAGGAGAGTGAAACTCACGTCTGGACTTTCGTTTCTCCGTCGTACTAGCCTTCCTACCCAATTTCTCCGTCGTTTTCTTGGGCGACATTCGATTTCCCTTGCCTTGACTCATCTCATACTGAGATTTTGGGGGTGGGCCGGGAGTAGCCGAGACGATGTTGGCCCTCAAACTGGCATCACCAAAGTAAGATCTCCTTCTACTACTCTCGGGTCGTTCTTGTTTCGGTACTTGCTCAGTGTACGTACGCAAAGGCATCGGACGACCTCCGGCTGGAGATATTGTGGCAGGTTGCGAGCCTGGTAATTTAGGCGCAGCTTGTGCTGATCCTGAAGTCTTACGAACGGGTTGGACTTGTGTGAGTGGAACACTCTTTGACAAATCTTGTGACTGTGCCGGAGATGTCGGTGTTGTGGCTACACGAGCAGGAGCAACAGGTGAAAGGGAGTTAGGACTATCTGCCATTCGTGACTCTGCTACAGGAGACGGTGATGGAGATGGAGACGGCGTCAAAGTTATCGAAGGAGAGCCTGAAACGGAGATGATGGAAGACCTCGGACTTGTAGATCCGATGAGCATAAGTTGATCCGCAATATCTTGGAAGAACTTTTGAAGGGCCACATCTTGAACTTGAGGGACTGCAATTTTCTCCCCCACTCCAAGTTGACCAAGTTTGACCATGGCAGCTTCTAGTTTTTGAACATTCTTCATTCCTGCAGACATTGGCGACGGGGTGGGAGGTGGCATATTGACACCCAATCCCAAACCATTCGTCGTGTCCCCTTGTGGTGTGGCGCGCTGAACAGTAATTTTCGGATGACGAGGATCTGCGGGTTGGACGGTTGAAGGTGCTGGTGGTTGTACACCTCGAATGGTACCTCTCGGACTGACGGGTGCTAAACGTGGTGGTCTGGGTCCTGCAGGAGCCGTCGCACCAGTACGTGGAGTCTCTGGTGCGGGAGGTGCTGCTCGAGTTGGTTTGGGATGCTTACCGACTTTTGTTCTTTCTGCGTCCGCGGTTCGTTTCGATTTGACTCCATGTGTCGGACCAGGAGTATGAGCGTGGGGACGGGGGTTCACATCGGCTTTGGGAGCAGAGACGGATGTCTGTCGTTCTGCTACAGCGAGAGGTTTGGTTACGAATTCAGATGATGGAGTAGAGTATTGAGAGCCATAGACAGCGTTATAATGAGCCTGGATATATTCGAGGACGTGCCTAGGAATTCCAGCAATCCCATCGTCATCGCTACCGTCTTTGGAACGAGAGAGTAAGCCTTCAAATCCACGGATGTCCACTTGTCGCATATCAGGATTCGAATTACAGGCGTTATCCTCGGGATTGTAATTCTCCAATCGCCGTTCCCGATATTGCATCAATAACCAGTAGAACGACTTTTCCCAAGTTTTCCTGAGGGTCAATGAGGAACTTGAGTGAAGCATGACATCAAGGGACTCACCCGGGGGTCAAAAGACTGTGAAGGAGTCTGATAGCTGGAGTATGTTTGAACAACGCCTGTAAATTTTGCACAATGTCTTTGTCAAGGTTGTGGATACTGCGAATGCCCATGTCAATCCTGTCCAACCGAGGGGGTTCTACGGCCCGCAAGTGACGTCCAGAGCCGGTAGCCACTCGTCTTCGACAAAAGGGATGATTGATGATATCTCTCATCTGACCGATTAGCAATCAAACAAACTGATACACAAAAACGACTCACCGAGATACGTCTCTCGGGTTCTGTGACCAACATTCGCACAATGAGGTTCTTCGCGTCGGATACCATGTCCTCTGGGAGGGAATATCGGCCGTTCTTGACTTTCCCAAGTAAGATTCGGATGTTTTCGTCATCAAAGGGCAGGCGACCAGTGAGTAGAGCGAAGAGAATGATACCGCATGACCAGATGTCAGATGCGGCTCCGTGATATTGATGTCCCTGATCCTCCGTTAGCTACCGCATTGAACCAGATGTTGCAACTTACAGAGACGATTTCCGGGCTGGCATAATGAGGACTCCCGCAACTGGTTTCCAACATCTTGCCTTTGTACTCCAACGCAGCCATCCCGAAATCGGCAATCTTGACATTCCTATTCGCATCCAGGAGGATGTTCTCTGGCTTGAGATCACGATGACAGATGTTGAATCTGTGACAGTAGTCGACGGCGGAGATGATTTGTTGAAAGTAATGTGAAGCTTCGTCAGGATGTAGACGACCTTTTGATACGAGATAATCGAACAACTCTCCACCTTCTACATATTCTAGAATCAAAAATCTGCCGTCAGTCTACATATTCCAACAAGGAGACAACCCACAGCTCTTTCGAGGTTTCCCACACATCGTATAATCCCATGACATTGGGGTGTTCTAATAATTTCATGATGACAATTTCCCTCTCAATACCCAGTACAGGTTGATCGGTAGCTGTACTTGACATCTCAGGCTGACCTTTCGAAGTGACCTTCGTCTTTTGTATGATTTTGACTGCTGCGTAAACCCCTGTCCGTTGATGTTTTGCGATTTTAACTCTTCCTGTCCTACATCAGCTCTGATACCAGGATCACATGGTCGGAACAGACGTACCACAAGCTCCCTTTCCAATGGTTCTCCCTATGTTCCATGGTCCTATCACCTTGGGATCCCCCGGCATATCCGCGGCTACCTTACCTCCTGTGGCGGCAGCTTCTTTCTCGAAACGTGTCGGACCTCGGCGATGATACCTGACCTTGGGTGGGGAAGGGGGGTTATCAGGCTCTTCCGGCTGGGAGCTTGAGCCATGGCGATTTTTGTGATTAGGGTGGTCATAAGTAATATAGGCACTGTGGTTATGTTGTCTAGGAGGAGGTTTATGAAAGGAAGTGGGGAAAGGAATGGGATAAGGAAGGGGTGCACCGTTGTGTTGTACACGAACCGGTGGCATGGTTGGGAATTCGATCCGTTTTTATTTGAGGTGCAGTGTGAGCACTGACTAGTGTATGGTAGCCTCTATATCTCTTCGAATCTTGTCGCTATGGAGGAGGTGGAGTACAAAAGGTGAAACGGGAAAAAAAGGTTGGAGAGACCGAAACGAAATGGAAGGGAAGTATGATACGCATGATGGACGAGAGCAAGGTTTATATGTCAACTAGTCGGTTGGTGGTGAAATTGGAATGAGAAGAGAGCGATGAAGATGCAAGAGGTAAGTTGGTCGGTCAGGGATGAGTATACGAGTTTGGACAACGTCATCTGGGGTCAAACAGCCGTCCTCGGAATATGACAACATGATCGGAAGGGGTAAATTTGAGGTCGAGTCGGTTGACAATGGATCTCTAAGCTTGTGAATATTGGTCAATAATCAGTGAGCTTGTATGGAGAGAGGTAGCGATCCAGACATGGTCGCCAGGGGATTGAACGGGCAGTTTGGAGAAGAGTAAGTCGATGACTGGTGGGGGAAGTGACCCTTCTGGAGGACAGGCCTAAACGACCGACAGTGATCTCTGTGAGGGAGTCAGCATTTAGCTCTGACTCCAGGGCAGTCATATGATCAGATGACTAGATGGCGCAAAGTCAAATTAGTAGATGAAGAGGAAGAGAGAGAAAAGATGAAAAAGTAAGGGTAAAATTTGTGGTGTTCCGTAGGTGTTGGTTTCGTGACATCTAATCATTTCAACTTTCACTTGTCATCCTGCACCATACTTTATAGCATAAACTCACCACTTATCGTGCTTTCACCATAGCCCATAGGTCATTCGAAACTCCCTGTTCCACTCCCTAGTCATGTCCGACGATTTTCTCTCCACTCTCGTCATGTCCGACGATTATGACACTCCACAAGTGCCCATTCCCTCCATCGACTATATCCCTGAGTCTGAACGTCCCTCACAACCAGCTCTCTTCGCCACCATGTCTTCCTCTTCCACTTTGTTGGAACAATCGTCGTCCGCTACTCCTCCAGCCGAGCACGAGACCGTCCCAACGGGATTCTATACTCAGCACTTTATCGCGCTACAAGGCCAAATAGACCTTTTACAAGAATCTCAACATGCTCTCGAGATGTCTGCCACAGAGCAACGACGTAGTTTGGAAGATATGGCTCTGAGCCTCGAAGAGATCGCCAGTGATATGGTAAAGATACATAACCAATCAAATCAGGATGTCCAGCATACCGACGCACAAGATGCTCTGCGAGCCTTGGACGATCGCCTTGCCCGCATGGAGGACCGACAAAAGCAGGTGGATGAGCTGGCGACTCAGCGGGCTGACGTGACCGACAAAATCTTGAAACATCTAACGGAAGGTCTGGGGAGTGTATATGGGAGGATAGAAACTTCAGAGAGGGTACATGCAGAAGGTATCAAGTCTGTTAACCAAAGGCTCGAATCCATCGTTTCTAGACTCGACTGTTTAGATCGTACGTCCCCTTCTGAGTCTTTCGCCTCGCCAACGGTCGATCCACCCCCACCGGTTTCGAAAATGACTTACTGGCACCAACGGGAGAAGGAACCGAGCTCCATAGCTTCCTCGTCTAGAAGTATAGCCAGGCCGCCTCCTCGCCAACAAGGAGCAGCGACGAATAGGACCACTATCACCCCATCTCCACTGAGTCGGACCACACAGGTCCATCGTGACGAGATCGTCGCTGCTTTGTCCGCCGTATCCACCCCTGAAGCTGAGATAGCGACCAACGATCAACACGAAGCGGGTGATTGGGCCGTTGATCATAGCGGACATCTGGACATGGATATGACGCAGGATCCGATAGTACATTCCTCTGTCCCACCACCATCCACAGGCCAGGATGTGTTTCGACATCACGATACGGAAGAGAGCGGTACAGATGATATCAGAACGAAAATTGGACTAGATATTGGTGGGGTAGAAGACGGAGGAATGGACGATGTTGAAGAGATGATGAGGATTGCGTCACGGTAAGTCCTCAGTCCACTTTGACCGGCTGACTCGGAAGATCCCCAGAAGGGACCCCATCGGGAGACACACCAGAAACCGTCAGACGACGATCGTTCCGACCACGACGTCGCCCGGTGAATTATCACAGCCATCCTCTTGACGGAAAGAAGCTGTTTGTCTCTTCTCCCAAGAAGAAGAAAGGCAAGAGGGAGCCTGGGCATCGATTGAGATCTTTTAAAGGGAGAGTGTGGCTAAATAATAAATGTTTGAGCGCTAGTGATGGGGAAAAGAGAGGAGAAGGTGTATGGCCGACTAAAAGTGAGAATACGGTCAAGGGGAAGATGGTAAGTCCACTCCTATCTCTTGACTTCACGCCCAGATTCCACACCAGGAGCGTAGCGCTCAATGTCCAAATTCCCACAACCAACAGACTCCGGACGATGTGCTAACTTATCAGCAAGAAGTAATCTGCGACGCTTGTAAAGGTCGAGTTCATTGGGCGTGTGCGGGACTACAACCAGAAGATGACATGTCGGAAAGAACCTGGGATTGTCCTGATTGCGAACTAGCAATAAAAAAGGGAACTTCGAGAAGAGAGATAGAAGTTGCCCCTCAGGATCAATGTATCCGATTCAACTGTATCCTCAGGTATGTCGCGGTGGAAATCCCATGGTAGTGCACTGCTCATGAAATAGAGACAAAAAAGCCACAGTCAGAGAAGACGATGACGATAAACAGTACGTCGTTGAAAAGATCATTGGGTGAGTGTAAAATTCCCACGAGATATGACAGGTAAAAATACTGAAAACTTAAAAAGACGGAAAGCGATAGCGAGGAATCAAGAGGATCAAAGTAGGATCTTCAAATATCTAGTTCTATGGTCGGATTGGCCTATCACCGCTTCTACATGGTATGTGAAAGTTTTTGTTGACCACCGTCTTCGTATTCCCCACGTCAGCCATCGCACGACGTCTCTCTGTCTCTCTGTCTCTCTGGCTTCTATTTGCCGTCTTTCGCTCTCCGTGCGCATGAAGGAATGAACGCATGAACATATACGAGATTCATAGAATGATCAAAAGATATACTCGCTCTCGTTCGCCTTTTTCAATGGAGCGTATGCGCTCGCTCGCGATCGCTCCCTCTCTCTCGGGCGAAAGTCGAAAAGGAGAAAAAGGGATAAAGACTATCGCTGATGATATAGGGAACATCAAGATCCTGATTTCCCAAGAACGAACCCTCATGTTCGTCAATTCATGGAAGAAGCGATATCGCTTGAAATACCTCTAAGACCAGCAGTGGCCTTGCTTCCAGAAGCTACAAAATATTGGGACCAAAGGGGAGATGAGAAGAAGAGAAATAGAGAGGAAGGTGAAGATGATGAAGATGAGAAACCTAGTCAAAGAATGAGAAGAGGGACAACTACGACTACGACGACAACTACTACGACTACTACCAATACGAATCAAGCTTCTTCGAGTAGTAGAGCTGAAGGTGAACCTTCTGTTCCTAGATCTGAGGTGTAGAATATACTTGATGGTATATTATAGAAATAGATGTTTGGGATCATTAGGTTATTCACGAGTGAGATGGACGATGGACGGTTATACGCTATGAAGGTGGAACAGTTGGACAGTTGAAAGGTGAAGGTTCATGGTAGAATCATAAGGGACGGATCATCGACAATGTAGAACATCTGGAGAAACGGGAAACGGGAAACGATTTGGTATAGATCTAATGATTCATGTGAGATAATTGTTTAAACGATGCATACACATGTCCCCTCTCCTTCCCTTTCAAAATTCAAGTCCGCCATTTGTCCTCCCTATGCCTGTTGAGAAAACTAACGAAGACAGGAAAAGGAAATAACAAATGACCAGGAAAGAGAAACGAAGAGGATCAGACAGAAAGAGAGAAAAGAAAAGAAAAGAATTCATCTTCTCTTTTTCCCAGCTTTTTTAATCCTCTTCTCAGCTCTAACCTCTTTCCTCATTCTAGAATCTACAATCTTATATTTCCCTTTAACACCTTTAGGTCTACCTTTAATACCTTTGTTCGAACCTTTAGCAACCACGATTTTCTTTTCTTTCTTTTTATCTTTCCCTTTTGCACGATTTAACAATTTACCAACTTGTTTAGCTTTTTCATTTTCGTTTAAATCATCAGTATCCATAACTCCATCCGCTTTCTTTTTAGCTTTTTCTAATCTAGCAATAGCACGATATTTTTTCCTAGCTTTTGCTTCTGCTACTTTTTTTATAGGTCTAGCGTCTAAAGCTCTTTGACGTTCACGTAATACCGATACAGCTTCTTTTGTTATTGGGATATTAGGACGATAATGTTTTGCTTCATCATCTAAGAACCAATTTGGGAGTGAATCTTTGTTCAAGTTTGAATGACGATTGAACCCGTCGTCGATTAATGAAGATAGTGTTTGTTGACGGTTTATTAGACGTGTGGCTAGGGTTATAGCTTCGGCTGAGAGAAGACCTTTGTCTAGATGTTATCAGCACGAGGTTGTTATGTATATCTTTGTGTGTGTGAGTGTGTGTGTTTACTTTGCAGCTATGTTTTCTGAAAAGAATCAAGTAGAGATCTAAAAGGAGCAGGGATGGGAGAGATGTGACACGAGATGGATGGTAAGGATGATGTCGTGGGAAGGAGACATTTGGCGATGAATGTTGGAGGGTGAGTGGTAGAGTGAACATTAAGGTGACATAATCGCAAAGTGAATGCCATGAAGAACACTTGGACAAGTACGAAGGGGATTCCGGTCACAAAAGCGAGTGATGAGATTCGATGAGAATAAAAAATTATCACCACTCACCTTTGATAACCTTCTGTTTCACCTCATCCTGATCCACATCATCAACATCCCAAGCTTGACCGTCGTCTTTATCCTGAGGAACGATCTCAAAATCGTCCTCCTCCTCTTCTTCTTCCTGTTCCTCACCGTCCTGCTCATCACTGACGGAAGCCATCTCCACATCACTTCCTTCCTCATCTCCAGCACTTGACAACTCCTCAGACATTTCCTCATCCTCTTCTTCATTCCCATCTCCTTCCAAGTCCATCTCTTGTTCATCGATCGATCCCTCAGCAGATACCTCCCCCTCATCATCGCCATCCAAAGCAGCAAGATCCCCAACGTCTTTAAACACCGACTGTGTGAACCATAACTGAGCTTGTCGACTCATCTGTGCTTTCTCCTCTTTCTCCCTCAAAGAAGTCACCAAACCTTGATTCTTCTGAACCGTCTTTTGTCCTGTATCAAACCTCACTGCCTTCCGCTTTTTCTCGTGTGTCTGAATTCCAGACATCTTCTCTTCATCTGACGAATCATCCGAATCAACATCGTATTTTTCTTTTCTCGCCGTAACCACATCCCATCCTCCCTCTTCACTTTCCTCTCCATCCCCCTCTCCTGATTCATCCGCATCTCCCCTTCTGGGAACACGTACCATCCCACCTTTGTAACTCTTATCGATCTCATCATCACTTTCCGCATCACTTCCTTCTTTGATACCATGCCAAGCGGCGAAGTTTTTATCTCTCAAACGAGCCTGTTTGACTTTCCACCTAGCATCCCGTTCTTTCATCCTTTCTTGATATTCGTCATACATCCCGTCCAATTCGCCCTCCAGAGCCTCGGTCCGACGTTCACGTTCTTCGTCAGAAGATAGCACTTCGGCATCTTCTTCCTCATTTTCAGACTCCGAATCTGAAGATGACATCCCGTCGGCATCTTTCAAAGTCTCACCCAGAGTGGATTTCCGACCTCTCCGAGACAACTCCTTTTCACCCTCACCAAGATCGAAAACTTGTTCACCGCCAAGAGTAGGATCGTCAAAGTCGAGATCGGTAGGAACGGTCATGTGGAGTTGATGTTTGAGGAGTTCTTTCGCTTTCTTCTCATTTGCACGTTTCTTTTCTCTCTTGGTTTGAGAAAGTTTGCTTTCGCGGAGTCTTTCCAGCTGATCGTCAGTTTCAGGTAAACAATCAATCGCAGCAGACTCAGTCCAGATAGACCCATCATGATGGACAAGAGAAAATATGAGATGTTGGATCAAGGTATGACGAGACTATGGACCCACTTCAGCAGAGATTTGTTCTTCCTCATCCATGGGTTGAATATTTACCTCCTCTGTGAGGTCTTTAGTCGCATCTGCCTTGACGTCCAACCCCGTTTGCAGTCGAATGGCCGTACGCCATTTCATGAGTAGCTTGAAATCTCCTTTTCCCAACACTTTGAGATCGGCGAAGTTGGCTAGAACATCCGGGGTGGTATGTCGAGATTTAAGCCATCTGAAAATAAGCACGCAAGTCAGACAAAGACACAGAGTCAAGTAGTGGAAGAAATAGAAAGGTGATGGAGAATAACAAGTCCGACATACCCTTTTTCCTCTTCAGTAACAAATTCGATTTGATTCATGCTACCAAGTAGCGCCACAGGATCCGCTCCCTTGACAAAATCCCCCACTGTTGTCTTGTGGAACAAAGTATAATCTCCTTCCGCGTAACCATCCCTATGTCTCCTGTTCTTCTCCGGCATGAAAACATTCGCATGAGCTTGGTTGTTGACCGCGGGTTTTGACGATGACGCCGCTGTCGTTGATCCTTCACCTGTAGACTGGGTGATAGAAGTTGGCAGAGCCGCGACGTCTTTGAAGACATGCTTTGGATCCAAGAATTTGGGATCGATATGCTTTGGAGCGATGAAGCCTTGACACACGACGAAGATCTCTGCGGAAACGTTTCTTTTTAGATCAGCTGTATCCCGAGATCAAAGATCAGGTAGCTAACCTTGATGAGGGAGGTTTAGTAGCTTCCACACTGTCAAATAACTGTCCAAAGACCCATAAGAGGGAATTATAATCTTGACTCCTAAACACCTTGGTAACGAAATTTCCACCCTTGACTAAGAACTCAGTGGCAAGTTTCAAACTCTGCAACACCAATTCGTTCTGCGTGAAAGCGTCTTGAACCCAAGCACTACCTACGTTCGGAGCACCATCATGCAGAACCAAATCGGCTTTCCAATCGTGCATATGCGACCGGAGGAGGTTGCGACATTGAGGGGTCGTGATATCGGATACGAAGGTAGTGACGTGGGGTAGGGCTCTGATGGGATGAAGATCAACACCGATGATGAGAGACCCTTTCGGCATGTACTTTTCAGCTACTTGTAACCAACCTCCTGGTGCTGCACATAGATCGATGGTACATTTGGATTTTGCGAGGAGGTCGTATTTGCGGTTGAGATGGATGAGCTTGCTGGGAAGGTCAGCGTGGATTAAGATGGAGGATGATACAGTAGGACACTTACAATGCTGAACGAGCACGATAACCTTGCTCCTTCGCAAGCTTGTAGAACTTGTCTAGACGACCTTTACCTGTCTTTTTGTCATGCTTTCCCATCTTGCCGTCGTTGAGAAAAGTTTAAAACCAGAGAGGGTTGGGAGGGGCAAGAACTTTTTCCATGGGACCCGAGTTACGTAAGCAAGTGATGGAGGCTGCAAGGAAAATCAAAACTGAACCAACTGACGCTGCACCCGCGCTCGGACCTCTCTTCCCTTCTGCAGTAGCCATCATTCCCCTGCACTCTGCCCCCCTTTCCACTTTGCTCACCATTGCCACCACCAAGGACACATCTATGTCTTTTCTTCTCCCCCTTGTACGGATAATGACACTGACGACAAAGATATCCAACAAGTGATCAACAACGACGACGACGACGACGACGACGACGACCACCACCACCACCAACACACAATCACTTAACACATGCCATCAACATGCCCGACATACCCACCACTCCCCTCGGTTCTAACCCATCGCCACCCAAGCCTTTCACCAGCTCTCAGCCCATATTTGGCTATCAAGCTCGACTATTACAACGTACTTCATCTACAAAGACTTCCGGCACACCTATCTCCGGCTCATCCGGCCTGACCTCATCCCTCGCCAACATGGCCATGGGACCACCAGCTCCTCCCAACGGTACTTCACCTCCTTCCACCCCCATCACCCGCAGTGTCAAGCGTATGGTAGCCGAGGGAAACCGGCAGAATGGTCCTGAGTTCGCTACCCCTGGACTCCGAGGCTCTGCTGGATTGTCAAAGACCCCTAGCTCCATCTCATCACATACTAGAGGATCACAGTCGGTCAGCTCTGTAAGGAACCAATGGCAAGCTAAGATCAACAAGCTTTCTACCACTCCATTGTCCGAAGCATCTTTACCTCCAAATGGAAGCCAACAGACGCCAAAGTCGCTGAAACGGAGCACTTTCTCCCCTGATCTCACCACTGGAATGGGGTTCGCACTTTCGAATATATCCACTCCGTCCTCTATCATTCCTATCCGGACGGGCTCCTCGACGACTGACTCGGTACCGGATGTAAACAAGTATCAAAGTGATTTCATGGCTTCAAAAACCGCCAAACGCTCCACTGTGTTTGGCATGGAAGGGATCACTGCCTCTCCCATTCCTACCCCGATCGAACGTCCCTCGACACCACCGTCGAGCTCGAGTGTCATATCTGACCAAAGCCCGACAACAAGACAGCGACCGGCGTCCGTATCATCCTATGCCTCGATATTGTCTCCACATTCCACTGGTGAGAGTTCTGTCACATCAGGTCGGACGCAAGCCCAGGAAGAGAAGCTAGCCGCTGCTAGGGCTAACGCCCTGAAGAGGCTTGAGGCGAGACGAAAAGCTCAAGCTGAAGCGGCTGGTGAGGGTAATGCAACAATGAAAGCCACGGCGTCACAGGACATCCCAGCAGAGGTTACGATTCGAGCATCTCCCCCCGCAGCACCAATCACCTCGACGCCTGAACCGACGGCCGTGAGGTCTTCTCCCTTTGCTCATCTGTTCGAGCCTCCTTCGTCGAACACGGAGAAGACACCTACCAAACCAACTTTCCACTTCTCCGAGAATGTCACCCCTACGTCCTCTCGTAGCTACATCTCGCGGTCGACCGCTGCATCTTCGACCACTCCTGCACCTTCGGCCGCACCTTCGTATGTCCCCTCTGGTCTTTCCGTCCCAGCCGCTTCTTCCACTTCCTCTGGTCCCGGGTTGCTCGGAGGGAAAGATAAATACGGCTCTATTAGTAAGACTGATCGCCGACGTCTCGGACGACATTTACCAAGGATCGCATCGGGCGGCGAGGGATGGGACGAAGAGGTGGTTCCCGGGCATAAAGACATGTCGGAGAAGAGAATTCCTTCTAGTCTGGGGAGGAATGCAATTGCTCCCTCTAAGACAGAGAATACGCCGCCGATCCCTACTCCTGACAGACCGTCCACAAGTGCCCCTTCCAGTAGGCCCAGGGCCATGGACGTCCTGGCGCCCTCGACGACTACCAATCAACCGAACACAGTTCCATCACAAAGTGTTCCTTCGACACCAAGCAAACGACGATCCGTAATGGTTGCTGAGAAATTGAAAGAGTCGCTTGCCTCCACACCCAGACCGGAGGTAGCCGGAGAGGAAATGAAGGGTCTGATGAGTGCGGTAGGAGCTTTAGGGGTGCGAGGACGATCGAAGGAAGGTGGTGAGGGTGTAACAGGTGAGTGCCAATGCGTGTCGAGTCTTCGCTAAGTATCAGGTATGGCGAACCGATTCCGCTTGTCCAAGTCCAGTCTTCCTCCGTCAGCATCATCCGCCGCCCTTGCGCCTGCTCCATTGCCATCGAGGAAGCTAGCACAAACGAACTGGATGGATCGCCAGCGACACGCACTTCAGGCATATGAGTATCTGTGCCATGTAGGGGAGGCGCAACAGTGGATTGAGGGTTGTTTGGATGAGGAGTTGGACTTTGGAGTGACCGAAATGGAAGAAGGCCTCAGGGACGGTGTCGTCTTAGCCAAATTGGCTCGAGTTTTCCTCGGAGAGAGTGCTGTCAAACACATTTACACTGTGAGTTTCAGTCCACCTTGGTTAAACGCAAGCAGCTGACTGGCTAGGATGGCAAGCATCGATATAAACAGACTGAGAATATCAATTACTTCCTTCGGTTGCTCCGGAGCGTCGGTATGCCCGAGGTGAGTCATACTCCATAGTCTAGATACTAGTCAGTTTAAATCTGACGTACAGACGTTCATTTTTGAGGTCACTGATCTTTATAACAAGCGGAACATCCCCAAAGTCATTTTCTGTATCCATGTACTGAGGTAAGTAGATGTACCGTGCGAGGATGGCGCTGAAGATCAGTCACCTTTTGTCCCGACTAGGAAGGGCAGAAAGAATCGGAAATCTCGTCGGGCAATTCGAGTTCACTGGTCAGTCCATCCTGTCGACTGACGCCTCTCTAACCTCCAGATGAACAACTCGCTGCGACACAGAAAGGCCTTCAGGGAGTTCCCATGCCTAATTTCGGGGACGTACGAAACACCCTTGCTAAAGAAGCCAGCTGGGAGCCAGAGGAACCGGAAGAGACGGAAGATGAAAGTAAGTCGGTCCACTGGGGCGCGGAAAGATTACTGATGAACAGAGCGGGATCGAGAATTGATAGAATGTGAACCTTCGATTATCAACCTACAAAGCCATCTAAGAGGTCGGCTGGCCCGCGCGAAGACTTCACGTATTCGAACTCAGCTCGACTTGGCTCTACCGATCATCACTCGAATACAGTCGCAAGCTCGCGGATACCTTGCCCGCCAGATTCTCAAAGCCGAACGCACCGAACGATCTCATCTCAGTTCATGGGCGACTGGGCTACAAGCCATTGTCAGAACGCGTATCGCCACAACAAGGTGGCAACAGCGCATTCTTTCTGTGCGTCGGAGCGAAGCATCTGCAGTCGGTATACAAGCTCATGCTCGCGGAATGCTTGCCAGGGTCCGACTAGCCACAATCGAAAACGCTCTAGACAAATCTTCTCGGCATATCGTCAATCTTCAAGCTATCTGTCGCGGCTGTCTCGCCCGTCGACGTCGATCTGAGCATCGTAGAGCCATGTCTACTCCGGAGATGGTCCAAACTATCCGATCACTCCAAGCTGTATCGCGAGGAAGACTACAACGTCAAGCCGCTGCCCAACAACAGCTCAAGGTGCATTCTCAAATGCAGACATTTCTGGCTTTCCAAAGCCATCTCCGTGGCGCTTTGGTTCGACGTACTCGTCGTGCTCATGAGGAGAAACTCGATAATGCCGCTGATTACATCGTATCCATCCAAGCGGTTTGTCGAGGTATTCTAGCTCGCCGAAAGAAACAGTCCTTCATATCCACCGCTCAAACTGTCGCCCCTGCAATAACTTCATTACAATCTGCTCTCCGTGCTCGTCTAGCTAAGCAAAGTCACCGTAACATGCAAAAGGCACTTGCTAAGGTCGAAGTAGCCGGTTCAGTTGGAGGTCTCCAGGCTTTCTTACGTACCAAATTGGCCAAACGACAAGCTACCGAACAGAAAAAACAACTTGAATTTGTTCAACCTGATGTGATCGGTTTCCAAGCTATAGCTCGAGGATATTTAGCTCGTCAAGAATACCGAGAATGGCGAGATTATCTCTTTGACCCTCATACACAAGGTGCACTCGTGTTCCTGCAATCACTCATCCGAGGATTTTTAGCTAGGAGACGATTATACCTCCGAACTTCTTACATTCACTCGAGGATCGATTCCATTGTTAAAATTCAAGCTTTATGGAGAGGGAGAACTGAACGACAAATGTATCATCGTCTTCTTACTGGTATGGAGGTAGATGTTCCAACTATTCAAAATTACATGCACTTGCTAAACGATACGGAATCTGATTTCCGAGATCAGATAAGGACGGATCTACTACGGAAACAAGTAGTAGAGCTCATAAGGGAGAATCAAATATTAGAGACGGACGTGAAAGATTTGGATACGAAAATAGCTTTGATAGTTAATAACAAGATGACTTTCGAAGAACTTGCCAGAGCTAAGAGAAGGGCGGGACAAGGACAACAAGAACAAATTTGGCATCAAACTAATATGGATCCATTTGGAGGTGGAGCTCATCTGGATAAAGGTAGTCAAAGGAAATTAGAATTGTATGAAGGATTGTTTTTCTTGTTGCAGACAAAAGCGGAATATTTGAGTAGGTTGATAAGGGGTTTGAAAGGAGACGAAGTGGAGAAAGATAGGAAGATGGTAGAAGGGGTCGTGTTGGTTTTGTTCGGATATGAGAGAAGAGAAGAGTACTTGTTCCATAAACTTCTTCAGGTGGGCCTACAATTTATATCGTGACCCCAGTATGATGAGGAGAAAGGCCAGATAGGAGCGAGGTGAAACGTGGCGGCGTTCAGATGTGTCTGGTGTGACTGTCTGTCTGACACCATATCTTGACGAAAACTGCACATTGGTGTTCGAACATGTGCAGAGCTTGTTTTATCAAGAGCTGGGATAGACTAACCCTCAGCTGGCGGTACACGAAGAAATCCTACTCTCCACCACATTGTCCGAACTTGCCGAACATCGATTACCCATAGTCTCAGTGACTAAACAATATGCCAAACCCAGTGTCACTCCTTACGTTCAAGAAATCATGTCTGAACATATCCTCAGAGTGGTCCAAGCTCAAGATCTTGACTTGTGTACTGATCCATTGGAAATATACAATAGGTCGATTAATGCTGAAGAGTCTCAAACGGGATTACCATCTCCACGTCCGAGGGATTTGAATGCGGATCAAGTGTTACAGATTGATGCTCCTGCTCGTGCTGAGTATATACAACGTATGTCGGTTCTTCCATCATCTCTCTATCAACCCTGGAACTCATCGATGTACAAACTACCTTTCCGTACATTATTCATCGCTTCCCTTATATCGACTTGACACTTTGTTTACGAATAAGAGGAAATGTGGGGAAGTGCAATCTCGTGTACTTGAGACAAACATCTTTGCAGATTGAATGAGAGATGTGTTGAAGCGTATAAAGAAGTAAGCTGATGAATAGATCTACAGGAACTTCGTTTCCTTTGCGATCGGTTGATCAAGGGTTTAGTGGCTTCAACAGTTCATGTTCCATATACTATCCGTCTACTCGCTCGAGAGTCTTTGTTAGCTCTTAGAGTTAAATATCCTGATGCTTTCGACCATGAACTCACGCCTGTCGTGGCTAAGACTGTGATTTTACCCTTTTTGTTACCGGCTATAATGTGAGTGTGCACATGTCTGTCCCCTGATCACTTTCATGTCCATTACCTCCCATGCCTGTTTCTGGAAATGTCGTATCTCGTGGGTTTATGGTTTGGTGAGGGTACAAACTCTCTCTTCATGGACCTGTTCCGCATCACCTTGGGTGTCGCTTGGACCTGGGGACACGCTGTTGGTTGGACCATAGGGTACCATGTGTACTACAAGGAATACAAAGAACACTGACGAAAAGCGCCCCGGAAACGTTCGGGATCCTCGACACACCAATCGGCGCCATTGAAAGACGTAACCTTGCTGCAATCGCCAGTCTGGTCACTCATGTTGCCAGTCAAGACCTTTCGAGTTCTACGAAAGATCGTTTCATTCGTGTGCCCCTTCAGGAATATATTAGAGCGGACGGAGAGGTTTTCAGGGACTGGATCATGGAGCGTGAGTCGAGCTTCTTTCTACACACTTCACAGAAAGTTATCTTTCATTTACAAACACCCTATTTACCATCACACCCGCACATTTTCTTCTCCGTCATCGGTCCTTCGGCATAAGATGATGTCTTTTGGATTTGGACGCTCATTCACAGTCGCTTCTGTTGAGCCACTCGAAACATACTTCCAGACTCATGAACTGTTCGAATCGGCTCTAGAGGCGAAGCCCATCTCCATCACTCGCAGTGAAATATACGGTATGCTCGGTGTGATGGTAAGACATCTTGCCATTGTGGTGAGTCCTATCCTCTGGGTACACTGATGTGTTGTTGATATAGTAGTCTGGAGGGAAGACTGCGGATCCCGTTGCAAAGATATTGGACGAATTAGAAGGACCTCCGTTGGAATATGATAAAAGTAAAATTCCTATCAGTTTGAGATTGACCAATCGTCTGGCTCAACTACAATGTGAGTTACTTCCTTCGCATTCCCAACCTTGCAACAAAACATCACACTTTTTCTTTCGGTATCACGGAAGTTTAGTCAATCTGTACTGCGAGTGGACGGGATAAACCTAGTGAACAAGTCTGACGGTTGTCGTTGAGCGTGGTGACGAAGACGTGAGAAACGCGTGGAACAGGATTGTGGGTGCGAAACAGATGCTGATACCCAGCAAATGATGATGATGCTCCTGGTAAAGAAGACTGGGTGCAGGCTAAACGACATGTTCTAGCTGTTCTTCGTATTCAATCGGGTCGGACATTATTCGATGTCCTCGTCGCTCGACCGGAACAGATACATGAGCAAATGTGGATTCAAGAGGTTCATAGAGATATGGCATTGGAGACTGCTCGTCAAGGGACGCATCAATTACCGCCGACGCCGGTGGAGAAGGAATATCAAATTGAGAGTATACGATCGTGAGTTGTTTTCATCATCACCTCAGTCTCTTTCGTCTCTCCTTACCTCACTGCGTTTGCCCAAACTTCCGATCCTCACGAAATTCCTGCGCCTGTGCTTGATCTCCACCTGGCGGATCATGACCCACTATGATCACTAAACCTTCGACTTGAAGGAGTTACCTCAGGATCTCCCAGATGATCGGGCTTTCATCATGATCTCCAAACCATAACAGGTTTTCCGAGTTTCTTAGGTGTCAAGTCGACAATCGGACATGATGCAAAATTAAATGATTGACAACCAGACTCCCCTTCCATGAAGTCAAATGCCGTGCGATAGAATTCTGCATGCGACTCGAATCCCTAGGTCGATTGTCCCGTGCGGACGCTTTCCAAGGTTTGTTAGTCAGCATAGCTGGCGATATCCGACAAAAACATCATCTACGTAAAATGCAAAAACAATCTCTTGTGGCTATGACACGAGCATATGAAGATTTGTCGGCAAAGAAGAGGAAGTTCGAAGAACAGATTAAAAGTTATCATGATTATATCGATTCGTCAATGGCGAGTTTACAAGCTAAAGGGTTGGTTCATGTTCAGTAATCTCTCTTCACCTCTTTCCACCTGCTCCATCCATCACTCCAGGCCTTCCATCACTCCCAGGCCCTCCGTCACTCCCAGGCATTCCACGACCGCCATATCAGCTAGCGTACCACCCCTTTTGTGGTGTAATGTCATCTCTGGTGAATTGTCATCCGGCGGCTTGAAAGCTCACAATTCAGAAAGAAAAAACCTACATTCTTATCGAAACAATACCGTCATCAAAGACACGAAGCTAAACTTGGCAAGAAATCACGTTTCGGTTCTTACGCTTACACCGCTACTGAATTATACGACCGTGGTATCTTATTAGCCATCGATCAATTCTCTCCTAGACAATACGATAAAGTCACACTTGTCATAGCTTCAGACGAAGTTGGAGTTTTCAGTCTTGAAATGGCCAGTTCGGCAAGTGCGGCATCTAGTACTTTGATAGGACATGAAGAATTGAGAATGGAAGATTTGTTACAAGCTCAATTCGATAATGAACAAAGTTTGTTGTTATTTGATGGAATGGCGACTTTTAGTATAAACATGCTCATACATCAAATCAACAAGAGTGAGTTTCTTTTTTTACGTCGTATTTGATTTACTTTTTCCCTCCATACTTCGTTCTCTTCTCTCTTCACATACTACCCATTCACGCCCTTCAGGCATCATTGGCCTCTTCTTCTCGTGCGACTCGGCAATTTTCTCCTAATCATCACATTTGTGACATATCATTTTTCCCAACTGACAGATCATGATTCTCAATCGCTCTCATGTGACTGATACGTGTCGGTGGAGAAGGTCAGATTGACGGGGATATAGTATCATGCTAATTGTAGAATTCTATTCTTGACGAAAGAATATCACGGACATTGGGTAAGAAGGGAGACGACATTCTTTTCTTGTATTTGATCATCTTGTAGCTGTATCTTGTGAGATGCAGCTTGCTTTACTTCCTGCACTCACATTGTGCTACTTCGACATTTCAGTTCATCCATTTCCTCTTACCAGAAAACAGGAGGACGATTCGTATCGAATACGGTATGAGCCTACTTGTACAACAGAATACCTCAGTCAGGTTCATCGATAACAACAGTCATCCATGCCAATAAATTGCTTCTTATATATCAGATCTACCCAAAGATGATAAACAAATGACATTCCTTCCGATCCCTGAAATTTCCAACAAAAAAATCAAACCATCGTACTCGTTGTCTCTTCTCTTTCAATCTTCTCCACATCCGTCAGAGAAGACGAAGACGTCGTATCCGCTTCTCTTATCGAAGACGAGACTTCCTTTACACCGCTCTCCGACCGTTGGTTTTCAATAGGGACTGGGGGGTGTATGTCCGATTGAGACATAATGGCTTCAGTGGTAGAATGTCTCGTTTCATCATTTTCTCGAACTTGTTCAGCTTGTTGGGACATTCGAAGTTTGCGTCGTCTAGCTGAAGGATTTAATAGACCGGCAAGGATGATGATACCGAGATCCGCGACTGATACGACGAGATAAAGTACCTGAATCGTCAATAAGGGTATCTCCAACTAGTAATTCTCGCTCCCTCTCCCCCTCTTTCACAAAAACATGATCGAATTCTCGTTGCTCCTTGTGCTGGCCTTCTCAAATCTCCCTCAGTTCAGAATGCATGGAAACTTGAAGATTGGTCTCGCGAGAGTCTTCTTCCGTGTGGTACCAAAAATTGAATTTATTAATGTCTCTCACTCACATCACCACGACGTGAATTAGAATGTTTGGGGACAGGAGGTAGAGGTGAATGAAGATGAGACAGGATAAGAAGTGTGGGCAATCAATTTTCACTCACAAAAGCGGGTACGTCCAACTTTGGTCTAAAGAAAAGACTGAGAAAGCTTAACACCCCACCTGAGACGTCCAGAGCGAGAAAGATTAGGGATATACCGACTACCTCACGTAATCGAAAGATTTCGTAGTATTGTGGTCTGATATCAGTTTTACGTCTCAACGTCCTACATGACTTCAAACAGGGATTCCTGTATTTGAACCTTCGCCTTCTTTCTGACATACGGAGCTTGGTAGAGATATAGTGTGGTTCGAAGATCGAATGAGTTTGGCCTCGATTATCGTCCTGAATTGTCCGTGACCCATGATCTGAAAGGAATGATTTGCAGAACTTTTGTAGGGATATCTGTCTGAAAGAGAACTCACAAAAGTCCTAAAACATTGAAGGCGTTAGTCATGTAAGCATAAGCCATGGCTACGCCCGGAAGACCTTCGGAATCGGCTCTCTGCACCATTATCAATGTGTCTCTTGTAACATTAGAGCACTTAATCGGCGGTGTCAAAAGGAGGAAGGAATGTACGGTGGGGAGATAGATCTAATGACGGATAACTCACACGAAGAGCAAATATGGAACCTGTTTCGAAACCTGCGAATAGGAGTAACAAGGCGAATAAGACTGAAATGGATTTGATAACTGAATAACCACTAGAGTAGTATAGACATTGAGAGAATGAAATACAGGTGAACAGATAGAACAGTTGAGCTTGGACCTGTGCATGTCAGTTGGTTTTCTTATGCCAAGTCACATCCTCGTAAAGAAAAGAAGATAGGATACTTGATTAGAAAAGTAGAGATGACTATGAAGATTAATGAGGAACCTACGCAGAAAGCTATACTGAGATGCTGGGTAAAGGCATATGGTCCATAGGTGAATGCACTACCTGCCCACAATCTACGCAGTCAGGGGGATTCCCTTCAGAGATGGAACGACTCGGCTTGAATAGAGATCATCTTTTATTGATTCACTCACAACATTAACCATGGGGATAAACCATGTGTCGATTTGGTGCGATATGACTTTACAATTTGGGGTATCACCTGAGGATCAGTTTCAGTTTTCGTCACATTGGAAGATCTGCCAAAATTCATAGTCATTACTCACCACCACAGACCAGATAATCGATCCCGCTGTAGCAAATACGTTCTCGGCCACTTTGTTCGTCGGAAACATTTTTTCAAGTCGAGTATCGATGCATCTGAGACAAGTGAGTTGACTCGTGATTGAAGCTTTTAAGGATTGGGGAATGACCCCGAAGGAAACGGTTTGCAAAAAATTGATGGCATCAAAGGACTGTGTCGTCCCTTCGTCTTCCTTTCCAAAGCTCCAGTCAGTATATTACGCATGTTGATGCAAACCCGAATGAAAGGTCAGTGCGTGAGAGAAAGACGGAAGGAAAAGAGAGGTGAATAAAAAGCAGATATGCAGATGCAGATGCTTACAACAAATTAATCTAGATGTCGCTCCAGACTCGCCCTGTCCAATCTATCCTCCTAGCACATTCATGTCCCCGAGCCGATAGAACGAAAACCGTCGTCATCATTGAACCTCGAGGTTCTCATGATGAATGACAAACAAGGTAATTTAGAATTTCGGGGGTTCGGACGATTCTCAAGAGATAGGAACAAGGTGAAAAGGATGGAATGATGTGGACGCGTGAACAAGATTTTTACACTGTCACAGAGGTCGACTATTGTCTCGTCTCACCGCTAACGCCCGAAACGCCCAAACCAAATTCTCATAGACAACGAATGTCGTACATGTCCCTGGGAGGATTCGAAGGGCGTTTGTACCTAGACCTTTGTAAAACCCGAGGAAACCTTCATTTCGCCAGGCAGCAGCTATGACGCTGGGAATTGTGACGGGTTTGGAGGATGAGAGTGTGGAAGGTCCAGAAGCGTTCTATTCATCAGATTCGCATCCGAGTGAGTTTACCGATCATTACTTGTTACCACGGTCTCGCCTTAATGGGTTTTGGGGGTCGGAGAAAGCTTCCAAGTATTAAGATCCGGAGTAAGGCGAGACTCACTTGTATCCGAGCTCTGATAACCTGATAGGGGTATGTGATCGCAATAGCAACAAACTTGGAACTTCCTGATGCCAGAATATACTCTATGTTTTTCTATGCGTGAGAAACATTACATACGCAGTAGGGATTAATGATGACTCACTAATTTCTCATCTTCCGTCTTCCATTCCCTCCCATGTGACGCATATAACTTTCTCTTTATGTCCGTCCGTCTTCTCTTAATCTCCTCATATGTTGCAAACTGTATTGAACCATTCGATACTCCGACCAACGCCAACAAAGACCCTCTGTAGAGTCCTCTGATACCTTCATTCCGGTAAATAGACCCAAGAGCTTGGAAAAGACCCCGGTAGGCGGTGGGATCATGACGTGCAGTAGCGAATACGCGGGTTTTAACCACCCATATAGGATTTGTGAGCATGGCAGTGACAGCGCCTTGTATCAGCGTCGGTCATGCGAGATCACAAATCATCTTCTAACGGGTGCCTAAGTATGGTAAGGCTTTGGTTCATAGGTGTGGGGAGTAAATGAGAGACGCCATGAACTCACTTGCTTCAGCTGCTGCTAGTAAATGCTGACCACTGGTCGTGCGATAGGTCGGATCACCATGTTGCATTTGTTTCTTGATCATGTTGTAGCTGGTGATGAGTGATGAACTAGTCAAAGAGTAGTGGTCGGGAAAACTCACAACAAGAAGTAGAGACCCCAACTGCCAGCTCCTCCCACCAGATTCGGGATCAGCCCTCTGTACAGACCCTTCCACCCGTCTACCTGAACAGCTTCTGCCAGTGCACCGTATACCGCCCGGCCGAATCCCGGTCGTTTGTGTGTCATCGGGTGCGAGCTGGTTCCTACGGAAGTTCCAACGGGATCAGGAGGAGCATAACGAGGAGCGTCTGCCAGTTGGAACCGGACCTTGACGAGATCTAGTGGATGCATGACGAGTGTAGCGACTGTCCCGGCCCCGAGTCCAGCGACGGCATGATCCTTGTTCGTCAGCTTAAGTGGTACAATCAGGCGACAAAAACTAACAACGGAGGCATCTCCAAAAAGGGTGGGAGCGTTGAGCACAGAGGCTGACATGATGAACTCGGCGTTTGAATGGCTCCCACTAGAACAAGACCTTACTATCGGTCTGGTTCAGCTGTTAGGAGAAGGTATTGACCCAGTGTGGGACGAAGGGGAAAGAGGAGGAATGCAAAAGTTGAAGAAAAAAAGTCAAAAGTTTCAAGTCGAATCGATGACGCGCTCGTTTTCAATCACAAACCACACTTCTTCTTCACTTTTCACACCTTGACTCACCATCAAAGCTCATATCAAAGTAAGATGGGGTCTTATCCTCATGAGGTGAGCTTACTCTCCACATCTTTCCTCCATGACGAATGGCCGCTTACCGACAGTTCCTCGCCCACCCCCAGCCGCTCATGTTCGTCGCCGGTCTATGGTCTTCCTCAGGTCGGGATCGCAGTGCTTCCAGTGCTTCAGCTTCGAATGTAGCCGGACCTAGCTCCAGAGGACGTGCTGGGACCATCACCAGCTCGGACCCTGCTGTCACTCTTGCTCAAGCCCCACTCGCGGCTTTCACTTCGCCAAGGAGCCTACAGAGAGGTTTGCCGTCCAGTCCACCTGCAGTCAGGTCACCACCATTGGGGGGACCCACTTCTCCCCGCGAGGACGAGACCGAGTCTACGCTCGGCAAGGATGTTCTCGCGGTTCCGGATGACAGTAACAACAGGGGACTTGCGGAACAGGCGACGGAAGGATCAGAACGAGATGTGGAATTTGAAACTCTTCTCAGTGATTTGCGGGGATCACTGGAAGGCTTAGGAGAGAAAACGAAAGTATGGCTTCCATACGACAAGAGAAAGAACTTTCGAATAGTCATGGTGGATAAGGTATGTCACAACCTGATATTCTTGTCCCTCCACTAAATACAGTATCACCGTCTTCCAGCTCGCAAAGCTCCACCACAATCGACAGTTGATCAAGCTCCTCATTCGACACTCTCACCTTATACGACGACCTCACCCATGTGTCCTGATGGTCTTATCTCACCCATTTGGATCCGCAAACATGCTGAAATGGTCCCTTCAGTCTTTGTCCTCTTTCTCAGACTTTACGAAGTCCAGAGCCCCTCTCCAGATCTCAGTCCGGAACATCAGAATGCGTTCAACGCCGAAGAGAAGCAGAGAGAAAAGGAGCTTGATGAGATGATGATAAGGGAGATCGCTGATCGACGACGTCGACTTGGTGAGCGGGGTATCAAGCTTACTGTCGTATTAATGGCGAGTGCTATTACTTTGGGTATGTCACAGCTTACACATCTGCATATTTACGGGTAGTTTGGCTGATCATGAGATTCTCCAACCCTGGATGCTCGCTTGTCGCATCTACGGCGCTCTTCATCTCTCTCCTCAAAAGCGTCTCTCTTTGTCCTGACTCCTGTCCCGGCTGATCAGCTCGCCGAATTTGTGGCTTCCCTCCAAGAGTCGCTGTACGACTCAGCCATGGAATACTATGCCAATCACATCAAAAAGATCCGCAGGAAACGTGGTCGTATCGCAGGGCTACCTCAGTTCACGCAGCCTTCCGTGCTGAATGGGGGGATCAAGATGCTCGGACCACACGGATGGGCCGTGAGATATGATTGGAAAGCCGCTTGGTTTTCTGAGATTCGAGGAGATCTGGACATTGCACGGAGGTCAGCTAAAGAGCATTGATGTTGTTGTTGTTTTTTGAAGCTGACGATCAGATACTATGAGGAATGCTGGAACGAATTAGTCCGAATGTTCAGTTCAACACAAATCTTACCGCCGAGAAGTAAACGTTGGGCAGAGGCCAAAGTCTTAGCAGACTGCGTAGCGATCAGAGTGAGATTCTCACCATCGATACGGATCACAGGCTCAACTTCAGATTTGTCGACTTTGGTTATACAGCGGCGAAAGCACAAAAGTTCTCGAGCCTTTTAACCTGCATTTACACCGATTTGGTGATCTATCCCGTGGTTGGGGTATCGGTGAAGAGACTTATGAGTTTTGGTCTTGGCTCTCTCGAGAGTCCGTCATTTCTCCGTGCTGAAGTTGACATCGCTGATTGCAGATATCGCATTTTTGCGGAGCTTCTGGAGGAAGCAGTCAAACAAGGTCACCAAATCACACCCTCGGCATTACCCACTTTCCCCACTCCACTCGCTGCAGCTCATCCCCCAACACCTGACTATTATGCCACTCCAACCTCTTCTGCGAATCCTTTAATGTTCCTTCAAGGACCTGCATACTACTACTATACGGCGGCGGCTTGCTCGGTGGAACGCAAGCGGAAGTTTGAAGATGCGCTCTCTGCTGAGGTATGTCCTTATGTTGATTTTTCAATTTCTCGCTGAGACCACATAGAGTAATACTCCGGCTCCGGGTTTGAATACTGAGAAGACTGTTGATCATGCTGCTTTGATCGGGGAGGTAAGTCGAATATATGCAGATGACCGTGTCTGACCACAAAGTTGTTTTCTAAAGCATATGATCTGCTCAGAGAGGAAAAAGAACAAAGAGACAAATCCCAGGACGGAGCAGAGAAGCAAAGCGAGGGAAAGAAACTGGAGAAGAAGAAACGGGAGAGACGACCAAGTCGAGTGGCCCTGTATATGTCATTTCGGATGGCGGAGGTGTATTGTCAGGCTGGACAGTATGAGATGGTCATGAGGTCAGTGGGTTGTATCGTCTGTCATTTATTCGATACACTCCATTCAGGAGTTTTCTGCCGTAACGCTTGGTATGCTCAGTGATAAGTTTGTGCTGACTCGAGCAGTCACTTCGATAAGCTCGCCGAGGAGTTCAGACGTGACGGCTGGCCCATCGTCGTCCGACAGATCCGTGAACTATGGTACGAAGCAGCACAACGAACAGGTAACGTCGAAGTTGCTGCTCGTCTCCTCTGGGAGATGCTAGCACCTTGTGAGCTTTACTATGCATTTTCAGACCAAGCTGACTTGACAGCAAGTGGAGTGGAGACCGAAGATCGCTCTGCACTTCAAGAGGATATCCTGTCACTTCTGCGGGTAAGTTCGACGTATCCTGTGGAATGAAACTCACATGACAGACGACCAAACCATCTACTGCGGAACCACTTATAGTGACATTTGTTCCATCTTCTGCGTTTTGTAGGTGATTTTGACGTGTCCGGCAACGCTGATAAGATAGTGGACATCAAAGCTGGCTTCTGGGAGAGGACATGTCAATCTGGACAAACAGCTCCATTTCAGATCACTCTGGCGTGTCCGGAAGAAGTCGACATTTCCAACATACGATTCACCAAGCTCAAGGTTGTCTTCTCTGACGAGAAGTTCAATTCAACAGTTGTGGATTCGCCAGATATCACCGAATCCGTGACCCTACTGGACCTAGGTATGATTCAAGAGAAGTCTGAACTAGACACGATTCAGACGGCGCTACGTTGGACGCCGGGGCACAAACTCACCATCCATGGCCAAGTTGGCGGTGTGGCCGATTCCGAGATCAAAGTGAGTTCAAGGCCTAGCAATGCTAGCGACTGGACTGACATGTCAAGATCACGTCGGTTATTCTCGAATTGAAAGAGTCATCTTGGGACATACAAATCGTCTTCACTCCCGATTTGCTAGACGAATGGTCAACCCGGACAGACCCCCTGATACCACTACAAGAATTATCTCCCACTATCTCGTGAGCTGTTCTCAAAAGTTTGAAGAGTGCAAGTTGATATACAGATTTATTCCTCGACCACATAATCTCGATGTGGAAATACAATATCATCCTTCTGGCTATGTCGACGAAGTTCTACCCATTATGATCAAAGTGACGAATCCTGAAGATGTAGACTTGGAGATTCAGATGTCTGTCTTACTACAGTCCGGTGAACCTGGCGACAGTGAGCTTTCGATAACACGCTGAATCGTACCACAAGTTGACATATAGCGTCGACAATCACATTCGACCGAAAAGAATCTACAAACCCACTTCAAAATCTTCCTCTGGGTATCTTATCACAAGGAAATCTTGAGAAGATACTTTACCTTCGTTGTCCTAAACCCGCAAGCAAAACAATAGAGATCTCTATCCAATCTTCCCTTTCCTCATCATCTGATAAGACGATGGAAGAGATACAAAGAACATTAATCATACCCTTCCTTTATCCTTTCATGTTATCTTCCACCGTTCAAGTACACGATACCGATTTAAGTGGACGAAGTGCAGTGATATCAAGCGTTATTTCATGTCCTGGACCTAGACCTTTACATGTGGAAAGTTTGAAAATACAATCTTTCGTATGTTTTGCTCCTTGTCATCCATCAGTTGACTTGGATGTGATGATGAGCTGATAGAAATAGGGAAATGAAGAGATAACATATACGAGTAGTTCTTTGGAAGTAGAACAATTTCCTCAGTGTGAGTCTGTCCATCGAGATGTATATGAAGAAGATTGATGAGTAGTATGGGATCAAGATACAGCTTTTTCTCTTGTGGCAAAGTTTGTATTACAGCCTAAAACTAGGAGAAATTCAATGGTTTTAGGTGGTATTCCCGCCGAATTGGTATTCCAATGGAGAACGTTAGTCCTTCCCCCCCTCCCCCCTCTCTTCGTCGATCGTCCCTGGTACCCATCGCCCCCTCCCCTCTATCACATACTCTCGTTGAAAGATTCTAATTCGACATGTGGGCAAATAACAACCCACTCAAACGTCATCCATCTCATCCATTCCCAGGTGATGAATCACTCACTCATAACGGGATATCCAATCAATTGAGTATATACATGTGATACCGTACGATCAGTTAAGAATATATATACTGAAATCCCAGCGACTCATCATCATCCCTTATTCAAAGTTCTCTTCTCTTCCCTCCTATATCTCTCCCTCGACATACACAAATATCCGCTATAATCTCTCATCCTCCATCTGCATCCCTCATTCAATCATTCAACCCCATTCTAACATTGAAAAATCACACGCCACGTCCTCATGTACTAAACGTATTGGTAGAACCGACCGACATGTTCGTATGGTCCGGTCCTAGAAATATGCATGTGACGGTTGGTGGTGGGGAAGAGAAAGAGGTGGGGTTGATAATGCGGATGATAGGACAAGAAGGATGGAGGAAGATACCGAATGTCAGGGTATGGGAAGAAGGGATAGGAGGGAGAAGTGAAATTGTTGTTGGAGGTAAAGAAGGGAAGGTGTTGGTTAGACCATGATTGTATTTGTGTTTTCATTAGACACATCTAACACCACTACCTCGTCTTGGGATCCGTTGAGCGTTGAGTCCTCAAAGCATGTCAGGTATAGTATACAGCCGTAGGGGTGCTATAACCTGTTTTCTCAGAAAGTGCGGTTGTGGACGGGCGACGTGACAGACATCATTGAATCCAGCTTGACAAGTACGATTTTGTCACTCCAACTGAGTTACATTGACATAAGTTGACGTATCACGTCAGGTTCTCACATTCTCACACCAGCATGAATTGAAAAAAAAAGTACAGATGATCATACATAACATGTACCCCATAGGTACCCCGCCTATACAGATATACAACATAAAGTTCAAACAGGTAAAAGAAGAGATGATCACAACTCAACCAGACCATTGTATCTTCGCATCTGTCAAAGGGACATACTACTTGTTAGCCAGAAAAAGGATCAGGATTAGAAAATCTGACCATGACGCCAAATAATTTAGTCCGTGTGATAATACCATGTTCATCTTTGTCAACTTGCCATATATCTTCTTATCAGCTCTTCCTTTCTTTCCTCTCATCTCCTCTGCGATGATACTCCCAAAATTGAAAAGTGTCCCCAATTCGATGTCGTTGGTGGTGCCGTCCGATGAGTCTCTTGATCACGGACATCTGGACGAGGAAGAAGAAACGATGAGGAATGAAACAAGAGAGAAGAAGTGATGAGAGATGTTAATCACCTTGTGTATGTTCGCCGACGGGTATGAACATTCTTCCTGGTTTTGCCAACTGCTCATCAGCTTTGAAATGGGATGAAAGACTTACTTGATCTATCAACGGTTGTGGGATTTCAGGAGCGGCAGCGCCTACATGAATGATTTGATAAGGTGCTATAATCAATTGGATATTTCAATCTCTAATGGTGGACTTACCATGTGAAGGATATCCTGACGGTCAGCAGTGTTGAAGATGGTGAGCGTCATGGATCTACTCAATTCAGACTCTTGTATAAAAATTGTCTCTTTAGAAGAGAATTTTCAACGTTGAGATGAAGGATTTCATCCGGAGCACACAGATGAGGAGGTGAAGTAGCACACATGACCTAGCTAGGAGTGAGAATGGAAGTGAAGAAATATGTTAAGAAGAGGATATATGAGAATATAACCCACCTAATCGGCCATCTCCACATACAATCTCCACCCCACCCTTCTCCGCACCAAGCTTCACACCATCTTTCGTCAAATTCTCCTTGGCTAGAGAAACCAACTGGGGTAAATGGTCGATACCAACCACGGTAGCATGAGGAGCTAAATGATGTAATACAGCGGTTACTGAAATCAACTCAAACTTATCAATCATTGTCCTCTATAACTCCCACCTCAATACCAACCTCTTTGGCCAATTCAAATTCAAATGACGATCAAAATAAGACTATATGGGTAGGGGGAAGGGGGTGATATAGACAAAAAGGAATTGACTTCGAAAGTACGCGTAGGGTCATCGAAAGGAGGAAGATATATGAAGAAATACACTCGAAATCACGAGCGAGATCATCAATGGAAGGAGACCCATGGAGTGTAGAACAAATAGATGGTCTAGGGTGATAACTTACAATACCCAGACCCACTTCCAACGTCCAGAATAGCCCCTCCGATGTCGGCCGGAGGTAACAAAGCCAATAAATTCTCACATGCATGAGCGTGCATATGCGGAGCGGAGATAGTAGCGTTGTAACCTATTTTCCTATTTCAGTCAATTTCATCTCTCCCGTTAGTCCCAATAACCAGTATTAGCACGACAGAAGAAATAGGTGAAAAATCCTAAATGGCAATCAGGTAGTCTTTTTGAGATAAGGACATATGAAGGAAGGAAGAATGAAACTGACTGTGGGGAATCTTCGTATGCTCCTCTGAGATCAGGTACGTAATTCTTTCTATCGACTTTACGCATCGCCTCGTCATGTAAGCATCGAGTTTCTACTATCATGCATGGAAGTGAATGTTGGGAAAACTCACATCTGCTACAATGGATGAACGTATGAGACCTGCTTCTAGAAGTTTATCAATGAGCTGTTTCATCAGTTTCACTAATCATCTCTTCAATACCCTTTTCTTTGTGGACTTTCAATTACTTCTTACAGCTTGACCTTCTTGTCGCTTCTCAGCGATATCAGTGCTCACGGGTTACCCCATCTAGGTCAGTCGTCACTCAACATCCCCATCCAAATCTCCCTTCATACCTTCATTCCACGTCGCTATTGACCCTCGCTCCCTCCTTTATTCCAGAAGATAACACAAGCTCCTCAGTCCCTGAGCTTTGAACACTAAGAGGAACAAAGAGAAGTCAAACTACCTACCTCCTTGTTAGTCCTACCCGAGCAGAACCAAGCCATCTTCTTTCTTACCTCCGATGTAGACTAACTTGTAAAATACAGGTAACTACAGCAACATTCCGTTCGTTTGACCCGGATGACCTCCACCTCTTCCCTTCCCTTCTCCGAGATTTGATCCCGTCCATGACGCATAATTACTTATCAAAACCCTCCACCAACCAAATTCCTCAAATCTTTCACCTTGTCAAGTTTGACATCAACTCTACATTCAACAAAAGTTGTCACATGTCACAAGTATATGTGAGTTTCTCTCACTCTTTATCTCCCACGGAAGCCCCTTCCTCCCACCCCCAAAAGACTCATGACGATATCAACCGAAACAAAATAGGAAGTGCCATCTGTATTTTAACCTCCTTAAGGGCGGTATGCTGTCACTCGGACCTCTGATCAGTCTTTTTTACATTCTTACACCTTTCTCACTCGTCCTTCCTTTTATACATCTTCCATCTTGAGTTTCTCATATCCTCTCGACCGCAGTTCATGTGGACTTTGGTCTCATCACAGTCGACGAAGGAACAACTATGATGAGAGGTGTGCCTGTGCTGACGATTGATAGACATTGTACCGCGCAAACATCGAAATTCCAGTGTTATATGGAGTGGGTCGACAAAGCGAACAAAAGATGTCACACAAAAAACCACCCATGCATATTCTATCTTAGATCAAATGTATATCCGGCTTCACCACAAAATCCGTTGTACCCGGTAATACCCTCAATGGTACTTCTAAACTCACCGTCTCCGTACTCATCTCATGCCATGTTCCTCCCAACCAAATCAGAGGTGAAACATCTGGAGATGCTTGCCAATTGTTTTGATCATGATCATTCTTATGTTTCGAAGGAAGGAGATGAATCGTTTCGTTATTTTGAAATTGTTTGGATCCCATATGTTGATTTAAAGCTTTTTTCGATTCTCTCTTGACTTCAGATTCTTCTTTCTTCCCTCTTACTTCATCCGTCTTCCCAGGCTCTCGAGATGATTTTACGTCTTGTCCATCTATCCACTTTTTGCCATTTATCATACTCAGTTCATCGATATCTGCCAGTATTCGAGGACCATGAAAACCCTTTGCCTCGTTTTGACTTACACCGTCGATATCTTTCAGATCTGACAGGGAATTGCGATAACGCGAAATGGATGGTCGTCCATTCTCCCGACTTCTCGGAGGGACAGAGACCAACAAGGACACTTTCAACCTCCATTCCATACCTCCCAATCTTCCATCCGATCCGGCACTCAAGGAAAAACTCGGAGTAGCATCACTGGGTATGTCCAAAGCTACCACTAGCCTCGTGGTAGAAGTGAGATATCCGCTCTTTTTATCAGCGTGTACTCGGTTCAGCGTAGGATGTTTGATGTGTCCCGAAGAGTTCGGTGAAGGAGGCAGAAGGGCTTCAGGGATGATTTCGTGTGATTCGAGATATGCGGCGAGTTTGAGAACACGACGGGAGAAAATGGGTAGGTTGAATGTGAGAATGCAGAGGAGTGTTTCGCCGAGTCGATAGGTGTCTTTGATTAAAGTAAGACGGGAGATGAGTTCAGAGTGTTTGGAGATATCATAGGGGTCTATTCATCAACATTTCATTTGACAGATCAAGACCGGTGCAAAAAGATGGACAAAAGCTGAAAAGCGATATTGGTTCTGGGCAAAGAAGAACTTACTCTTGGTAGATTGTCGACTGAGTATCTCCACAGCTTCCTTACAACTTCTTCCATCGACATCTTTCTCTTGCTCACCGATCAATCCTATTCCATTGAATCCTATACTTGGACTAGCCATACCTTCTGGGACTCTCAGCCGACGTCCTGAATCGCTATCATCTATTCCATACGTCGTATGTCCAATAGGAGTAATCGCTGGAGAGGGTGACCGTAGTTGTTCACATGGTGTACTAGGTGACATTGGAGGTAACATGGGTGACGACCTAGACATGGGAGTACCAGCCTCTTCCAGATGATCCAATAAGTGTTGGGCGTACGCTTTCAGTGATTCCTCAGTGTTCATTTCAGCCTCTGCATGCGTATCATAAGACCGTCGGTTGATCAATTGAGATTTGGAGGAGGATGTGATGTCTTCTGTTTTGGCATGATCGGTATTTTGGATGATGGGTTTGAGAACATCGTATTTTCTCGGATGTGATACTGTTCGTCAATGCCATCCCTTTTCTCTTGTGGACACGAGCCAAGAACCTTATTCATATTGGATCGATAAGTGACGCTGAGCTACGAGAGGGGAAGAGACATTTTAAGAAAGGAGGAATAGGGCTTCGAAGATGGAAAAGGGAGATAATTGGAAACAATACGGACAAGATACATTGCCCCATATCCGGATAGGCACAGAGATGTCTAGAGACTTTTGATTCTTCCCTTCTCCTGGAAGTAAGACAGTAAGCGAGACCATGAGGTGATATGTGAAGCTATAAGCCTTGCCATCGTGTGCAGGAGGGAGGTTCGTAGGCAGTTGCAGGGTGTAGACGACTATTTTCAGTCAGTAATACCCCTTTTTCCTTCGTTGACATCACTGCCTGGGGAATAACCAAACAAAATCAAACTCACATTGCCTCGTTTCTCCCTCCTTGAGTTTCAAGTCTACCCCTAAAAGACTCCTGGTAGTCTCGAAGACAGGCAAATCCTTCGTATTCCAAACCCTTCTTCTCTCCTCCTCCAAAGATCCTCCCACACCGCCATAAACCAGCTCCTTGGCTAAACCAACCAAACTACCCGTCAAACTAGGTTGCAGAGAATTACCAATGGCACCCGTTCCAAATGACAGCTGCCACCGACTGGTGTTAGTCACCCCACCAGCCGTTGACAACGATCCTGAGCCTACTGGCTGATGTAACAGTTTCGAGCGAAGAGGTAACAGAGGATCAGGTGGTATGTATTGTGAAGAAGGATGGAATTGTCCCGCCAAGTGAGTGTACGCCCATAAGACCGTGATTGTTTTATTTTCTTTTTCTCGAATGAAGGGATGGACAGGTGGAGGTGTGCCAAAGCCGAGGTAAGATGCACCGTATGCGTTATGATACGAAGGACTACGAGAATGAGAGTTAATTAAGGGAGATGAAGGCGGACGTCTTGAAGGACTGCGGGGAAAGTTGGTCGGGGAGGAAATTGGGTTTGAGTTTGACGAATCAGGGGCTCTGTATGGACGAGATGGGCCAGGACTTGGAGGGATGGAGAGTTGTGACAAGGATTCGGATATGGAAGGTAGATCAGTTCGAGGGGAGCGAGGCGTGGAGGAAGCTGGGGATGCCATGGGTCCGGTGACTGTTAAACTGCGTGAGTGGGAATGGGACGGAGATGCATTGAATTGGTCTTGCCGTCGGGCTGGAAGAGGAGGGGGAGCTGTAAGTCAGACGTATGTGTGACAGATGAGCTGCAAAGCGAGCTCCACTGGCGTACTTTTGCATGATGATAATGGATGAAAGAGACTTCTGGAGTGAATGGGAGGAGGCTGGAGATAAAGAGAGTCTGAACTCACTCTGACCCGCCAAGGCCCAAATCATCTCCTGAGGACTTAGACTGCCTCTACCCAACGCCAAACTTCTAGCTCTTCTTGCATGTCCCCCATTAGCTTCCATCTTCTTGAAAGCCTCAGGACTTCTGATACCAGCAAATCCTTCTCCTAAACCTCCTTGTGGCCATCCGGCTCGATGTAAAGGGTTCGCCCCGGGACTATAGGGAAATCCCATTTGTATATCATCAATAGGTGGCGTAGCGGTCGAGACTAAAGTGAGAGGAGCAGGCGGTTTGGATGGTCCAGCATCTGCGTTCTCCCTTTCTCTACCGATGAGGCCATGTCTTTTGAGAGACTGCGCATCAGGTGTAGGACTCAATGTGGTCGAGGAGGGTGCTCGTGAAGATATATCAGACTTCAGAGCGTCCCCAACATTCGAGCTTGAACCATGTGTAGAGGCTTGGCGGACATTGCGGAATGTTAAGATAGCCGAGAAGGTTTCTCCTGCGTAAAAGGCGTAAGATGAGGGAAGGACTGAGATTTCGAGGTAGGGATGTAAGTCATTTGTCACGACTGGAGATTTAGGGCCGGAGAGAGGGAAGAAGTAGGACATGCTGTTTCAAAAGCACATTGTCCTGCCACCTTGAAAATGACCAGGTGAGCCAGAAAGGGGAGAGACGGGGACGAAGAAACCAGGGGATAGGTAGGTAAGAAAGTGATAGGAATGCTGGTTAGAGGACGTAGAGTACGGAGCGTGGCCCCGCGTTGCTGCTCATCGGTGCCACATTCGTATCGGTCATCCATAACCCCGCCGACACCAATGTCACTTCTCTTCCCCCACAACTTCCTTGCCTTCTGACATATACAACATACGCTGCATCCAACGCAGCTTCGTGATTCAGCAGTACAGCTGGACTTGAGCTACGTCTGAAAATTCGAAGCGCTTCCATAAGTGCGTTGCAAGTCGATTTACGACAATTGACGACCTGTCCTTGATACACACACCCCTTGCGTCATGCCGAAATCGATACCAGCGACTCCGCTGGCCAATCGATCCAATGGTAGTCCCTCAGGTTCCCCAGCGCCAGCATTCGCTGCACCCGGAACGTACACTCTCTCTGTATGTGCTGTTTTGCAGCCAAATCATATACAGCAGCTAACTTGAAGGACGTCGTACCCGGCGTGAAAATCTTCGTCCGCAAACCTTTACCTAATGGTCAAGAAGAACACCGCAAAGCTGAAGTCTTATCCACACGTCCTAAACCCGTTTCAGCATTCGCACCTCCACCCACCGATACTCAAACCTCAGATCCTCGAGATGATACCGAATATTACGTGCATTATGTGGAATTCAACAAACGATTGGATGAATGGGTGGGCGGTAGTAGACTCATCATCGATAAAGAAATGGAATGGCCTAAACCAAAAGAAGAAGGGAAGAAGAAAGAAAAGACTGGAAAAGCGACACCTGGCAAAATGACACCTATCCGTGCTACAGGATCTCCGAGACCTTCTGGAAGTTTGTTAAGAAAAGCAGCGACGAAAGCCGCAGCCGCAGCTGCTAAAGGTGTCAACTCGAAAGATATTTCCATTCCCATAGGAAAAGGATCAGCTCTGAAGCGGAAAGCAAAGTTGGAACCTGATGAAGATGCGGATGGTGAGGAAGATGATTTGGAAGATGGTGATGCCAGTATGACAGCTTCACAAGCTGATTCAGAAGATGCTGAAGGAGAAGTTGATCTTACCGCTCCTTCTGATCCTCAAGCTACTCCACCTGTATTCAGTAAAAAACAAGAAATTGAAAAACTTCGAACTTCAGGTTCGATGACACAATCTCATTCTGAAATTTCAAGAGTCAAGAATTTGAATAAATTACAAATAGGAAAACATGAAGTTGAATCTTGGTATTTTTCACCTTATCCTGCCGAATACGCCTATTTACCCATGTTATACATCTGCGAATTTTGTTTCCTCTTTTATCCTTCTCTTTTCCAATTGGAAAGACATCGAACGAAATGTACTCTACTACATCCTCCCGGAAACGAGATATATAGACACGACAATATTTCTTTTTTCGAAATTGATGGAAGAAGACAAAGAACTTGGTGTAGAAATCTTTGTCTCGTATCGAAATGTTTCTTAGATCACAAGACTTTATACTACGACGTAGATCCTTTCATGTATTATTGCATGACTGTGAAGGACGAATATGGACAACATTTGATAGGATATTTTTCAAAAGAAAAAGAAAGTGCAGAGAATTATAATGTGGCTTGTATTTTAACATTACCACAACATCAAAGAAAAGGTTATGGGAAATTGTTGATTGAATTCTCATATGAATTATCTAAAAGGGAAGGGAAATTGGGAAGTCCAGAGAAACCTTTGAGTGATTTAGGTTTATTAAGTTATAGAGCGTATTGGCAAGAGAAAATCGTGGAATTGTTATTGAAAAGTGATGAGGAAGAGATTAGTATGGATGAGATTGCTCAGAGGACGAGTATAACACATGGGGATATAATGCATACGTGAGTGGTCTCTCTCACATACTAACCTTCTCAAATCCTCACTCTGCGGTTTCTCATATCCCATCAACATACCGTCGGTCCTTCCACCGTTTGCCTCCCTCGTTGGCTTGCGTGTTTTCAGTGAACATTTCCATGATTTCATTGCTAGATACTTCAGGTGGTTACTAATCAGATAGATGTCAAGCACTTCAAATGATTAAATATTATAAAGGACAACATATCATTCACCTCACCGACGGGGTTTTAATGCAGTATGAGAAAGCACAGAAAAAGGCGAAACAGAGAATAGATTCGGAATATCTCAAGTGGAAGCCGTGAGTCCGATTTCTATCATGCTTCTCGTACCTTCTCTTTCACATTCTCCGCAATGTTATCCACACTCTCATCTTTCTCACTCCTCGAAATCTGACCCCAGCTGAATGTGCGCTTGATAGTGAGCAAATAAGCTAACGAATCAGACCGGTATTCAGTCGAGCGCAATTAGCATTCGGTTTCTAATTGCCTATTCACCATTTTCAATGTACAAGTACAGTAGCTTTAATCATTGTTGTATGCATCTAGTTTTATTGTCTTGACATATGATCTTCTGTAACTCACCTTGTTATACGACTATCCTCTTTCACCAAGACGCTGCATCTTGGCATTCTTTATCGTTGGTTCTGTATCGTCCCTTGTGAAAGAAAAGACAACAACAATTTAAGGTACGATACAATAGAGACCGGGGTTGGCAATCCCCCGCGACCATCCTTTGGATCACATTCATCTTCCTTTTCTTCTTCTCTTTCCAAGCCGTTCAGTTGATTGATACTCATATCGTATTATCCAGTTGATCCATTGTCCGACAAGCTCATCGACAATGAAGTACGGAAAGAATAAAAAAACGTCTTCCCTCTGGACTCAATTTACCCCTCATCTTCTTACTTGCTCCGATACTGACGGTTGATCCGTCCATCCATCTCAACATAGAGTGAAGAGTATTATAACTTATCCACTTGATCCAAAAGCTAGAACTAACTCATTTATTCGATTCCGACAGTGATCAATTCCAAGTTCATCGATTCAACCTTTATATCGAAGTTTTGAAGTTGAAGGAAGAACCAAGTTGGAATAAGATTCGAACAAGATGGCATATGCCGATAGATTTAATCAGGGTTTACCATACGGTGCTCATGTTATAATCCTCTTCACTCTGGTTTTCGCTTCTTTGGTGCTGAGGTGAGTTTCTTCGTGGTCCCTTTCCTATCCCTTTACCTCGCTGCTTTCCCTTCTCAACTTTCTGCTCTAGATTTATGCTCGGCATCGTAGAACGGTACCCTGCTACGAGAAGTTGGTCTACGCTAGGGAAAGAAAAGGTATTAGGTGTTGGTGAAGGTATAAGAAACTACAACGAGACTGATTTAAATAGCATCTTGGTCACTTTCTCTTCACCTTTCATCTCGTCAATCAATTTCCTTTGTCTTCCGGCTATAGGAGGTGATACCACATTTGGAGCTTTTGGATGGTGTTCACCCAGCTTTTGTCTTCCTAATAAGGTGGCATATGAGTGAGTTACCTTTTTCCTTATTCTATCACAACTCGTAATATACCCCTTCTCTCTATCCAATACCTGTTGTGTTTTATCGACTCGCCGATAGCAAGGGGGGCAGAAAATTTCCATGTCCACAACACAATTTACTGATAGTCGATGGGGAAAGTACATTGTCGGAAGAGACCTACATCTATGATATGGGATGTCTGGCAAGAGCTGGTATCAAAATGGACATTAACGCTGATGATAGATTCGGCACAGAGGTTAACCGTGCTTTAACGGGAGGAATGTTTCTTTGGCCTATAGGTTTGTCTTCTCCCCTTAAATCCTTTTTGTTTTTCCCTCCTCGATCTACATATACACCGTCTTCCGAGATTGGTATCACTGCTATGGTAGTGTTGGCTTGAGCAGTGCTAACAACCAGCGGTCATCTTCCTCTTCTTCGCCTTTCTCTCCATATTACCTCTGTTGTTCGTGCATGAGTCCAGAGCTCTGAGGTTCGTAGGCAATCGAACGTTTTTTCTCGCTTTCGAAGTGAGTGTTCCCCCACTCCATCCTAGCCTCTGAAGAGCTATAAGAGTCGGATTTGTACAGCTGACATGGACGGATTTGTACAGCTGACATGGTAGATGTTGGCCACACTCATCACCGTTACCGCATGGTTGTTTAGCATCTACGGATGGTCGATAGCTCACCGAGCGTTTCAAGAAGCTGCTACGGCTGTGCATTTGGGTCCAGCTGTGAGTGTTCCCACCATCTTCACTAGAATCACTCGCACATTCTGTCACATGCTTGTTCTTATTACACAGCTGAGTCGAATACGACGCCAGTCGAAATGAAGTTGAGGAGTTGAAATGTTACGTGTCGACTGCAATAGAAAGTACCGAGCTGATGATAGATCTGGATGGGTCTCACAGCTGCTATCTGCATGTTGATGTGAGTTTTTCATATTTTGGACTAATCTGGAGGGTTGACAGATAGCGTCTTCGTCCTCGGCTGGCCGCGGGATGCATGGGACGGAGTAGCCACCCGAGCCAGAGGAGGTGCAGGTGCTAGAGGATTACCCGGACAGGGAGATGGGTATTATCATTATAAACGTACCACCCGGGAGGTAGTACCTCGATATTGATCGTGCTCGTGCTTTCTTGTAGTTTTTCTGTAGATTTAATGAGAGGATGAATGACGATATATCTTGTTATAACTTTGTGTCGTCTTGTAGGGTCGAGTGTTTCCCCCTCAATCCTTCCCAAAGCCAATTCCTTAGCCCATTCGAATTTGCTCACTTACTCGTACCTACGAGTAGAGTACTCGTACTCGAGTGAGTTAGTGACAGAAGAGATGTAAATTACAAGACAAGAGAGTTCAAGTGGAATCATCACATGTCATGTCATTTAATATGTACAAGATAATGTCCTTAGATCCTTACTGACCATCTTACCTCTGAAACCTATAACCTTTCTTTACGAAGACACATGGGCACAATGAGCGGTAAGACCACCTTCAGTGACAAGTTCATCAATTCCGAAAATTTGGAATTCTGAAGGTGAGGAAGTGACGGTGACATTACACTGAATGTCAGTTTATCTTTGTTAGTCACATTCAACCAATACAAGATCCCAATGGCCAATGGATTTCATGGGGATCACGATAAAAGGTATTACCATTGGAATCATCATAATTAACATATGAAATCACTGGTATCATCATAGAAAACGGTAACGGTGAGATCGAGAGAAAGGATGTGATAATACCAAAGGATAATAAACAGATAGGTCTATATGAACAAATGATCCAAACTCACTTGTTCATAAACACTTCCATTGGTGAAAGTAAACGTATTCGACCCCAAATCTAGGTTGAACATCGTACAAGAATCTGAACCGTTCACACCTCCAACGACACTGACACCAGGATGAACCACCACGTAATTCCTACCGCAACCAGCGTCACAACATCCCGATAAGTCAGTAGCGGAAGCTTGTGAGGTGGCTAGAAGTGCGGTAAGGAGAGTAGGAAGTGTTGACAGTTGAGTTAGGATGGTAGGGAGCATCTTAGGCCAAGAGTTCTGATGGTCAGAAATTGAAGTTGCGTAGATGGTGAAAAAAAAAAAGAAGGAAGATGGACACAAAAGTTCCTATGTGGAACGATAGAGTTTTCTTCTTTTTCTCCTGGGACGATTCACGAAGACATGACCAGGCTGCTAAACTTTTATAGACAGGTGAAAGATGGGTGGAGTAATATAGGACGAGCAGAAGTAGAGACTTGTCAGAACTTACAAAATCACAATATCGCTATGTGATTGAAGAAATGACAAATCGGTGGAATGTAAGTTCTTCAACTTTACTCGTAGGGTGAAAAGATCACTTATATAAACGAGTAAATACGATAAAAAGGTCAATGATCAATTAACTAACGTAGTTGTAAATGATTGATTATAACACTGCCCCGCAATATCTTCCTGTTGAACCCAATCCCTCCCTCGAAATTCTCACCTCGTGTAAAAGTAGTGGACGCATGAGAAAAAGCCTCCCTCCACCCGGCTCGATCATCTCGTCCGGCAATTCGGCTACCGGTAATCCGGAGGTCTATCCCGGAGCCGAGCCGCGATCGCGCCGTGAGTAGTGTCAGATCTACTCGTACAGAAGAGTCAACGTCTATCATGTCGGACTCCTCCACTGTACTCTACTGAAGTGTACTTTAACTAAAGATACGATGGTTGACAAGGTGTGAACACGGATGTCGATCTGGGAAAGCAGAGGGAAAGGCAACGATTCGTCATTATCCCATACATGACCCTACGAGCTATCGTCCATTTATTCATCCGTACCATTTCCAGCATCCTTTCCAACCTTTCTTCGAATTTTTTTAACCCCTTGTTACCCTCATCGGTAATCGATCACGAACAGTCACCACTGACTTCACCCTCGGTAGTCCAGGTGTTGATATCTTCAATGATTACTTTGGTCTGGGCTCCCTCCAAAGCGTTCACAGAAAAGTTGCACTGATCGTAAGCTCAATAACTCTCTTCTCCATTCTCCTCTCACTCTCATCCACCCTGCTTGGATGGAAAGGATAGGTCAGATGTGAGTGGACACAGAGGAAGGGATTAAGAGCTATCTATACTCCACAAGCAGTATGATGATTGAGTACGGACATCAGGAAGAACTCACTCGTTTAAATTCAGTCTCGGTGTGAATGAAGAACCAATTGTCTCCTTGGTGCATCGCCCATAAATCACAGTTTGGATCTTGTGTCCTACCGGTGATGTTGACCGTGTTGTATACTTCACCTACAAAGTCTCCACAGCCTGAGGGGCAACAGGCAGTGAGGTTGTCGTTGGATACAACAGGACCGGGACCAAAATGTAAGGCGAGGGCGGTGGAAGTGATAGAGAGAAGAGCGAGGAGAAGTTTCATCGTCGGTGTCGTTGGGGTTTAACTCAAAGGTCAGTTTTCGTCTTTTGATCTGGTTTCAATCACAATTCTACAAGCACATTTCTGGTCTTATTTTTCGGGCTTGAAGCGCTAAGGAAAGGAGGTGAGAAATGATGATAAGGATTTATCATTGTGACGGGTCAACGTGGAACAAGTTGGAAGAACTGACAAGAGACTTACGATCTGGAGTCAGATGTATAGAAAGGTAATGAGTTGAATGTCGAAAAAATACGATCTATTCAGAAAAAAAAGTTGTCAATAAACCTCTTTATATATCTTTCCCCCTTCACGGCGGTTCAACTATGATTCCAAAGGCGGTGTGATCTTCGCTGTACCCCCGTACCGTCTAGCCGTCTAGTTGCTCCGGACACCCGTAAGGGGGGTCCTTGTGATCAAGTATGCCGGGCAACATGGTCAACATCCCTTCGCTTGTCGGCCGTATAGTCGTACGTATCAAATCACACGTTGGTTCTCTTCCTGGCGATCGTGGCGATGATCAATGGTTCACTAGTGGACGGATGAGATCTGGGACCACACATGGCACAGTTGGGAAGGTTGGGGGTGGACGGACGGTGATTCGGGATTGACGATCAATTCAAGAATTTTCAAGAATGGACCAATGAGGTGAAATCTATTATGATCCGTCTTTCGGACTCGTGTGTATTTGTGGACATGCCGAAGCCCGATGATCCGATACCGATACCGATACCGAAAAGGAATGTACCATGACCGACCAGATGCAGACGGCCGGACATGGATGGGATTGGAAGTGTTTTCGTTCTACCCTCGAGAGAACTAGGTCGAATAAGATGTGTCGTAGTAGTGGTGTCAAGAGCGTTGTCTACCACAATGACTGAACCATGGCTCGTCGTCGAGTCACATTGACTCATCAAGCGCTCTTGACTCCTACACGCACTGAAGGAATCGAAGGTCAGTGACTAGGAATCGCGCTCTATCCTTGCGTAGTTTAATGTCAATGCGCAGGAAATCACACTGAATCTCTCTGATCCTGTAGCATGTAGCATGTAGCATGTAGCATGTAGCATGTAGCATGTAGCATGCATGCGATACTCGTTTCGTAGCTTGTAAGTTGAGTTCATTTTCTTCAAACAATCCACCTCAAGTTCCGAGCCTTTTGTTCTGATCGAAAGCATGAAAAGATAATTAACACCCATTCATCTCATTGCTTAACCTCAGACTATCCAATTCATAGCTACAATCATCCTCCGTCCCATCCTACATATCTCACCTCACTTCATGCTCCTACACTGATGCTAGCTATTGAGAGTACCCTGGTGGAAATTTGTAAATCACACGCATCCACCATAAACGGGACCGTCGGTTTCCCAAGTTGAAACGTCGAAAATGGTGACTTTGGTAGTTACGCTCCCGTCCGGGATAGTGAAGTTGCACTATAAATCAGACGCAGTTCCATCACATCATATCTTGATTGAATCACAAGGTCCAAACCCTGGCAAGGGGGGTTTTACGAAATGTTCCAAGGTTCGGATATCAGAGAGAAATAATAATGGCAGTGTTAGAGAATAAAGAGCGAAGGGAGAATGAAGAGGAAAGAAGAGTAAATAGGGACGAAAAGTAGTAATAATGTAGAGAGATGTTCAAAAAGAAAATTGAATCAGAATAAAAACTATACTCACCTCGGCATGATTCCCTTCATCGTCATTGATGAAAAAGAAATTATATCCTTGGTGCATATCGAACAAAGCACAATGTTCATCATAAGTTCTTCCTTCGACATTGACATTGTCGAATACTTCACATACGGTAGTTGCACAACCGTCGTAGCAACATGGTGAGAGATCATCGTTGGAGACTATGATTCCACCTTGTGCTAAGACTGTAACTGCGAAAGAGATCAAAGCGAGGAATTTCATCGTGGATAGTTTGGTTGGTTGGTCGGTCGATTGGGTGGTTTGTAAGTTACGATAATGATTTGAATTTCTAAACATCAGATATTGACTTCCTTGAAAAGACAATATTTCGTTCGGTCATATGTTTCATTCATCGTGAAGTCAGAGATTCAGTCCTGATGAGATGTGAGGAAATGAGGAAGTTTGGATGGAGATGAGCGTTTAGAGAGATGAGAATGATTGATGAGTGTTGGTTGTTGGATACACGGACGAGGTAAGGTCACATAGGATGAGGAAGAAACAACACTTTGTGACTGTGGGTGAAAGTCGGGGATGGCGTAGGGAAAACAAGGTGGAAATGATGAGGACAAACTCACAATTTGTTTCTGCAGGATTCTCAATTCGAACTTGAAATTCTTTCAAGTGCCAAAACTACCTCTTTATACCTTACCCACCCACACTCAACCGCTCCATGACAATATGAGGTGTATAGACCACATGATACCTCTCCCCGGCACTCCGGTCAAGTGAACCAAACTAACGTCAATCCGTCCTCTCCATCTCACTTCATCTCGTACGTCTATGTGGGGACACTTTGAGGGAGGTCCTTTTGCCTATCGGGATGAACCAGGCCTCTAGGGTCCACTCATCAACGCCCATGATGAAACGTCTGAACTTTTCAAAAAGAATCATAGTCCCATCAAATCACTGTGATCCGCACGTTCTTGACTTTACGTTCGTATCGGATACATATCTCGGGGATTAGGTGTTCGGTGATGGGATTGTCAGAGTGTATAATTGAGTTCGGTAGCCTCGGTGCGTCGATAGATGGTGTACTTGGTACAAGGAAGTAAAGTGCGCCCGTGCGGTGGACCACGGTGTCCCGGTGGTTGGGTACGGATGATGGATGAATATTGGGTGACTGATTGCTACAATGCCAGCAATCTGACCACATGTGGGTGAAATCAAGCGAGTGTAAGCGAGTTGGTTCCATGGGGTACTGGCCGAAGATGTGGTGGTTCAAGTGACATAAGCAAGGGATTCAACTATTCATCGCCTTCCCCTTTGAATCCGGAAACATATCTTTTGGTTAGCTCAGGACCTTAATCTCATCGCCTCATGATTCTTCCTACTGTCAAAGAGGAAGTGGAAGATCAGCATCCATTTCAGATCGGGCACGGGGAAGCGGGAATTGAAGAATTCATGACCGATCTCAATCCCAAAAATAGAAAATGCATACAACAGAATGTTACGTCCCAAATCAAAAATCATACACGTCTTGACCCTGCGTCGCCCCGCCCATCCCCATTCCATCTCCATAAGGATCGTATGCCGCTGCTCCCACACCTGCCCCGGTTTGCGAAGCGAGGGGTGCAATGTTTTCAGGGGCAAGACCCATTTCTATCCGTTGAGCCTGTTGAGAGAATTGTCTTTTGACTTCGGTCAATTGCTGGATGAGAAGGGTACAGGCTCTTTTCAGAGCATCGGCAGGGTTGGACCTCTCGTCGGTCTGGATTTTGATGAGAATGTCGTTTTCGAGAGGATGAGGGACTTTGTAGCCGGCAAAGAGAACAGAAGGGTCGAGGAGAAGTTGGCTGGGAATCAGCGACGTTACATCGACACGGTCTGGTGACAACGAGACGCGTGCAGAAAGTAATCGTAGTAAAGGAAAGGTAGTATGAGGACCAGAGCGAACACTCACGCTCGGATCATGTTCCCCATAGTATGATCCTGCTTCTTCATCATAATAGTAGCAGCGTTTGGGATCTTTGGATCCTCTGTGATAGTCAAACTGATGATATCAGCACCCACAATGGCCCGTGCACGACTACTCACGGCTTATCATTTTCATCGAGAATCCACACATCATTCCTGTCAGGCTGATTGATGCCACTCATGGCTGCCCAGATGGCAGATACCTACGAGGGTGAACAGCTCTTTCGTTAGTTCCGGAGTCATAACCTTGTAACACTTGATGAGCTGGAGAGGTGGTATCATAAGGAACAACTTTTATTTTATTTTTCGTCGGCAGGGTTGAGACCTTTACGTGGATTGACAGATATTTCGTAATCATTTGAGGTAGAGAGAAGGCGACAGGAGGTGTGTATAAACACGTATACACAGATGAGTGGGTGAATAACGGTACAAAAGACTCACCTCTTGCGAGAAGCGCTCCTATCAACAACGCTGAGGACGAAACAATTGTTGAAGATATTTGAGAGGAGTCGCCACGAAATCGCTCCTCGGCGATACGGCGTTATAGAGGGTACGGCGTATGCGGCGATTTGGAGGATGACGAATTGGCTGCAGTCTGGCCCCTGGCCCCCCAATCGACAAGGGTCAAGCCTCGTTCTCCCCACCAAAGCAATTATCATCATCACACTTCATTCCTTTCACTTTTCTACGACTTTTGCACACTACTCTACACCCCCCCTCCTCTTACTTGTCACCGACAGCCATAAACCGCTGCTGAAGTGCGTTCCCTTCTCCCTTCTCTGACTGACACATCCTCTCAAAGCTCCCGTCCGCCCGCCCGCCCCTGCAGCCACGCGCGTCATCGGAAACACCGGTCCGTTTGCTTGAGTGGCAGAAGGTTGACTCCATTCCTACCTCCCCTTGTTTCCCAGTTCACCCCTTGCCCCCTATCAGAGGTACGACCCTTTCCAAAAAGGTGAGCCAAATTCTTAGATCTCAGAACAACCCTCGTACTCTTGCCGTGATTCTTTCTCTTCTTTTCTCGTTTGAGGCACACACACTACAACTAGAAGCGAGCGAAGCTGACGCTGCCTTCTCCCTCCCATCTCCGATTCAATCCTTCTCCGCTTCCTTTTTATCACCGTCACAAACGTGCGCCTTCCATCAACTCGATCTTATAAAAATCCCCGTTTTCACCTCTGGGCCCCCATCAACCAATCTTTATCGATCCTGAATCCACCATGACCCCACCGACGATGAAAAGGGCCAGATCCCATCGCGCCTCTTTTTCCTCTTACACTCCTACCTCTCCTACCACTCCCCAGTCTGCAAACATGGATTCAATGCATCCAGACCCAGATCCTCCTCTCCCCCCTTCCCTCCCAGACATCCGTAGTCATATCCAGCGACTCGAAGCCTCTTTGAACGACCGAGGGCATCATCTATCAGGCCGCATCATCCATGTCTGCCACCACCTCCCCGTTGAAATCATCCGCATCGTACCCCCTGAAGCTCTCGAATCCGGCATACTTTCCCCTCCCATGACCCCCGAGTTCAAGCCCGAAGATCAAGACGCCGTCGTCGAAAGCATTGATGCAAAATGGAGGATCCACTCTCGTACCGCACATACCGCCATGGTTTCCGGCATCAAGAGTCTCTCCGAAACTCATGAGCAGCTCATCGTTGCTTGGACAGGTGAGGTCCTCCTCCAATCCAACACGAATGTTTCACCCCGACCAGACAATCCAGGACTACCGAGTATGATAGCGAGTATGGCGAATCGTCTGTTGGCGGGGAAAGAGGAGAAGAGTCCGGCTATGCAAATTGAATCTGGACTGAATCATGATCCCAAAGACGACACGGTTCTCAAGGTGTTCACGGGCGAGTTCAACGCGGATGAGAAGAAAGAGATAGAAAACGAGCTCAATCGCTTTACCGGAGTCGAATACGAGATCGAGAAAAAAGGCAAACTTACTTATGTGCCGGTCTTCGTCCCACCCGACGTGAGCAAGTCGCATTACGAAGGATTTTGTAAAAGGAGTAAGTCGCGCTTGATCTTTCTGGCTATCGCTGACCTTCAGCACTCTGGCCCCTCTTCCACTACTTACTCTGGCTTGATTCGACCGCCACTGTTCCCTCTCCTGATCCCTCCTGGATTGCTTATCACACGACAAATCTCCTCTTCGCTCAAAAAGTCGCCGAGGTTTACCGTCCCGGCGACCTCGTTATCGTTCACGACTACCACCTTCTCCTCGCCCCAAAGATGATCCGAGAAGCTCTTGGTCAACATACCCACATTCATGGTACCGGCTGGGGCACAGTCGCCCCGTCTCCTGGCGTTGGTACAGAAAGACGCAAGCCCGACTGGGAGCACAAGTTCAACTCCTCGACCCCGGCTTCAGAAGATAATGCCAAGAGTAGTGGGAACAAAGAATCGTTCCTCGGTAGTGTTCAGTACGCACTTGGGCATCATCTCAGCACCGGACATAAACAACCTCCAGAGATCATGGTAGGAATGTTCATGCACACTCCTTGGCCCAGTTCAGAAATTTTCCGCTGTTTACCCAGTGAGTATCTTATCTCTTCCTTCAATCCGTGTCTTGTATCTGCTCCGTTGTAATATGCTAACCTTCGGAACGGCGAGAAATCCTCGAAGGCATGCTCGGCGCCAACCTAGTCTCATTCCAAACCTACTCCTACTCCCGTCACTTCGTATCCACCTGTATCCGAGTGTGCGGCTTCGAATCTGCACCCGGCGGGGTGGATGCGAACGGATCTTTTACCGCCGTCGAGTACTGTCCCATAGGGATCGACATCGATCGTGTCTCCAGAGATCGCGACTCTCCCGGTGTTCGCCCTCGAATGGAGAACTTGAGGATGCTGTATAAGGACAAGAAGATTATAGTGGGGCGTGAGAAGCTTGACCAGGCGAAGGGAGTGTACAACAAGCTTCAAGCGTTTGAAAAGTTCCTACAGGTGTATCCTGAGTGGAGGGGCAAAGTGGTGTTGATACAAGTGACCACTCCAGCATTGTCCGAGCATCCAAAGTTGGAGAGAATGACGGCGGAACTCGTCAGTCATATAAATGGCGCATACGGATCTTTGGACTTTACCCCCGTCCATCATTAGTGAGTCTAGAGTCGATGTTCCTGATTACACTTCCTCCCCTCACTGCGATTCTTTGACTTGCACCGATAGATCGAATGTTGTACTGGCCCGGAGCTGACACGCAGTCATCAAGCCATCGAGCGGGACGAGTACTTCGGCTTGCTCTCCGTTGCCGACCTAGCTCTCATCACCTCCCTCCGAGATGGGATGAACACCACTTCCATGGAGTTTATCCTATGTCAAGATCAGACCAACAAGTCGCCCATTGTCCTCTCCGAGTTTATGGGCACAGCTGCCTCTTTCCACTCCGCATTGACCATCAACCCTCACGACCTTCTCGGTGTTGCCGACGCAATCAATCATGGTCTGTCCATGAGCGCCGAAGAGAAGGCTGAGCGTCATGCTGCTTTGTACGGCGGCGTCGTGGGACATACCTCTCACACTTGGGCAGCAACGGTGTTGAAGCAATTGTTGCAGAATGTCGGAGGGGAGAATATGGCACATCAGACTCCTGCGCTAGATGTTGGTGTCCTTGCTGAGGCGTATAAGAAGGCCAGTAAACGGTTGATGTTGTTTGATTATGACGTGAGTTGCTTGTTTTACTCTTGATCGACCTACATCCGTGTCAGAGTTCCGTCTCGGCCGTCGCCCCCATTGATCCATCACAACCGCGATGAGCTCTAGCTGACGCGCAGGGCACTCTCACCCCCATTGTCAAAGTTCCCTCTCAAGCCATACCCACCGATCGAACGCGCGCAGTCATCAAAGCCCTCGCCGCCGATCCAAAAAATGTCGTCTATCTCATCTCAGGTAGAGACAGCGATTTCCTGGTCGATCATTGGGGAATGGTCCCTAATCTTGGTCTATCAGCTGAGCATGGGGGTTTCATCAAGCCTCCCTCCGGGACGGAATTTGTCAATATGACGGAGAACCTGGATATGAGTTGGTATTCCGAGGTGGAGGGCATCTTTAGGTATTACATCGAGGTGGGTCTATTGTGTTCTGTCAACAACTCTTCCCGATCTGACTCACCCACGGCTGTGTCGAAACCATTGCATTGTCTTTGCCTTTTCTCGTGGCTTTATGTTTCAAGCTGAAGGAGAATATTGACCATACAGAGGACATCAGGTAGTACCCTCGAGACGAAAAAATCGTCTTTGACATGGCACTACCGTAACGCTGATCCGGACTATGGGTGAGTGAACCCCGCTCTGCTTTCCTAGTTCTTTCAAGCTCTCCCTCGGCGCCCTCTTCTTCCCCATCAACAGTTCACATACGAAGGACATCAGCACCTCAGACAGTTTGATGTCTATCCTGCACATGTGGTCATACATTTGAAGCTCTACTCACATACAGCGAATTCCAATGTAAACAATGTCTCGACCTCCTCGAATCATCTCTCGCTCCTCGTCGACCTATCGAAGTCTTGGTCGGAAAGAAAAACCTCGAAGTCCGACCTCTAGCAGTGAACAAAGGTGAAATCGTCCGTCGATTAATGTACGAAAACCCCGATGCCGATTTCATCTTCTGTGCTGGTGATGATAAAACCGACGAGGACATGTTCCGTTCCCTTCGTTCTGCTTTACCTGCCGGAGGACCTAAACCAGGTCAACCAGTCGTACTCAAACCTCCCGTGGCTGTAACTTCCACCATGGACCCTGAAGAAGCGGAACAATTACCAGATGTAGAGTTGAAGGTTACACATGGAGGTATATTCAGTACGACTGTTGGACCACCTGCTAAACGTACTTTGGCGGAATGGCACGTTACTTGTCCTGAAGAAGTTGTCGAGAGTTTAGAGAGTTTGTTAGAGAATGAACAAGCGTGAATTGCGTAAAGTGTGACATGTTCTTGTCAGAGGTAGGTTATGGGAGTGTCAAAGTTTTTGAAATTTTGTGTAGAAATGTAGAGATTAGAGATTTTTCAATGGAAAGGATCATACATACAAAGTCAAATACATGATGCATAGCTTTTTTGTCTAGAATATTATTAACATGTGTTTCCTTCTGTCTTGTTTCATATGTATCGCCCATTTAATTTCGTTTATAACGTCGTCTTTTTTGTTGTACAGTACATGAAATGACCACACTGTGATCCTTCCTCCCACTGGATTGAGGTGGGTGTTTTCTTTTTCGTAGAGGTTGATTGTTGTATGTGAATGAGATCGGAAGGCCGGGAAGGGAAGGATAACTATAGTATTTATGAAGGTGATATGAAAATGTCGAAAGTCATGTCCATTCCAAATTCAACTAGCACCAGTCCTAATCCTCTTCCTCTCTTCTTCAGTAGCATGTCCATTCATACCTTCCCTACCAGCCATATCCCTCCCATAATCCACCGCCTCACGCATGGCCATTTCCACCTCTTCTAATAACCTTTGATCAGGTTCAACACCTTGTTCTTCCGATTCTTGAAGGATCCGTTGTGTTCTTTCTAAAAAAGCGGTGGTTCTTTCAGCCGAAACGAATTGATTTGAACCGAATAAGATTTGTCCGTTTAGGATTCTTTCATCTAACATTGGTGCGATATTCTCATCTGTTAAAACTTGTCGATTATTCTCTTCTCCAGAGACTTGCGTATTGTTCTCTTCACCTAAACCTTGTCGATTATTCTCTTCACCTAAACCTTGTCGATTGTTGTCTCCACCTAGACCTTGTCGGTCATTTCCTTCACCTAAACCTTGTCCAATATTCGCTCCACCCAAAACTTGACCACTATTCCCCACTGTGGCTCGAGGATTCAAGTTCGATGGTGGTGAAGAGTCGATATGTGGAGTAGTAGCATTTGAAAATTCTGATCCTGATGAAGCACCATTCTGATATTCCTCAGGGGGAAATTGATGAAAGAGGAATTGCATTTCACCTCCTTGTCCCACTCCAGGGTTAGGGAAAGAGGGGAGGACGTTACTGGGTATTTGGTCGATCGGGATGAAAGGTTGAGTGAGAACTTGGATGATAGGTAAAGCCCGGAGGAAAGAAGCGATTTCAGGGTCTGAATCTTCTAGAGCTTCATCGGCCTGAGATCAACAATTTGACTAGATACTATAGGAATATTATATGTAGTAGGAATAATAATCGCCAATCAATATAGAAAGAATAGTTAAGAGAGTGATTTTGATAAAATACTTACACGTAATCCCTCGTTGTTCATATGAAGGGGATCCGCTCCTCGATCAATCATAGCTTCTGCAAAAGAAACAGTCTCCACTCCGAATAAGGGAGTATCACCATCCCCATCGACCAGGTTTATATCGCCTCCTTTGGAAATGAGATAGTCGAGGAGTTCTAGATGAGCGTAAGAGGCTGCAGCGTGCCTGTTGTCAGTGGAGAATCCGATGTTAGGTCCTCCGTCTCATCACTTGTCAAGTAATGATATGCTTTGATTTACGGGAATTGACCAATCCAATGAGATCAGACCTTGAATCTGATGAATCTAGGGAAAGAATGAAGATGAGGAGTGACAATATACTTCATAGTAGGTAAGTGAGAGAAGAGGGTGAGGGGGAAGTGAAGAAAGTAGAGAGTACTCACATTGGTGAATAACGATTCGTATCCATCTCATTTGGACTAAATCCTGCTGGTCAGTTCCTTACCGTTCTGACTGATAGGAATCTCAAGTGACAGGTGTGATGAAGCAATCAGTTGGGCGAGGTCCTATCGTATTCAACGGACGAGGAAATAATGACAAACCTTCAACCTCGATGAGATGCTAGCTCATCAGCTACAATCGAAGAAGGAGAAGAATCCCAGACCACTCACTCTTACCCTATCTAAATCCCCATCACTCGCCGCTACCCATATATTACTTGAAGTCTGTACCATCTTCTTAGTCGCTCTTTCTTCCTCCTATGTGAGGGATGACTACCAGCTAGGTGGTACTGGATGATACTTTGGGTGAAAGTGAAGAAGAGGAAGACGGAGAAGAGAAGGAAGGTGGAATGTTGGTTGAAAACCGATCGATCAGGCACCAAAATCGAAATTCGAAAATCAACTTCAACTTCAACTTCAACTCTGCTCAAATCCCTCCCTCTCTCTCTCACTAAAGTACTTAGCACTACATAATCTCATCGACTTCCTGCTTCTTCAAGACCAGAACTATTCAAGACGAGAGTCTAAGCGAGAAGTAGAACCCCTTTGACTTACAACCAAGTCGAAAAGAACAGTCCAAAATGTCACCCACCACTCTCCCACCCAACATTCTTACTCAAATTTTATCCCATCTTCTTCCTCCTCGACCAACCGATATCCCTCTTTCTCTCTTATCTCATTCATTACTCCAACGTCTATCATTCTTACCTCCTCAAGAAGAAGATACGAACTCTTGGTTATCACCTTATCCCCCCACGACCATATCGACCAGTGACCGATTAGAGAGGTTGTATTTGGTTGGTGCTCACGTTAGCGAGGTGGGATATGGTACGGATGGAGAGAGGGCATTAGCGAGAGTGTTGTTATTTCCTCAAGGATCGATAACTGATTCTTATACATCATCTCTTGCTTACCCCAACACTCGTGGGAATGAATCGATCAACGCAAATATTTATCAAGATGAGAAAAAGGACATGACTCATGGAGAAATAGAGGAGAAGAAGGAGAGTGAGATGGAAGAAGGTGTGGAGGTTATTTTCTCTTTCGAATCTTCAATAACTCAACCACACGATTTATCTATTGATATCAAGAAACAAGAGGATAACTCATGGAGATTTCACGCTGCATTATCATATCCTTCCTCTCATACTTCTTCCCTGACATGGGGTCTTATTCCTATTCTCCCTTCTGAACATCCTTCTGCCCACTCACAACATCCCTCTTTCGACCAACATCATCCCTCTTTCGACACCCCATATTCCTCTTCTGATCCAGACCATCCTTCTTCCACCACACAAAATCTCTTTTCAAACCCATATCAACCCTCTTCCGATACGCATTACACAAACCAAAATCACCCCAACACACAATCATCTTCTTCAGACCCCACTTCCCCCAATAGTCTACGTCCTTCCAACTCGGACCCATTCCAATATGACACCTACCGTTCTCCTGAGGATTCCGAATATACCGATCAAGCTCCAGAAGGTTATTGGCCTCCTTCTCCAACTCTGTCTCATAATCATGATCACGATCCCACCATTCAAGCCGATGTCGAGAGGTTAGTTTTGGATGATGATGAGGCGAATGAGGCAGCTTATTGGGCTTCTTATGTCCAAGCTTCACAATCGAGGAATGATCAATCGGACATGATGATGACGCCTGTAATGAAGAATGATGTTCTTACTCAAGAGATGGGATCGAGTCATAGTGTGATGAATGATGATCTTACTCCGAGAATGAGATTCGATCAGAGTATAACGAGTGACGTTCTTCCCCGGGAAATGGACTTGCCTCATGGTCAAGGGAAAGGGATGGGATCGAGCGGGATTGAAGAAGGATACGTGAGGATGGAATTGGAGAAGCAAGGAGACCAAAAATCAGAACTACGAATAAAGATGGAGAAGAAACTTTTGGAAATACTTGTTTCTCTTTGGAACCAATGGTGTGGTCCAAATCCGACGTCGGAAAGAATGCAAGAAAAGGCTTTGGAGTGGGTACGTTTGTCCAAAGAAATCAGTCAGGATAGAAGATTATCTCTGGTTGGGACTGGTGGTGGAGAGCAAGCTGAGCAGATGAAAGGATTTCAAGGACATGTAGAAGATAATGGAGAATTCGAACGAGGTGGACAAGGTGAACAGGATGAATTACATGAAGATGAAGTAAAGGGGAATTCTTCTTTGAGGGAAGGGGAAGAAACATGTGAAAAAGCTATTCTTCGTGGACAATTGATTGTTTTATCAGAAGTATATTCTTGTCTAGGGGATGATTTCCCTCATCTTGTAGAAAGTGTCATCACTCTGGCACCTGGTTAATCACAAACGTTGAGAGTTATGAGGGACACACATACATACTTCACATTACACATTGTTGTACATACTTGACATGTCATAAATGTCTTCAATTACGAATTCCACGTTCATTCAAGATTAACGTCAACTTGACTTTAGCTTGCATTGTCAGACCATCGTGAAAACTCACACTTTTGACAGATTCGTATATCCTTCGTTGAGCCACGAACATGAATGCAGCTGTCAAAACTGATTGGAGTAATTTAGGTCCTAAACCCGCATATAGACCTGGTCCACATTAGCAAGTTTAGAAGGGGGTGGGGAGAGGTGAGAAAGAAATGAATCACCTGCTAGACCTTCAGACTTGAGGATGTCAAGTATGGCCCGAAGAGAGGATTTGTATTTGTGTGTTGCTGCTTGCTTCTATCTCAACTGATTTCCCCCGCCATGAGGGGATAAAGGTGAACTTACAAGTCTTGATTTCACCACGATCTGTGTAATAAGCATAATTGAGCAGGAAGGATTTCATGAAGGGATAACCCAGAGTGCATGGGGGAGTGGAGGTCGGAAACGTACAAGGAAAGATGAGGGGTTCTTTGGGGAATGACGGAGAGGAATGGTAGAAGATTACATGAAGAGGAAGTCGAGGAACTATCAACTCACATAGGGATAAGTAAACCCCGTAGCGACCAATTTACTAGCTGCTCCAAGGATGAACAAGTCCCAATCTGTCAAAGCACTTCGTCCGACTTTCCCACTTGATGCAGTTCCTCGTCTGGCGATACGCCAAGCAAGAAGAATCCCAACTAGACGTTCGTAGGTCGTATACTATTTATCAGATCATACACACAAAACCCAAAATTGATCTCATATCACTTGAAAAGAACAAGGAGTTTCATATGGGCATGAACAGGGAGTCACGCGTCAGAAAGGTGGGAAGAATAGAATAGTCCAGGACAGAAAACGTACTTCAGATGAAGACGGATGAAAGAAAAAGGAAAAGAGGTGAAATCCACATCAAAACACACCTGGATGACAGGATTGATGACCAAAATCAAAGCGGGTCTGATTCCTCTCCAAAACCCACTCAATCCATCAGATTTAAATATCTCTTTAGCTACCTGTACAGCAGAAGGCTGAACTTTCTTATTTTCTCCTCCCTCGGCAAGAGGAAGAGTGATAGCACGGACAGATTGAGCGGTTTGAACTGTCCAGATGGGGTTGGTAGTGATAGTTGTGATTGACCCTGATTGTCATTTCCTGAATTTGAACCTCTCAAGTAATTGTAAGATGACAAATGTGAGAGAAGCGATTTAATGGATTGGAAGAAGTGAGATACAATAAGACTTACCAGCTACAATCCCAGCTAAGATACCTTCTAGGGTGCTGAGTGAATGAGGTGAATGAGTAGTATTTGCACGTCGACGAAGTAAGACACTACGCATTTCTTCGTCTACACGTTAATTGTTTCCCAAAAGAACAAGAACAAGTCAATTCGTTCTCAAAAACACTTAGAACTGTCTCGGTCCATGGCGGAGATGCAGACTTTGAAGTTGGTCGCAAAAATCAAAGTGAGAGAAGGGCTGGACGAAACGTCGTCATGACCGACATGACTGGAAGATGCGTTTGGGATTGTTAAGAGTTTGGAGATTCAGCTTGGAAAGAGTCATGCCGAGTTGACCCTCGGGATGTAGAATGTAGAATATAGGGACGGAGGAGTGAAGTCGAAAGATGACTCACAAAAAGCATAATAAACCCCATTAGTCATTGCTATCCCAAACAAACTACTTTCTAACCCGGAATACAATCCAGATAAACCTTCATCCTTCAAAGTCTTTCGTATTGCCTGAAGCAGAGTCTAACATCAGCTCAAACCTAGTATATTCAGAGATCAGCCATGGAGGTGAAGATAATTGTCATCTAAGTATATTAGACAGTCGGGGAAGAAAGGGAGAGGAGGAAGGAAACATACCAATTGTTCATCTTTCTCTGAAGCTGTCTTCTTCTTGACCGCTGCTCTGGTGGATAAGTTGACCAACGGACTGAACGTGAGTGAACTCTCTTCGCTGATCTCATCCATCTTGTTAGCTGTGTTTCTGAACCACGGACGAGATATCAGAAGAGAAGTGAACAAGTGTTGGTTCCCTATATGTTTGTCACAGACGATGAAGGGAACAAGGTCGAAAACTCAAGCGAGATGGAGCTACAACTGACTAAGTCAAAGCCTATCCGTCAGCTCATCCCTGAGTTACAGACTTACCATAGAGACACATCCTCCTACTGAACCAGCTAGAGCGTGTATAGCTGAGTCACCCATCTTTCTCAATGTATGTTATGTTTGCAAAGTCGCAGAAGATGGTGGGAACGATTGGAAGGAAAGGTAGGGAGGGCGATCGGTTATTCGACTAACCGGTATGTCCGCTGGGACGACGGGTGATTCTGCAAACGAAAGCAACGACATCAAGTGGAGGAGAAGGGTGAGTACTTGACGCATGTTAGTATAGGGTGGATAAGTTAGGACCGGAAGAGCATTAAAGCATTTCGATTCATAATGTATACCGCTACAGTTGTCTCTACAATGCATTAATCATCACCAGTAAGATTATCAGAAGCGTCATCATCGGAGTCGAAGTCGTGTATCTTGTCATTGCCAAGTCGGATTGCAAAGAACCCGGTTGTTTCAGCGTCGTCGTTCCTGTTTCGTATACTATGGAGATGTGTTCTGTCATTGTCTGTTCATGAGTGTCGATATCCTTCCGTCTCTCATATACTCGGTACTCTTGCTTCATCGCCGTAAGGGGACATGAGAAAGGACTAGGTGCGGCATGGAAACCCGAGACGAAGCTGGTTTGATAGAAGCTGACGTACCGCCGTCAATATAACCTCACCACCCGCCGGATCCATTGAACTGCTCGTCTGAGTCACGGTAACCACTACGACCGTTGGAGAGGTGTTTTTTCCGGTGGTCATGACGGTGACCACGTCGGCAATGTCTGAAAATGTCAGCACTGATAAGATCGGTGCACCTCCGGAAGCTTCCAGGGCTCATGTGCTCTGTTCCACCTGCAGCTGTATGGAATACAGAGTGGAAGTAAGGTTCATTCGTAAAGATACCAAGGAGCGGTAGGACTTACTGCTTGGGGACGCGCCACTAGGTACCGGCTGAGGAGCACCAGTGACGGTGAGCGTGATCACCTCCTCCACTGTCGTTTGAACACCCTGCGAGTTGACACTGGTCACCGGGTTGGTGTAAGTCACAGTGAGATCATCGTGGCTCGACGAGGCGACGGACGACGTAGAGGAGGTCGGTCTGGTGGTCACTGGTACGGACGAGGAAGCCGTCGGCTGTGACAGAGATGATGATGGAGACGAAGAGGTTCTAACCGAAGCGGATGTCACTAAGGTGGAAGAAGCAGAGGAGGTCGTAGAACCATTGGAGGAAGTCGTGGTGTTAGCGACAGAGGAGCGGGAGATTGAAGTGATGGAGGAGAAGGTGGGGGAGGAAGATGATGATGAGGTAGTGATGGAGATTGAGGCTGAGGAGGAAGGGGAGGTAGTGGTAATATCGGTCCCAGAGGTGATGCTGCTGCCAGATGTTGATACGGGGGAGATGAGACTTCCAGATGATGCAGCAGAGGATGCGATAAGATTCGTAGTGGAGTCAACAGAAGGGACATCAGTCGAAGGAACTGAGCTCGAGGTGGTCAAAGCCATAGTAGAGAAAATGATAGGACTGGTCGTAGTTGATGCAGAAGCAGACAAGCTTTGGCTGGACATGGTTGAACTGAATGTTGTGAGGCTCGGAGCCGAGACGGTTGAGACGAGACTGCCTTCTGGGATAGTAGATGTGAAGGCTGTAGTGTCCAGTGAGAGTGACGGAACGGACGAGGTAGACAAGGTAGACAAGGTAGGCGAGGAAGAGGAGATGAAAGCATCAGTTGAGGTGGTGGATGGGGTTGTAGAGGGGGAGGTGAGTGGCGGCAGTTCAAGAAAAGTCGATGTGGTTAGAGAGTTGATCGAGGGTAGGGCGGACGAGGTAAGTGTTGTCCTAGTAGTCAGAAAGGCAGTATTTGGCACTCATCAAGGGACTCACTGGGTAGTTGAGGAGGAGGTCGAGGAGATGGTCAAGGACGCCGTCAGAGTAAATGTGGTCAACGAAGAGACCAAAGGGTCGCTAAACCTCAGCTATCCGAGCCGCAATTCCAGGTTGAGATACTCACCTAGTGCTCTCCGTCGTAGGTGCCAAGCTGGCGATAGTGTCCGTGGTGACTAAAAGTCTTAGCTAGATTCATGCTTACTACTCTCACCAACCCATCCAGTTCGTTAGCATCGTAGCATGTAGCGATATCTGTAGGGCAGACGGGTGCAAGATCCGGGAGTCGGGCGCCATAGAAGTGGTATAAGAAAAAACCCACAAATTTGTCTACGGTTCCATTCCACGCCCACATGTCGACATTCCACCAATCTTGTCCATAGAGATCCTAGTGTCAGTACAAGCTGGACAGAGTGGATTGTCAGCAGCTTCATAGATGTACGATCAAGACATCAGAATGTTGAGATGGAGTTTGAAAAGATTTGATGTCTTGTAGCAATGGGGCATGACGCGCTTTCGATCACTCTCACAGCCGCGACCATCACCACCACGTGGCTCAACATCTCGCTCCTTCGCCAACTCATCTTGGGGGAGTAGAAATCCACATCTCGCTCTTCTACCCTATATAGACTTAGTACTTTGCATTGTACAGACCTAACAGCATGTCCAGAAATGATAACGAGGTAGCACAGAGAATTCTTGTCTTATCCGCCCCTCTCGATGTGACTTCCGTCCAGCTCAAAGCGAGAATTCACCTCGATGAAAATTATACCCACTTGGAATTCCTTCATCCTCCTCAAGCGGGTCCTAGTACACCTCGATCACATCTGAACTTCAACCCCAAGAAGAGAAGTCTAAATGATGAAATTACTTATTGGGAGAATAAAGAAGCCATCACTGCTAGAGAAGTGAGTCCTCCACTCAACGTTGTTCTGTCAAGCTGACAGGCATAGTTAGAAGAGACTTCCAAAATATTACCTGGTTTATTAGACGAGACACAGACTAGATTACAAACATTCCTTTCATCCGCACAAGATCTATCATTGAAACGATATGCTCTCGCAGATCAACTTGTACAATTGCTCTCGGACTTGTCATCGTCTTCTGGAACAGAAAAGTCGGAAGATGAAGAATTGAGAAGAACTGTTCTGGACCAGATGAAGGGCCTTCAGGCAGAGTTGACAAGGTTGGAAGCGGGTCTTTCTTGGATTCAGGTATTAGAAAAACTTCTTATCCTCCGGTGAGATACTAACTTCTGTATGTCATAGCAGCTGACGATATAGAGACCAAATATTAAATCAGAAGAACCATCATCCATCCCCCCTTGCCGCTTTGCCAAAATTGTCTGAACTAAACGATATGGTGAAGAAAGTACAGGATGCTGTACCGGGGGATATGACTTTACTGAGATCGATTGTGGATGTTAGAGATGAAGCTTGGAAGGGTTTGAAGGATGTAATGACGCAGTGAGTCATCGTGTCTCCACTTCACATTCCTTCCATATATCACAATCACACTGAGCAATTGCTCGCAATCTTATGTGCTTGAACCTCCCCCATCGTTAAAGAGTGTGAATTTGGCAAAGGACCACAAACTGACCATCAGACAATTGTTAGAAGCGAGTGAAACCCTGTCATGGCCACTCAAGACCGATTATCCTGCCGTGCCACCCCATCAAAGAAGAACGTTCGAGAGGTGTTTTCAGGATTTGTTGTATTTGCAAATTGAGTGAGTTCAGGTCTACTCAATCTTTGACTTATGGAGCTGATTGATTAGAGGAGAGAGAATGGGCTTGACAGGAGCAAAGACCCGTCATTGGTCTTCTGGGCAAGGGTTATTTTCAATACAAGCCATGATTCGACCTATAGAATTACGCTTCAAATATCATTTTCAAGGATCGAAAAGTACCAATCGGGTTGACAAGGTATGTCCATCTACTCCCGGACGTAGCCAATCTTCCGTCAGGAATTCTCATACCATCGACAAGGGCTACTCAAGATCATGACATTCACCTATCATATTCTTACCCGTACTGACAGCCTTCCGCTCAAATAAGTATGTGAGCTGACCGGTGCAGCCAGAATGGGCTTTCTCCAACATCCTCGATCAAATTTATCAACACACAGATTTCATATCCGACTACCTGCAACCTCTCGTCTCTCGCTCGGGATCCTCTGAAGTTGATGTAAAGGTGAGTTCATATCATATCTCATGGTCGAATTTGCGCAGAGCTCTTCTTCCACCTATCACAATGAAGTGTAGAACTGATCAGAAGTCCGAATTCACTCTACTTCTCTTTCCTGTGCTACTCAACCTTCTCCGTACTCGTATTCCTCGCTTGCTCGATAGTCCAGCTTTGTTGGCACACACAATATACCAAACTATCATCTTCGACGACGCTATCAGAGATATGGACTTTGACCTGGGTGGAGTATCAGTAAGTGATGGATCCGAGAAAGAGTGGGAAGGACTAGCGGGGGTGATTCTGAAGGAGAATGGGTGGTTTGAGCAATGGCTAGAAGGGGAGAGAACTTGTGAGTCGACGTTTTCCTCCTCATCTGCTTGACCGACACTCTTCTCTCGTTGGAGTCCTCTGCGGTCTCCTCGTCCTGCTTGAGAACACCCTTCATCGTAGCTGCTCGTATTGAGTAGGGTCGGAAACCTTAGCTAAATAACCAGTCGCAGAAGGACAACTGAATGAGATCATCTCTTCCCCTGACGCGTGGACCATAGAAGATCCGCCTTCGGAGGATGAACGGGGTCTCCAACCACTGCGACCGACCCAATCTGCCCGTCAGGTGAAGGCTCTGATCGAGCAGATCCAAGGTGAGTATCCTGCTCCTCACCTATTCATCCACATGCTCACCCTGTCCCTGACTTTGCCGTTATATACACACTGCTCTGATACTCACATTTGTAATGGAAGCGTTATCCATATTTTCTCTATGATTATTCGAACAAACTTGTTGAGGAATGCTGACATTCAGAACGATACTCTCCCCTTCCCGCTTTAGAAAACAAAATCCCATTCCTTACGACCATTCAACTTCCGCTTCTGTCAACATACCATAGAAGAATCTCCTCTTCACTAGATGCATTCGAAAGTGTCAGTTCGGCATTTGTCAGAGCTGTCCCTGGTGCTCTGGCGAACTCTAGGAGTGGGATAGTGTACGACCAATCTGCTTTGACTGCTGGGAAACAGGGTTTGGAAAGGTTATTGAAGGGTTTGTTAAGTGTGGATTGGGTTTTGGAAGCTTTGAAGGGTTGGGCGGATGATCCTGTGAGTATTGATAGTTTCCGATTCATCTTCTCGTCTGATCATGTTGAGAAGTTCACTTTCATTCGTACACCCACATCAACGACATGATCTATTCGATTGACACTGTATCATCACTTGATAATTCTTCATGACAGTGTAGTCACATGACCGTTATGCTGTATACAAAGCACTCTGATGAAGACGGGTTGTCGATATAAACGGAGACCTCAGCTAATCCCAGTTTTATGTCGAACTCACTGGAGATATCCAAACGTCATCAATGAGATGGAAGCTTCAGTCAGAACCATTGTTACCTTCATCTTTACTCGCCCTGTCGGATCCTAGCCAAGTATCCGTGTTTGACGTGATTATTGACCAATATCAATCACTGCATTCTCGAGCGGAAGATATGATAGTACGTTTGGTCACTATGGAAGTGGAGAATGACCTTAAGGAACATCTCAAGCGGTGGGTGGAATTCTCACTGCTTTCCGATCTCCCTCAAACTCGTTCTACGTCTTCCCTAACGCGACACGGATGTAGTAGAGTTTAACTTACCCACAGTCGTTGGGATCCTCCTACTTCAGAACATCACACCGAACCAGACTCTTCCCTTTCATCCAGTCTCACAACATACACTTCTCATCTAACTTGTCTTCATCTTTTACCTCCTGTTCAAACATCTTCCATTTATCGTCGTATAGTCAACCATCTAGTCAATCATATCTCCCAACGAGCGGTTTACGCAGGTTGGTCAAAATTCACCTCTCAAGGTGGTCGAGATCTATACACAGAAATAGAAGATTGGGTGCAAGCTGGTACATGTTTGTCACACCCAGAAGAAGGAATACCTATGGAGATGGTCAAAGCCCCTTGGAATAAGTTGATGGATATGGCTAAAGTGTTGAGTTTACCTACAGAGTCAGAAGTATCATCAATTTCTCGAGAACGGCTTGGTTCTAGCACAGGTGTGAGAGGAGGGGAGGAAGATCAAAGAGGCAGACATGGGGCGAAGGGGGAAGAAGAAGTGATGACTTTCGAAAATGCTGTGGATGTCGCTTGGGGAGATGAAGATGTTTTTGAGAGGTTTAAATCTAAAGTTGGGATAACGATTATGAGGGAAGAAGTACAAGGTGTTTTGAAAAGACGAGTAGAATGGCATTGACTTGGGATATGATGGCCTTCTATCTTAATTCTGAGTGGACCAGCTTACTATATGTCATAAAGACTTGTTCGCTTCTTGCGACTTGTGTCAGACATCTGTTTCCATACTACATGCTACACGCTACAGATATACTTTGGGTGTGAATGACCCGAAAGAATGAGTAAGGCTTGACAGGGTGGGGGCACCTGGCGCAGGGAAAGAATGTCAGGGCAACCCAAAAAGCCTCAATTCAACTGAGGCTTGATCATCATCACATCTTTCTTTCTTCTTACCCATCTCCCAACACTCAAAACGTGTAAGCTTATGTGTATACTTGAATGTGTATAACTCCTCCCCTCTTTACCCCCTCTATACAAAACAAACCATTCCCCCTCATGTCACATCATGACGCTGTCGAAATCCACGCCGGTGACATCGACGAGATAGAGGAAGATGATGTGGAGGTGATTTTATGTCCACTCTCTATCTCTTCTCACTGTCTATTCCCTTCCTCATCTTCCTCGGCATATTCTAGATTTCATTCGACCCGGACCGACACTAGTTCATATTCATCTTCTGTTTCGACAAGTACTTTCCATTCAACTTCCACCCAAAACGCTCCTACGTCAGAAGAAACTGCCAACCTTGACAACTCGCCCGTGGATGATATTTCGGAAAATGGGAAGGACGACAGACCTGATGTTCCAAATCTCCCAGATCAAACTTTTTTCATCTCACATGATCCCATTGGACATTTTCTGGACGTGGAAAACCATGGCTACTGTCCTGAAGAGTTTAGGACTGTTGAAGGTGATGAAATTGATATCGACTCCGATTTATTGGATTTGATCTCTTTACCTTTTTCCCCTTCGTTCTCAGAATCAGGTGAATCGTCTTGTTTCAATACTTCGACAGTGAAAGAAACACTTGGATCAAGATTGGAATGTACAAGTTCATCCCTGAGGAATTCATCTTCGGTTGATGATGTTTCAACATTTGGAAATTCGATTACTACAAGGATGGTCCCCATCATTCCGCCGGCAACAATCATACGAGAGGTAGAGGGAAATGAAGAGGAAGACGATGATGGACATGGAAATGGTCATGGAGGATCAGCTGAAGGACTGAGTAAAGGAATTGAGCGAACTGAAGCAATTGAACATGGTGCACGGAATGAACGAGAGGAAATGGATGAACTGGATGAAGTGGACTACTGTCAAAAGGGGAATATAGGGATTGAGAGAAGTATGGACGATGGGTTGACAAATACGATTTTGGATGTCTTGACAGAAAAAAGTATTGTGTTGGAGGACCAACTGCGTAAGACTGAGAAATTACGAAAAAATGAGATAGGTCCTTCACCATCACATAGCTTTGGGTCGAGTGATTTGATCTCATCGAAAAGCGCAGATGACTCCATGGGTGGGGACAGTTTTGGTTCACACAGCTCAAACAACTCAAACAGTTCAAGCAGCTCAAACAGCTTCAACAGCTCAAACAGCTCAAACAGCTCAAACAACCCAGAGAGCTTGAACAGATTGAATTGTAGTGATCTGGATTGTTTGGATAGTACGAACGAGTCTAAAGAATGGGACGATTTAGATTGTCTGGAAGATGACGATGTGGGGATAAACACAAATACGGATTCATCCCCTCATCCTACAATTTTATATGACGGTGATCAGGTGGATGTTTCGAACCACCTCAGAGCTTCGGTTTGGGACACACAAGAGTGAGTCCAACTACATTCCTTTTCTACGCTTTTGATGGTCTTCCAATGGTTGGATATGATGGATTAACGTACAGAGGGTTCGAGGAAGATTGGGAATGTCAATCTTTAAATTCAGGAGTGGAATCTCTTCCTCCTAGTCGATCTAATTCGCCTTCTCCATTAGTTGACCGAGTCCAGGGAAGAACCTACGAATCAAGTTGTACGTCTGTATCAATGAACTGTAGGGAAGAAGAGACTACACAATATGGACTACAAACTCCTTACTCAAACTCGCCCTCATCCATCAGATCAGTGGACGAGATCTCACCTATTGTTCAAGTATCTCACTCGGTCAACCACAAATCTCCCTTTGAGTCTATCGTTCCTTCCGAGTACGAACATGATCATTCTACTTCACCTTGTCCCAAACGTACGAAATCGACTCTCGCCTTCTCATCTCTGGACTCACCCTCGTCCGATCGCTTTCGAGTTGATTCAATCTCAGAGCAAGAAAGCTCTCGAAACCGGCAGACAGGTATTGAGGGCTTTAAGACAGTCTCGAAAGGAAACACACGTGAAGAACGACCAGGTAACATCTCAAACCCCATCATCGTCGAAGAAGAACAACAGTCTCTCCGAGAAGCTTCCGTCATTCCACGTCAAATACTTCCACCTTCCACAGGTCCTCAAAGGAGTAAAACCCGTTGGCCACCATGGGGGGATAACACGATTCAATCTCGTATGCAAGAAATCACTTGTGATACTTGTCAAGGTAGATTACATTATGCTTGTGCTTCACTTCATGATGATGATGATATGAGAGGAGAACCTTATTCTTGTCCACCTTGTGTTACTTTATATTCAATGTCATCACCTTCTCTTTCACCTTCTCCCACAACTCCTTCCAATTTACCCAATTTACCCAATTCATCTTCCTCACCTTCATCTTCATCAAATAATCTCCCATCAAATTCTTTGATATCCAAAAGTACTTCAACGACAAATACCAAATCGAAAAACCTAGTACCTCGTAAAATCAGAGGTCGTATAGTTCCTATAGCACCACACGATCGTTGTATTCGACCAGATTGTATCCTTCGCTCAAGAATATCACTCAAAAGAAAACGTGATGATACAGAATTATATTATTTCGAACGTATCATAGGTCGTAGAGTTCTTCATAGATTAGGTAACGGTAAAAGGGTATTCGAATTTTTGGTCAAATGGGAAGGATGGGAGATATACGATTCTACTTGGGAAAAATCACGTAATATACCTCATGTGGAAGTCCAACATGAATTATTCGAGATTATGGCAAAGAGACAAGGTTTAGAAATGATGACTAGGACTTGTTTGTTGAATGAAGCTGAGGAATGGTGGGATGATATGGGTGAGTTGAAAAGGGATAAATTGGAAATGTTAGGTGTTCAACCTGCACCTTGGTGGGATTGAAAAAAAAGGCACATAGAAGCTTGTCGTCATGGTCATGAATGTCAGAATTCTCATAAGTATCACTAAGTACTGTTCGAGGATTTGCCGGTTGCTCGTGGTCCTAGGTCCTCTTCCTCGCTGTTCTCATCATGCTCATCTTTCATACTAGTGATTCTATCATTCTGCTCTACCCGTACGTTTGTCATTTGCAGTGAAGAATAAAGTCAGGCACGTTCCTTCCCCCACTTTCTCCCCATCTTTCAACTTTTTTCCCCTCCCTTTCCTCGTCAATTCATTCCCTCTCCCTCTTCTCTGCCTTTATACTAAATAACTTCTAAAGCTACTAAGACTCTAATCTTCACAAGTCGATAAATCGCTTTTTAGCCTCGAGATTCTCACTCGGAAAGCGCATGATCACCCGGTGAGTCCAAAAGATGGCCCCTACGTTAAGCTCAGCAATCACCATCTCAGCCGTTGGACTTTTCTTCAAAGCTCTCATCCGTGCTCGATCGACATCTTTCGAAGTTCGTAATCTACCCATATTGCTCGATGCGTTGAACAAGTCGGATACACCGTCTATCGTTGGACCTACTCCAGTGGTGGATCCAAGCAACGCTCGGACGCATTCAGGGGGAACCAACATCACCGAGAGGGCGGACGGAGACAGGAGAATGGTCATTGGTGAGAGAGAGAAGGTTGGTATGGTTGATGTTGATGTAGGTGCTGAGAGGTTTGGCAAGGGGGAAGGAAGGAGAAGAGGTTTGGTCACTGGTACGTAATTTCTTCCTTTATCTCACGAATAAGAATACACGATGGAAACTTGATTGACGAGATCCTTTCAATCTCGTCTGATAATTTGCATGACGAGAACAAGAAAATGCGTCTCATTATGATAGGGGATTCAGATCTGAGGGAGGAATCGACTTGGGCTTGAAAAAAACAAAATATGAACAAGTATTGATATATCAGTGTGTAACCATAATTCCGTGTTGGATGATCCGGGAGTGAGTTGTCTCCTGCTCAATTGACTATTTCTGAATCTTGCTTCTCAATCAGAATGTGAAATCATCAGACATAATGCCCGTGCGAGTATGAGGAATAGGAGGGATCAGGGGGAAGAACAAGTCATGAGCACTCGAAAGGCCTTGCTGCTGACTATACAGATGTGGGCTTTGATGCCTTTGTCGAATTATTTCCCTTTATCTTCACCAAAATGGACATCACAGCATACTAGGTGGACATTAGGTGGTGAGTCTTCATACGTCTTGTCATAGGCTCTCATCTTCTACTTCCAATTCATCTCATAAGAACATGCATCATCAACATTATCATCTGCAGACACCGACCCCCCTGTAGAACACATGACACTGGGGGGGCTCTGGCCGGTGAATAACATTTGATCAAGGGCAAAGTACACCTTGAAGTCGGATCAGAGAACGTGTCAGCTTGAGGGATAGAAGGATGAGACGAACAACCGACTGATGAATAGCATCCGATATAATGTTCACCAATTCGTTTTTCTCAAAATTTTTCACTTTGGGTCAAGTCATAGAGACTTATCGTGGTGGAGGGGTGTTCCAACCTGCTGTTGATCAAGCTGTCAAGCTCCTTCAGAGTGGGGAGTGGGTGAGTGTTCTAATTTCAGCTTGCCACATGACCGTTTATGCGGTATGACGGAAATGGTAGTTACCCTTGCTGTCCCCTTCTTTTCCTCCACTAGTGAAGTATCATATAAGCTCAGACGTTTCTAGAACCGTGTGTGAAACACTGTATGTAATGGGGAACGGAGAAAGACATTCAGAAGATTTAAGGACTTGGAGGAAAGACTGATAACAGGTACATATATTTCCAGAAGGAAGAGTAAACCAACAGAGTATAAATCCATCAGGAGGTTTATTTCGTTTCAAATGGGGTGTGTGAGTATACTTTTTCTCTCTCCTCTCCATGACCTCTTCTTTGGAGCTCCACATATAAAATCTTCGCCCATCACCGTGTCAACTCCTCCTCCGTTCATCATTCTTTTCCACCCTATCTCGATCCCTTGCTATTGAGATTGTCAAAGAGAGAAGACCTCCAGACGAGTATAATGTATTGCGAGGTTCCATTATCCCTTTGATGGAAATAGAGAAGACCATAAAGAGTGTTTGGTCATAGAGGAACAGTAGCTAATAATAGAGGGAGGATAATCATGGATTCTACTACACTTCCAGAAATCATACCCATGTGGGTATCACGTAAGTTATCTTTTTTTATCAAATCTTTCTTTCTCCACTCAATTTCTCAGCATTACCTACATCCATCATCTTTTCTCCCTCTCTCTCCTTCCTTGGTTGGTTCAATACTTATCATCAACCTAATTCGTACAACGCTCTCCAATCGAGTGACAGATATTCCTCTTTACATCGCTAACGGAAAAGGATTCGACACTGTCATGCCTGAAACTCGAACTTGGCCTCGACTTTTCCCTCGGAAAGGTGGAAAGTTAAGTGTGACCATAGGTCAACCTATAACACATTTGATTCGACCTCTAGTGGAAGAATGGCAAAATGTATCAAGATCTTCTTCCGGTCCTTTGGGTATAGGGGGTGATTGGGTATCATCTTCCTCTACCTCCACCTCATCCTCTTCCACTTCATCTGCCTCATCTTCTACTTCCTCTTCCTCTCCGTCCGTGGGAAACCCCTCCACTCCAATTTCCCTCTCGGATCCCGAACTAACTTCAACATTGTCCCGGACGTCTTCACCTTCCGTTACCCCGTCTTCCACAACCGCATCGTCCCGAGGGAGAACAGTGGAACGACATGGTGTTGAAGATAAAGAGAATCGAGAGAAAGGACTCATGGCTGGTGGAAGAGAACAAGAGATCAGAATACGTATCACTGCTATTTTACAAGAACAAGTTGAGAAACTTGGTAGAGAGGTTGAACGACTTGAAGGGAGGTTCGAAAGTGGTGAATGGTCACATTCGACCAGTCGACGATCGTCGTGACTTTCTTAATCAGAATACAAATATACTACTGTACATGCCATAGACCAACATTGCATTGCATTGTTTTTCATTCAGTTGGTTGGGATATCATGATGAAAGATCTGTGAATCAAACTATACTCTCAGTTTCCAGGTCGTGGACATCGATGGGTACTATTGAGCGACATTCTCGGTTAGTAGAAAGGACCACACTTAGTACACATGCTTCATGTCACGCAAATGGTATCAGGTGGCTAGATGGGGAGATTGGTGTGGGGGTCAGGATGAGGATCATGGAAAGGTTGATACATGTCATTACGAAGCAAAGAGAACGATAGAGTTTAACGGCCGTATTTCTGCAATTCCCATTGTCGACTGTCATGTCAGCTTGGTCTAGCCATGAAGAAGAAGAGAATAAAGCTCACTTGTCCAGAGGACATACTGCATGTCAGCACTGTCTCTTCATAAAGATGAATCGGATGAAATGGGAGGCTCATGTGAAGTTTGGACAAGCGAGGACTCGTGTGTAGGGCAGCATCAGTGGGAATGAGAGCAAGAGATAAGAAGGAAAGCGAAATTGACCAAACTTACCATGCCGCGTTTTGAGCCAACGGGAAATACAATGGAAATGGAATGCGTGCTGATTTCCTTAGTCATATCTTCCATTCAAGTAATGATAGTACTTACGTTGCAAATACCCCAAGCGACTGTGCAGCCTGTTGAATCAGCTGATTTCCAAATCAAGCCAGCTTGGACAAGTCGTCATCAGGTCACACTGAGAAGGGTGATAAGGAAATCTAGAATGAGTGATGTGTGTGACTCGGTCAGTATCTGTAAAGCCAGTGATAAGGGGAAAGAGGAGTGTTCGATTGTGATTTTGATGCAGGGTGGAATGACCAACCATCACTTTCGGCACCTTGGTTCGCTTGACATTCTATACCTATCATCGTCAGTTCTCATCCCGTTTCATAGAATCTACAAGATACACCCCGAGGTCAAAAATAGGACTGAATCGCCCATGAGCCGGATGATGAGGTGAGATCCTCCCGTATGAGGTCAAAAGAGGAGGTAGTTTCTCGGAAGAACACCAAAATGGTCAAATCGATAGGGGCAAAATGTCATGAAATGTGATGTGTACCATTATAACAAAGATCAGGTGTGTTGAAAGTAAAAGAATAAGAGAGATCAAGAAAGATCAAGAAAGATCAAGAAAGATCAAGAAAGATCAAGAAAGATGAACCCGACCGGGCGATAAGAAGCGGTACAGTATGACAGAAAAAATGGTATTGGTGAGATGAAGTAAAGGACACTAACAGAGATCCATGATGTGATTCTTACAGATGGCGCAGTTTTCAACTACGATATCTATTTCATCAGTATAATTCCACAACAGGCAGTGGATGGTTGACTGACCCCATGACCAAAGAGCTACAGCATTCCACTATTTCGTCAGCGTCAGCAATTCTCATGAACATGCGCCACCCCGCGAGGCTTGACCTTCGTCTTAGAATAGTCTCACGTGAATGATATATCCCGTGCGGCACAGTAGTACACTGACAGGGTAAGGTATGTTCCTATGCGGATGAAAATGACATGATAAGAGATGACATAGAGTATGATATAGGGGTGAGGGTAAGGGAATGGAAGTCAAGTCAAAGGGAAGACAAGGTCAGGACGGACCTTTTTCACTTCGAACCTCGGTTTCTTGTCCGATTTCAAGGATTGAGTCGGAGGATCCACTTCCATTGCTGAGCTCATCTGTCCTCGTCGTTTGAGTAGCAAGTGAAGAGAGAGGAGTCAAGAGTAAGTAAAGTGAGGACATAGATGGTGACGAGAGGTCACGGTCAATATACAATAGGTAGGAAATTTGATTCCGTTTTCCAAACTTCTATGACATGGCTAGATCATGCTACAAAAATCACTACTATCCCACACATCATCCTCTGGACTTCACTTATCTATTGCTCCTCTTTGTGTATCTCGATGCCTGGTCTGGCACCCAGAGCAGTCTTGATGTATCCATACAGGATGAACTGTGATGACACAAGACCAGCGGTCATTACTATTCTCCGTTAGCCATGTCGAGAATGTTCAAATAGAGAGCAGGACTCACTCATCCTTGGTCCTAGACCCGCAAAGAGACCACGGAAACCGGCTTCCTTTCCTAAAGTGATCAGACGTTTCACCATGGGTCCAGATGGACCGTGACCTTTGTTGATCTGTGACAAGAGGGTGTCCGCTGGCTGTGCATGTGAGCTTCCTTTTCACTGTACCAGCTCGATTCCACTTCCCGAGCGTGAGGACAATCAAGTAAGGAGTTGTCCAAACCATGATATATCTCAGATATGGCTGGTACGATATATGATGAGTATAAGAATGTACTTACGTGTGATAAAATAGCAGCAGCAAACCCAGCCACGATACCTGATCCGAGGACGATCCCAAAGTTTTGTACCGGCGTCAAGTTCTCTTTTCTCTCCTGGGTCATTTGGTTGAAAATGAATTCGGTACATCTTTCGTTCACTGTGAATTGTCCTATTGATCAGTCCTCATCCTTTGAAGTCTCCGTCACGTCCCCAAGTAGTTGAGTGGACATACCTATCGCATAGGGTATTTGCTTGGCAAGGATCGGTATGAAACCAGCATACAAGGAGCCAATACCTTCCGTGGTGAGGATCTTCGTGAAACCTGAGACTAATCCACTGGCGTACTGATCATCAGCTTTGTCAGAGTCAATTCCCCCTCAGCTTACCTTCGGATTGGAGACCAAGCGGATACGTGTGGCTTCCGCAGGAGTGAGTAATATATCGGCAAAAAATCTCCAAAGTCAGCTGTCTTCTAACATTTACAACCTCCATTGCGAGCCGAAACTGTTGTACTGACTCGGCGATGGCGGCACCTCCGAGATAAATAGCCGTTCGATTTTTGATTGCATTCTCTCGACTTCCCGATAATTCGACGAGGTACTTTTTCTGACTATCTCAGCATTCCTCCTCATCATTTCAAGTCGTTCAGGTTCCACTCACCGATGCTTCGTAACCGGCAAACTTGGCTCCACCCTGTAGCATATACCCCACAGCTGTCTAAATGTCAGCAATACCTCTTTATTCCAGACACCACACTCACCGGACCGAAGCCTGTGAGGAGCCCTCCAGCACCTTCAGCAGCGACGATCTTTCTCCCCCCAGATAAAAGTGACATGCCCTTGAGAGCGGGATCGATCTGTATTCGTGTCTTGATCACATCGATAGCTAGCGGTCAGTGCTTCAAGTACTCTGTCTATGAAGAAGACCCACGGGTCATCCCCCCGTGAGAGCTGTAAGTCAGCGGAGTGATATCATACTCGAGATCAAGACGTACAGGGTGCAACATAACGCCCCAGCGGAGAAGAAAATGCTGTAGTCTTTCGCTGTGAACTTTGGGGTGAGGGGTTCGCCGGGTAGAATCGATTTGGACATGATGTAGGGCGACAATACAGCTACTCTACTACAGTGATGGGTACGGATGGACAGAGATGCGGTTATGTACTCGTATGCAAAGTGAGGAATGACGTCGACTGGGAAAGTGCCTGACCACGTGGCGTCCCCAAAAGGAGGGGACCGATTAAACTCACAGGGTTGACACCAAACTTCGCAAATTACTTCTAAAACCCCCCCACCGACTCGCTCTCTTTCTCCTAACTCGCTCCATACTACTTACTCTGTCTGCATAGCATCCTCTCCTTTTCAAACAGTTCATCACTTGCTGACATTGCATATCAGGTGTATCAGCCCATGACTATATCATCATCTTTCCCCGCTTGAGCTCATCCCACTCGTTCACGCCATAATGAACGACCCTTCGCTTGTTACCCAAGATGTCGACCCCATCGAAATCGTCCACGAAATACAAGTCCTGACCGATGTCGAAACCGAGCTCGCCAATGCGGCTCTCAAAGCTGCTCAAGCTCCTGCCTTCTCTGGTGAAATAGCTGAGGAGGCTGAAACCGTAGAGCAGAGTCTAGAAAATGCAATTTCCGAGACAAAGGAACACGTCGATACTGTGGATATTGCACTCCCTATTGGGTCTAATGGTGAAATCTCCACCAGCGCTATCTCTTCTGTCCGAGACTCTGCATCTCAACATGCATCTGCATCCGCCTCTGCAACCGAGCCTCTTGACCAAGTGACGCCTGACGTGACTATGTCTCATGAACCTTCCGACCCTGCACGCGACCTCAAAGATACCTTGGCGACAGTGACGGCCGAGATTACGGTTCCTGTTTTGTCAGACGAGGTAATACTTCCCTCAGATCAGGTCTCCAACGAGGAGATAGCGGTGGAATCGACTGAACCTGTAATACAAGTCGAAGTACCTTCTTCCGACACGATCGAAAGCCATGTCCCTGCCGTCCAAGTCGTGTCAGAACATGTCGTCCCTTCATCTCCGGCCCCCGCAATTCAGACTGTTGCACCTGTTGTGTCCATCGTGACGGAGACTACCTCAGCAGTCATCGCCCCTGTACTCCCCCAGCCCATAGTATCGGCAGCGCCTGTCGTCCCTTTTCCTCAAGGATTGTCAGAAAATTCTTCATCCGTCGTGGCCAACCCCAAATGGATCCAGCAATGGCGACATGGTCCGTCCACGCTCAAGTCATCTTTTTCGCGCTGACATTCTAGCCCCAAAAGATCCATACATAATCCTGGCACTGTTTAGCTGGGCGATCCAACGAGGTGAAATCAACGATGCTCGAGCATGGTTTTCTCTACTCTATGCTGATAACCCTTCGGCGGTCAGTCTCTTGTCAAGATCACCAAAACGAAGACGCTGACGAGTCAGTACCAACCATTGTTGGTGTTGATACAGATGGAACTCGATCTTTCCAACTTCCCTCAAGTCGAAGAATTGTTTGCAAAAGCGTTGAAGGGTCCTTCTGGGGAAATCACCTCGGCCGCTGATGTTTCAATATGGAGTGAGTTTCACCCGATGCCCTGTCCATCCTTTTGTCTACACATTTATGTTTCTCACAATCCACCGAATGCTCAAGAGATGTTGAAGCATGTTAACATGCAGAATCATACCTGCACTACATCCGACGACAAAACCCAATAACTGAAGGGTCACCCACTGCAGATCAAACCCGCGAGACCGTCAGGAAAGCCTACGAATTCGCTCTCAAAGAATGTGGACATGATCGGGAGAGCGGAGAATTGTGGCAGGAGTACATTCATTTTCTCGGAGAAGCAAATGTCAGTACAGTTCCATAGACTCGGGGCTAATTGTTTTGTTCCTGTTTGTCTCAGGTGTCCGTGATTCATTTTCACATTGGTGGCGTGCCTCGGTCGCTCGGACGTTTTGGTTGCCAGGATACGAGACATGATGGACTAAGCTTACCAAACAGCCAAAGAATACCTGGGAGACGCAACAGCAAATGGACCGCCTACGCGCGGTGTATCAAAGGGCGATTTGCATCCCCCTGAACAATCTTGAGAGTCTGTGGAAGGCCTACGACGCTTTCGAATCTGGAATCAATAAGGCTGCGGTGAGTTTTCGGTCTTTCCGTAGTTCCGGCGTCTGTCTGCGTTCCTCTTCACTTATAATTCATATGTCCCTCACCGACCAGTCCTTCGCCCTCTGCCGAACTTTACAAAGGTGCAACGATCTGATTCACCCATATGCCAAGTCTTCACAAGATGCAGCTTATTCTTCACAGAGAGAAATATCTTGATAACGTGCTGACTGCAGTCCAAAAAATTCTTACAAGAACACTCGCCAGCCTATATGACGGCCCGTACCGCTCTTCGTGAACTCAAAAACCTTGTTGACCCCATCCCTCATCCTCCTATTCCTCCCCATCCCACATTCTCGGACGAAGATCGCTCCGCCGTATCTCAATGGAAGGCGTATCTCAAATGGGAGGAGTCGAATCCTCTCGTGATCGAAGATCCAACAAAACTAGACGAACGTATTTCGTATGCCATCCGGAAATGCCTCGGAGCCATGCGTCATTTCCCAGAACTATGGTTCCAAGCTGCTGAATATTACGTCGCACAAGAAAAGAAAGATCAAGTTGTCGAAGTACTCAAAGCGGGGGTGGAGGCTTGTCCCAAGAGCTTTTTGTTGACTTTCGCCCTGGCGGATCTGGAGGAGGACAGAGGGAATGTTACCGGGGCAGGTGCGGCGTATGAGGAGTTGATAAGTAAATTAGGCGAGGAATTGGAGGTATTGGTGAGGGATGTGGAGGATGAAGTAGAGGGAGCTAAAGGTCCAGCTGTGGAGAATGGGGAGGAAGGAAAAGAAGAGAGGGAGAAGAGGGGTAAAGAGGTGGAAGAGAGGAGAAAGGGAGAAGTGGAGGAAAAGACGGTGGCTTTAGGGGTGGTTTGGGTGATGTATATGCGTCATGCAAGAAGAGCTTCTGTGAGTTTTGATATTGTTTGCAAGTTGATTTGTATCCTCGTCTCCCGATAGAATCAGCCGTAGGATATCAAGGCTACCATCTGAAGCTTACGTCAAATGAGACAAGCAGAATCAATCGTGAGAAGATGGTGTCTGCTGCTCAGGGGACGGTCGAGGTCGAAAGTGCGAAGTCGAATAGTTGGCTGACGAAAAGGGTATCAAAGCTGCCAGAGGAGTATTCGGTAAAGCTCGTAAATCGTCTCATGCCACTTGGCACGTATACGAAGCTTCCGGTAGGTGTTTGTCTGCATCCTATTCCTTTTCCCGGACAGAGCGACTTTCCTCATCGAATCACTGAACTCCACCTGGGCTTCAGGCGTCTCACGAGTTCACAATCACTTGTCCATTAACGAGGCCCAAGCGAGGGGATATGGAGGTAGGAATAAGGCCGGCTGACTCTTCAGCGATGATGGAATATCACAGTAATAAAGATTCGTCCGTCGCGATAAGAATATTCGAATTGGGTCTAAAGTTGTTCGCTGAGGATGGTGATTATGTTGTCAAGTATCTGCAGTTCCTTCTCTCCATCAACGACGATACGAGTAAGTTATCCACTTCCGCTCTTTGTCCCTCGTCTCCTCCTTCCATCTCCTATTTATCAACTGGGGTTTCGGTCATGTACTTATATCATCATTGTCATGAAACGAGATGATCATTGTGTATCCATCTTGAGGGCATCTCTGTTTATCGACATGATCGATATGAAGACGATAAATCTGATGGTCAGACGCCCGCGCATTGTTCGAACGTTCAGCTCTCAAGATCCCTGCGGAGAAAGCTAGACCGTTATGGGATGCTTGGGCGAGATACGAATACATGTACGCTGATCTGGCTGCGGTACAGAAGCTCGAAGCTCGATTTGCGGAGGTATTCCCGAATGGTGAGTCTTTTTGACCGTCTGGCTTTCCGTTTGGCTCTCATCCTTCCCTTCCTCTGCCTTTCTGCATCTGCACCCATACTCCCAATGAGACTTCAGCTTTCAATCCTTGACCTTTGGTGGTCTGTTGCTTTCAATTACTTCATCGTTGTCCTCGGCCACACTTGTCTTCATATGAGTTAACGTTGACAATCGCTCATTTCAGACTCTCCTCTCAAGCGATTCGCTCAAAGATTCACATATTCCTCATTGGATGAAATCGCCACACAGGACCTAGGTTTCCGTCGTATTTTGTCCCAATCCCAATCCCAACCTCAACCTCAACCTCATTCTACTCTCCCTCCTCCACCTCAACAAACTCAGCAATCTCAAACTTTCGAAACTCAACCTACTCAACTCCCTCCTAATCCCGTTCCCGCCCATCCATCTCTCCCTCCTAACCCAACCTTACCCCCTTACCCCACCTCTAATCTCCCCCTTCAGCCCATCCATTTCTCTCCTCCTCAAAAACGACCAGCACCAGAATCACCTCCCCGTCGACCTCGTTCACCTCAACCTAGGAGAAACAGTCGTGATTATTCTCAACCTAACGAAGAACCTCTACATAAACGCGCCCGTCCGCAGAATAGGTATCCTTCTATGAACGAACGAACTAAAGAACGTAGTCCTATGTTACCTGTCCCTCCTGCTCCTTATCGTGATAGAGGGGATAGAGCACCTAGTGGAGTTGCTCCGATGTATCCGTCTCAAGGTTTGAGAGAAGGATATGATAGAAGTGGATTGAGTAGACCTTTGGCAGGATTCTTCGGATCATTACCTAATGCTAGGTATTTTGACGGTATGTTCATCTCACCCTTCACTCGTATCAATCTCTATAGTCTTCTTGTGGCTTTTACGGCTTAAGGTGCACTTTGATCAAGAAAATATCCAAAACACAATAATGTGACCATCGAGTTCGATGTCATGATGAAATGGCGAATTTCCTTTTGTTTGAGGGACATGATGTATTCAGGGAGAGTGTGTGACGGAAAGACTAATGGTTTAGGACCAATCTTCCGTCCGGACGATATCATAGGTTTATTCAATAATGTCGATATGCGTGGGAACGGTATACCTCCGTCTGCTCCACTTCCGGCCACTTATGGTGGAAGGGGATATGATCGTGAGTCTATCTTCACCTCCTGATTATTGACCTCAAATTTGTCGTATTCTGTCATCATGCCGATGTTCTACTTTCCTAGCTACTACCAAGTCATACTATCTTATTCTTTGTTTCTCGTTTCTCCTGTAACCTCATATCAAAGCTTTGTCTATCAAAGAAATAAATGACCAGAATTGATTCCACAGGACCAGATCTGAGGTATCCACCTGCACCCCCTCCTCCGACATACGGTGGAAGAAGGTATTGATCACTCTCTCCGTCTTACATTCCATTTTAGTGGGATCCATAATCAAATCAAAAAGAACCTATGTCAAACACATCTAAACATGTTAATACTGTCAACTCGAAGAACGAACTCCTGGGACTAGTAGATGAAAAAGATGAGCCCATACGGCGAAAAGTGTCACCTGATCATAGATGCATCCCTCTCATCTTAAAATATATCATCTCACCCAGCTGACTAGACGACAGATCTTTGAAGAATGTTTTCGTCTCGGGCAAGAGAAAGTCGTCGTTGGAGTAAAAACCTAATTGATCGCATTTCTTCTGAAATTCTTGTTTGTGTGCAATTAATACCTCGGTTGATTTTTCCCTATACCATCAGTCGACTACATCATTGACGTGACTTGACATATCCTCGGTATGACAACACTTTCAATAGGTAGACGTAGAAGTCTTGTCACATCGATTAGAGGCCACATTGACACAACACGACGTGAATTCTTGAACGCACTATTGAACTGACATGACATATTTACGGACGGATGGTCGGTAAAGGGAACAAACAAAAAGAACCAAACTGACCAGGTGGATTCTTCAATAGGATATCCATACCATTTCACAAGATAAATAACTTGTCTTCTTTCATCTTTTGTAGCTGGTATCGTCTTCCTTCTATGACATCAACATCAGACTTTTCACATACACTACTCCGATGATCCCCTTGTCTCAAACGAGGAAAAGGTATCAAAGTTTGCAGAATGAATGACTCGACCAGAGCTGATATGGAAGGAAAAGGAATATGTTGACTCACCCAATGACACTCTCTGGATAATATTGTTCTTCGTCACCTGGAGTATATCTATATCGTTGATGTAAACTATTCTTAGAGACTATCTTGAATCTTTAAGATAGGGAAAAAGGAGGACAAACCGACGAATACAATCTTTTCTAGTACATCTTCCCATTGGAGCTTTGGGGATATGCTTGGGTGTTGTAAGCATATCTATTTACGATTAGATTATCTCTTTGATTGTTTTCTTCTCACTTTCTCTCCTACTTTGGGTCACTACTTCCCTCTGTTATCTTGTGTACTTGAGATGTCGGTTCTAACAAGGGAGATACGGGTTCACGAATGTGATAAGATTGGAAAGAAAACTCACCAAGGGATAAAAGAGTATGACAATCTGGACATGTCCAATCGTCTCCAGTCAAATCTATTTCGTCTGGTAGACCTGCACAAGCCCAATGTACGCTACCCCGTCAATCAAGTTCAGAATGTTGATCCGTACTTACTGTGCGTCACACTGCTCGTAAGTTTTTCTGGATAATATCCCACCAAGATCAATTAACCCTCAGGATGATTTTCTATTCAGAAGTATCGCACCATAAACTCAAGTGTCCGCATGTAGATGAATGACTTTCATGGATCAGCTTTGAGGGTGGAAGGGTGTGAATAGATCATGGTTTCCATAACTCACATATTGACATATGATATGTTGCTATCGATCAATTCACCTCAACTTGTCCATAAGTGATTAACTCACCATAACCCCTCTGAATGTATTTTCTCCCCTCTTGGGCCAGACAGACCCTTTGACTCTTGCATTACCATCACTTTCTCGTAGACTGGATGAAATGCCTAGACGAGCATTATCATCCGTCCCCGTTCCAATATTCGGTTTGCGGCGTTTTCGCGTGTCAGTAGGATTGGAAGAAGTAGGGTGTGATGGCTTTTGAGTAGATTTGCTCTTTGGCGAAGTGTTTTGTGAGGGTGTACTTGAAGACCCGACAGAGATGATGGAATTGTTTGTTGAGGGTGTACTTGAAGACCCGATAGAGATGATGGAAGATTGATGGGATTTCAGCGTCGGAAGCGAGTTTGGTTTCGTAGCGTTAGGAGTGGTAGAAGAGTGAGAGAGATGAAGCTGGTCTGGATGTTTAGTGGGTGGATCAGAAGTGAGACTGCTCAGACTGTCATCTTGAGAGTTGTATTCCATTTGAAGGGCTTGAGTGCGTTTGGGATAGAACGTGGTCTTCTTGACAGAAGAGTAGGGATGAAGAGGCTTGATACGTCTCTTGGATTTCATTGAGAGTTGAGGTCTCGAATGATACAGTAAATATCGATATTGAAGGATTGTTCAAATCAGTGTGAAACAAAGCTGTCCTAAACTTACTTAATTGTCAGTCAAGTTCAATGGTGTCGGATTGGATGAACCCTGGGAGGTGAGAGTCGTTTTGAGGTCAGTAGTATGATTTGTAGTGTCACGAACTACGTCGCGACACCTCGATTACTTCACCAACAATGACCCTCCTTTGGCCATCAAAACCCCATCACGCCTTAACCTCTTTACTCTACACGTAACTCAGGACTTCTGACACCAAGTACGGCGAAGTTAGACGGAGTTAGGCTAAGTAGGAACAATGGGAGCAGAAGTACGGCGAAGTTAGACGGAGTTAGGCTAAGTAGGGACAATGGGAGCAGAAGTGCGGCGATGTTAGGCGGAGTTAGTCTAAGTAGGGACAATGGGAGCAGAAGTACGGCGAAGTTAGACGGAGTTAGGCTAAGTAGGGACAATGGGAGCAGAAGTGCGGCGATGTTAGGCGGAGTTAGTCGAAGGAGGAAGAGGATGGCCGAGGGCTCGGGGAAGTTGGACGAAGTGCGTTGAAGTACGTCAAAGCGCGAGAGGGTTGGATGAACGTCTAGGAGGAGTAGATAATATTAGCTGAGAAGATCGCTGAAGTTCTTCAGCGATCCTTGATTGTTGTCAGTAGTGAAAGACAGATAGAGATAGCTATAAATCAAGATACATCGCCATCAGTAGAACAAAACCCTAGTTAGAGTAACTACGCCGAAGTACGCCGTAGTTACACCCCTTTCGACGTCTGCGCCCTCCTGGTTGGGTGAGACATCGACTCAGAGCGTGAAGTTAGCCGAGGTTCGTCGACCGTCGGTCTATTAAGAAATAGTTGTTCGACGGCCGTGACAGTATCAAGGATCGCTCTTACCGACGACCCGTGCGAACCTCGGAGAAGTACAAAGATAATATGGAACCAGAAAGAAGAATTACACGAGGGATGAGTAGGGATGGAGACAGGATGGAGGAGAACGAGAGGAGAGCATTGGAGGAGCTTAGCAGAGCAATGGGGCAGGACCTTGGAGTGGAGGATAGTGTGGGGGGATCAATTCAAGGAGATGAGTTCGTTCCACCGGTGCCTTCTAACCCTCCTTCTCCTCCGTCTAATGCTCTCCCACCTGCGGGATCCCCACTTGGATCAGACCAAACCCCACGCCCAAGAGAAAACACTGGAAGTACGGCGAACTTGGGAGAAGAAGGAACACAAGGGGTGGTGTTGGCCTTGATGCAGATGGTGGCGAATATGAACAAAGACATGATGGAGGAGAGAAGGCGTAGGGAGGAATGGGAACAGAGAAGAGAAAGGGATACAGTGGGCGGGATTGCAGAAGGGATATCAGAAGGAGTGAGGTACGCCATGGGACGGCAAACTTCGGCGACCCCAAGCGTAGTGGGCGAACAACGGAAGGGGATAAAGCTACCTAACCCAGACCTCTGGAGAGGAGATCGGAACAAGTTAACCGCCTTTCTGTCTGAGTGCGACGTACATTTCGAATTGAACTCTCATCTTTCCCCGACGACACTAAGAAAGTCTTTTTCATGATCTCTCATCTACGCGAAACACCTCTTCTTGCAGTGCAGCCCGATCTATCCAAAAGACCTCTTCTGAGTACCTCACGACACACGATCAGTTCGTTAAGTACCTCAAGACTAACTTTGGTGATCCAGACGAAGAAGGAACTGCGGCCCGACAACTTAACGACCTCAAGCAAACCGGGTCTGCTTCGGACTACTTCTCCGCCTTCCAGCGACATGTTGCGATTCTTAAGTGGTCTGATGATGGAAACCTAGTTGACCGAGCCAAGAAAGGACTAAAATCGCACCTTCTAGATGAAATTGCAAGACACGGTAGATCGTTTGGGACTGTGAAAGAGCTATTGGAGTTTGTGATTCCCTTGGACAACCGCCTGTGGAGGAGACAAGTGGAGAAGGAGGCAGAGAGGAAAAGGGAAGGAGGGATAAGGACAACGACAGTGGTGGAAAGTCAGAGGACGGAGAAGAAAGAAGAGAAGAAATGGGAAAAGGGGCAACCTTCGGCGCAGGGTGGTGTCCAGGCGGCTATGATGTCGACGGTGGTAAAGAGTACACCGTCAAACATCGACGAAGTTCGCCGAAGATGGCCTAGGCCGAGCTCCGATCTGAGGGAGACAAGGAGGAAGGAGGGGAAGTGTACCGAGTGTGGTGAAGCAGGACATTGGCTGAAGGAATGCCCTGTAAGGGAGGCTAAGGTTAAGGTTGGACTGTTGCCTCCATGGGGGGAGAAGTTCGGAGAACGTGGTGGAGGATCGGGAGGGAACGCAGTACCTCTCGGACAGAGGAGGAACTTGAATGCGGTTGGAGGAGAAGTAGATTTGGAAGAGGACCAGGGAAAAGAAGAGGACCTGTCGCAGTAGGCGAGGCTCGGCGGGTCCGCCATATTCTCTCGGCCACCATTCCCAAACCCATAAAAGAAACACAGCTGATGGAGCCAGAGGATTGTGAATACAAAAATACACCACTCAGTACCCCTTGTTCATGCAATGTCGATAATCATCTCCTCATCCCTTCCGTTTCCAGAGATCAACCTAAATCGGACATTTTCATTAATGGAATAAAGCTAACTACGCTCTGGGACACTGGAGCTACTTGTTCATATATAAGCCCTAAGGCAGCAGCGAAGATAGGTGTAGAAAAGAGGCGATATCAGGTGAGCGTACCCGTTCACATGTTCGACGGCTCGGTGAGTGTCGCTGGACCCATCACCGAGTTTGTCGAAGTCGGATTTAGTTTGACGAAGGACGCCGAAGTGCGATCTGTTTGTCTCGATGTAACAACGCTCTGCGACGGG